CTGGGGACACCGAGGACGGATGCAGATATGTCCATATGCGTTTAACAGGAATACCGGAAAGAGGGAATAAAGAAGAGCAGTGTTTTGACAACGTGGGCAGATAATTTCTTAGAGCTTCAAAAAGACAGGAATTCGGAAACTGAAAGAGCTCAGCTATATTTTTTTAAGCTCACAATTTAGAAAAATCGTAGCGAAATTTTTGAAAACCAAAGACAAAGTCTAAATGTTAAGGACAAATTACCTATAAGGAAACGAGAATTCAACTGACGTCAGATTGCCATCTGCAACATCAAATGTCAGAAGGCATTAAAACCTGAGTAAATACAAGTCTGAAGCAAGACTTCTACCCTCATCCAGATTATTAATCGTAGATCAGGGCAAGAAAAGACCCTTCCGGACACATAAGGACTCAGCATGTTTGCCATCCACAGACCCTCCTTTAAAGAACTATTCAATTTTGTACTCCAACAAAAAGAAAAATAAACCCGGGGGCTGGCCCAGTGGCTCAGTGGTTAAGTTCGCGCGCTCCTCTGCAGGCAGCCCAGTGTTTCGTTGGTTCGAATTCTGGGCGCGGATATGGCACTGCTCATCAAACCACGCTGAGGCAACGTCCTACATGCCACAACTAGAAGGACCCACAACGAAGAATATACAACTATGTACTGGGGGGCTTTGGGGAGAAAAAGGAAAAAAATAAAATCCAAAAAAAAGTTATTAAAAAAAAAAAAAGAAAAAGAAACCCAAAGGGAAGAAAGGAGTTACAAGAAGCAATGACGAGCAGATAAATCAGTATTTTGTAAAGTTGAAATAAATGTTGCTATTTTGAAGTTTTCAATAATTGGAAGTAAAATTCAGGTAAGAGCCCCCAGGTAGTTAGTAGGAAGTTTAGTTCAGTGGGGAGCAGGATGTAGGGCAGGAAAGAGAAGAAACTAAAAGTCTACTAAGGTTCTTGTCTTGAGAAAAGAAAAGGGAGACTGACTTTTTGAAAGGGATTTTTTAAAAATGAAAGTTTAAGTATTCAAAGTTTAATGAGAGCCCAAAACTAGAAATCATCCAAATTTCCATCAGCAGGTGAATGGATAAACAGCTTGTGGTATATCCGTACGACCCTGCTCAGCAACAAGAAGCAATGAACCGCCAACACACGACAACATGGATGAATCTCAAAAGCATTATGTTGAGTGAAAGAATCCGGACACAAAAGAGTACACGCTATTCAGTTCCACGATCTGAAACTCTGGAAAGAACAAATCGAGAGGGACAGAAAGCGGATCAGTGGTCACTGGGACAAGGCGTGGGAGATTGACTGGGATGGAACACAGAGAACCTTTGGGGAGATGGAAGTGTTCCATGTGTTGATTGTGGTGTTGGTTACGTGTATATACAAATTGTCCAAATTCACTGAACCATACACTAACTCTTGTACACTTAGACTGGGTACATACTGCTTATAAATTAGACTTCAATAAAATTGACAAGAGGAACTAGCAGAATTCTAGAAATAGAAAATATAATTTTCAAACCAGCAGAGGGGAGGGTAGAAAAAAGAGAAATGAATCATAAAGCAGGAAAGGGGGGGTGCTTAAGTGGTACCAGCCCGAACCAGATGAAACAGTGGTAAAGGGACACCCAGGCCTTATGGTGGAGCCCTCAGGCCCGGTCCAGAGGACTGAGTTGGGTTGGGTGGATGAGGACCATGCCCTGCAGTGGACCAGAGCAGAACCGGCCCAGATGTCCATGTTGTTTAAGACCCCCCAGTGATTCCTCATGGCTGTGAGGTCAAAGCATAAAGAGCCATAGCAGCCTTGTCAAGCCCAGCTAACCAGCCGGAGCCAATCTCTGGAGCAAGCGCCTCTGCCCCAGCTCTGTCTATTCTCCGCTGCCTCGCTCATATTTCCCCCTCTTTATCTGTCCCTGATCTTCCCCTCACCCTGCCTCCTTACTTTCCAAAGCTCTCCAGCCAGCGTTGGCAATTAGACTTTTAAAAGGTCTAATTAAACGGCCTTTCTCTTATATTTTTTCAAAACCAAAATCTGACTAAAGTAAATGGCTTTTAACATGTGTGGGCCCTTAATTTGCTTGATATTTTCCGTGCCTCAGTTGTCCTAATAGGAAAAAAATTCATCCCCACCCTGGAACTCCAGTGGCGACTAGCGTCCCTAACTCGCAGGACACCTCCTCTCTCCTGCTTGGAGCAAAGTCCTGGGTCCCCCACCCTGTTTGTTCTATGTCCTGTAGATTTTCACCCCCTGTAGTTGGAGGCGGGGAATGGATGCATGCAGGGTTATGCAGCCCTCCTTTCTCCCCCTCCAAGAACAGCTCCATCTGAAATGAGGGAGCATTCATTTAAACTCTCAGCAAGAGTGGAACAGCCATGAGACAACGAGCTGCTGGCCTGAGCTCCGGAGAAGGTGGGGCTGCACCCATACCAACCAGCTCCTGCCAATACTCCAGCCACCTCCCAGTGCTCCATCATCCAAGGAATGGAGAGGACGCTTCTCTTTCTTCTCTCTTTCCCTTGCTCCCTCCTTCCTTCCTTCTTCCCCTCCTCCCTCCCCTCTTTCTTTTTTCTGCCTGATATTCTTGTGAATGCCTGGAGATGTGTCTGAAGAAGCCAGGGGCCTAATATTGGAACCAGCCTCTACCCTCACACTCCCTCAACTAAGACTGTGGTCCCAGGGTTGCCATGTGGTACAACTCCACGGGGCAAATTCACATCATCAGTTCGTATGAATGGCACCCCCTTGGAGTTGTGCAGTGTACAACCTGTGCCCCGTGCAGCTATATGTGGCAGCCTTGGTGGCCACACTTTTTCTTCCCTTGGATGATGAGGGACTCTGACAAGTTAAGGAATGAAGCCCCTACTCCTGAGTTTCTACCCAGCCTCAGAAGGACCCAAGATTACAGCTGTGTTCTGGCCAAATCCCTCCAACCCAGTCACATTCAGGACCCTCAAATTTACTTCCAGCCATCTTGGGCAAGGGTTGGAATTGGGGTAGAAATGGAGTAGAAATAGACTCAGATCCCTCCTCACCTAGAAACAGGAGCCAAACTGGCCAGGTCATATTTGACCCCCAACTCCTCACTCTGGTTGGCTCCCAGATGCAGTCTTGGTGATGTTCTCTCATTCCCTGGCTGAGGTCACCCCTGCATCTGTCGATCAATTTCTTGGCTAGAGCACTGGACCAGCCTCCCCCTTCCTTGTCTTCACCCTTGTCCCATCATGTCTTCCCAAACTTAATCCGAGCCACAGTGGCGTTTCTCATACTTCTCTGAGAAATAGGTGCCTACCAGCTCTGCACAAGCCCACATGCCTGCTTCCCTCACAAGACCTGCTGGCCCAGGAGGGCAAACACCAGCCGCCATGGCCTGGGGGTGGCGATCACAAAGTGAAGCAGAGACCTTGTTGTGTGGAACGTTTCACATGTATGTGCATTTTTCTTGGGAGAGGGTCCGTGGCTTTCATCAGCTTTTTGAAAAGGTCCAAATGGGTAAGAACCCCTGGAGAAGAGTGTTAGACACTTTCCACAGTTGGTAGGTGATGATCCATCTCTTCAGAAGGTAGGATTTCATTCATTCGTCAAGTACTGACTGAGCTTCTACTGTGCACCAGCCACTGTTCTGAGCACTGAGAAAACAGCCGTGAACAGAAAGACAAAACTCTCTGCCTTTGAGGGGGGCTCACTTTTCAGGGGCCAGACAGCCGGGGAGCTGTGTGAGGCATCAAAGACAGACTGGCTGAAGATTCTAGGTTTTGAGCCCCAGGAAGGTCTAAGAACTCTGTGAACCCTATGAGTTCCAAGTTCTAAGAACTCTAGAAGTTGTAAGTTATGAACTCTGTGAAGGTTCTAATAAACAAGTTACTGATGGTGGCGGGCCCAGCAGTGGTGGTGACAGTGGCCATAACAAGAGCTCAAGGGCCAGCCTGGGGCTGCCCCGAAGGAAACCTCTCACTGCTGAGCCAAGAAGCAGGGGTAGTGGTGACCTCCGACGGGCAGCAATGGTGAGGAGGCAGGAGAGAACCAAGTTGCCCCCATCCCGTGCCAGCTAAAAGCACGGGGCCCTTTTGAGGCCTGGCTTTCCAAGCCCTCACCACTCATGTCCAGCTGGAGGCCTGAGGGTCCCAAGGCCAGGCCCAGCCTGAGATCTAGCCACCCTCCTCCCAGCTGGGAGCCAGAACTACGGTCTTCTTCCCAGCGTAGTCAGGACAGTAGGGTGTCCCTGATTGAGAGAGGAATTATGACTTTGGTGCTGGAGAGTATGCTTGACTGGGGAGGTGGGGGCAGCCCACGAGAGCACTCCTGGTGGTGGGAGCAGCAGGACACAGTGTTCCAGGGCCCAGGTGGCTCAGCACTGGGCTGGGGCAGGGGTGAGGAGAACAAGACTGCAGAGGCCAATGGCCGGGGCAGGAGAGGGCCTGGGGAACCCCAGACCAAGCCTGGACAGAGTGGATCCCCTCTGCACAGATCAAAAATCTGCCCACGCTGGAGAGTCCAGGTGTCGGAGGGTCCCAGGTGGGTCAGGGGAGACGAGAAACAGGCAGATTGCCCAGCCAGCCAGACGTGTCTGAGAAAGAGACGGGAACCCAGGCCTCCGACTTCCCAGCCAGGCTCCCTCCACCACCGCCCATCCATGGCCAACAGACAGGTGCTCCCTGGCCCTGCCCTCACCAGGGACACACACACACACCCATACTAGGCATACCTCCACACTGCCCCCTGATAAACAGATGCGTCCTCTGGAGACACCCATTTAGCTTCCGGGATGGTGAGATTATTCGCATGAGGTGGAGGCTGTACACAGGACAAGAGAATGTGGCCCAAGCTTAAAGAGCGAACCATGGTAATTAGCAGGGAGACAATGTACACACCCGCCAGCTGGAGCACGGCCAGGTGGGGCCATGGTTCCACAGCCTTCAGGAGGCTGAGCAGAGCAGGGTGGGGGGCGGCAGGGAGGGACAGGGGAGGCCAGAAGGCCAAGGAGAGTTAGCGGCAGGATGATGAAGTTAGCAACCCAGACTGGCAACCCAGGAGGGCCCCCTTTATTCTTGACAGCACTCAGCTCTGCATCCAGGAGTTGGGGTGGGTGGTGTCAGGCTGGCAGAAGTGCCATTTGTAGGAAGTGTGGGTCGGATGGGTACATCTTTGCTTCTGGTCTCAGGTTCAGGAGAGGAAACTGCACCTCAGCTCTCACAGCTCCCGTTCTGGTTAGAGTCTGAGACCTGGGCCCTCTGGGGTCCTTCTGTGTTTGGGCTGGGCCCTGAGGCTAGATGGTTGCCGGACTTTCCACACACTCCAATGTGCCATGAACACTGCCAACTCTGCCCTACATCCCCAAGGGCCTCTGGAGAGACACACTGTCCTGTCTTCTCCCAGAAACACATACAAGAAGGACCCTGCCCCAAGTTCAAGTTGCGATTCTGCAGGAGCTTTCTGGGGCCTGGGGCCCTCAAGGCAGGTCCTGGTGAGACGGGAAGCAGAAGCCCCCCAGAGTCCACCACTCCTCCTTCTACCAAGCCCTGGCCTGGAGCCCCACGGTGCCTCCTCTGTCGCAGTCCACTCCAGCCTGGGTCAGCCTCCAGCCCTGGCCCCAGCCTGCCGCCGGTCCAGAGCCAGCCGGAGGGCATGCCTCACGGTCTCCGCATTGTTCAAAACGTTGTATCGGCTCAGGGCCACCAGCCGATGGAACTCATTGGGCTCATAGGTGAAGTTCATCATGCCATAGGGAGTGTCTGGCCCGTTGATGACAAAGTTCCCGCAGTCCTTCTCCTCAGCTGTTTGCCGCTCCACACCTGTGGGTGGGGTGTGCAGGAGAGGCCAGGCTAGGGCGCTCTGTGGAGCCAGCTGGGAGCTGCCAGCCCAGAAGCCTCCCTTGCCCCCAGGACATCCGGCTGCTTCCAAGTGGGTCCTGTTTGGGTTCCTGTCTCAGCTCTCTTGCCCATCAGGAGGAGCTGGGCCTGTGCGAACCCCAAAGCCAGGGAGCAGAGGGTGCAGTGGCCAGCTCAGGCCCTCTAAGAGGCATGCTTCGGCACAGTGATGGGGTCCACTCTCAGCCCTGCATCCCACCACCACCCTAGGGATCTGTGGGCCAGACCCAGGCCCAGGGCTTCCCCTCACCTGGGGCCAGATGTGTGCGGAAGGTACGGTTGACAAGGGGAAAGTGCAGCACGATTGGCGAGCGGGGGTCATCAGCCTTGGCAAACAGATAGCATTCACGGGGGTCTGCCAAGTCCTCAGGGAGCACCTCGATCCTGGGGAACGGGATGCCCCGGTCCAGGCAGTACTTCTCTGTCATTTGTAAGACCTGGGCAGGCAGGCAAGCTCTGAGCCCGCCTGGACTCACACAGGTGCAGGGTTCAACACGAGCTCTGCCTCCTGCTAGCCGAGTGACTTCAAGCAGACATCACCTTTCCTTTTTCGTAAAATAAGGCTGTGATGAATTTCACCTTCTGAGCCAGTTTCCTCATTTGTAAATAAGAATGAGACTAACTCTCTAGTGGGGTCGTTGTTTACAACAGATAAACAATAATCGAGGGGCAGTGCCTACTGCACCCGCATTCCCACTGCCATTCCCCTCAGGGCTACCCTCTGCCTCCCTGCCCTGCCCCCTCCCTGCTCCCTGTGGGAGAGCTGATCACAATTTTACAAGACTAAGACCCAGTGATTGTAGAAGGTCCCGTTGGACGAGGCTCTTCCATCATCTAAAGCTCTCAGGGTACCCAGGAGGAGGAAGAAGAAGCCAAAGAGGGAAGGGCTGGCCCAGCAGCACAACCATAGCCCACATCCGGAGAGTGGAACCTGTCCACGAGCCCACGGGGTTTGAGGGAGCCACTGCTAGAGACCCTGCTGGACCATGATGGCTCCGTTGTTAGCATAGTAACAAAGGGACAGCAGACCCAGACCCAGGCTCAGATGGGAGGAAGGAATCCCAGCAGGAAAGGGCAGGTCCAGGACAGGGTCCTCTCTTCAGCAGGATGGAAGACTCCTGAGGACCCTCTTTGGCCTCCTCTCTCGATGACTCCCACTCCCACCCACAGCCTCAGCAATCCACCTCCTCCAAGTCGGGGGCCAGTGCTGCCGACTGCGTGCACACGGCACCCTGCCCGCAGCTTAGTGCCCAGGCCTCCCACGCAGGGCAAGCCCCGCACCCCCAGCCAGGCTGTCAGCAGAGATCTCCTCCCCACCTAACCTCAAAAGGGGCGTCCAGGGAGTAGTCGAAGGACAGAATGAGGTCCACGGCTCTCTGTGGCCGCAGGCTCAGTGGGAACGGAGAGTTGATGGCAAAGCCCCCGTCCACCAGGCACAGGCAGTCCCGCATGGGCGTGAGCTGGTTGGGGAAGGCATCCAGGTGCGTGTCTGCAGGGGGACAAATTCTTCATAGCGACCCTCTTCTCTTCGCACTGGGAATGCCCCTCTCTGTAGAGGTCTCTCCTTCTCCCCTTCTCTGACAGCCACGGGGTCTCCCACCCCAGTCCCTGGCCCTGCCTGTCACCACAGCCCTTCAGTCAGCCCCTGGGCAAGAGGAGCCCACACCCCAAACCCTGGGTCAAAAGTTGGCACTGGTCCCAGTGAGCCAGAGGCACAGGAGCAAGGGGTCCCCACCCAGAGCAGCACCCACCTTTCCAGGCCACGAACTCCCTGCTGGCTACGTAGTCCTTGTGCAGGCAGAGGCCCCGCATGAAGTTAAAGTTCTCCGCTGCGGTGAAGCGGGAGGTGAATATGTCCAGCACAGCCTGGGAGAAGGGCCCCTGTGGGGTGAAGAGCCTCGTGCACAGCCGCGTGGGGTCATGCAGCTGGAGCCTGTGGCAGTCATCTGGGGGGGAAGGGAGGGCGGAACGTGGTAGGAAGTCATGCCCTCCATGGTCCAGCAGCCCTTGGGGCTCAGGGAAGCCCCTCTATCTCCTTCCCCAATCCACCTCCCAGGCCTCTGACCATTGCTTCCCAGAACTGCTTTGAAATGGCTTTTTCTTTCATGTTCCCCATGTTTTGAAAGTTGCCTATGACATTGCCATTATTAAATAATAATTTATTTCCAACCCTTTTGAAAATAAGGTTGTATGTACAACTTCCAATCAGAATGTCATTCATCAAATGCCCAATGAGCAGATACTACGTGCCGGGCTCTGTGCTGGGCATGAGGGATGCAAAGGTGACTACGGCCCAGCCCTGGGCCTCCAGGACTCATGCCTACTTAGGAGAGAGTCACATAAGGAGAGAATAAACCATAACAATGCCCCAAGGTCAGGACAATGATGGGGTGTGCAGAGGGTCCTACGAGACCTTGGTGGTCAGACCCTCAATCCGCCTGGAGGGAAGGAGTGGAACAGAGAAGACCTCTGACAGAACGATGTCTGAGCTGAATCTTAAGAGCTCAGAAAAGTTATTCAGGGAAGAAAGGTGGGAGAGGTATTCCACGCAGCTGGGAGCTCAGAGGCCATTTAAGGAGCAGGATGAAGGGAAGCCCTGAGGAGTGTGGACAGAGTATCAGCCGGAAGCCCAGTGGTCCTGGGCTGAGTTGACCTAATTGGAGCCCAAAGTAGAGAACTCAAAGGCACAGCCTCAGCACAGAGCTCTCCCACTTGCCTGGGTTTTCTGATGTAGGTCCTCCCCCAGCCTCCCACTCCCACCCCACACTGCCTCTGCAGGCCTCTGGGCGTCTGGAGACCCTACACTAGAAGTCATCTCCTCAGGACTTCCCTGAACCCCAGGGACAGCCAGGTCCCTCTCTGACCCCTCTTCATTCTCCATGCCTCTGCCAGGGTTCTACAGCTGGAGAGAGGTCTGACGGGAGGCTCAGGGTCCCCATCCTCACCTGTGATGTTCACACTGCCTCTGTGCCAGTCTAGGAAGCCGAGGCCCGAGCCGGCCATCTTCAGGAAGATCTCATCCAGGCTGGCTGCGAAGGCGCTGCCCCACACGCCTAAGGAGAAAGGTGAGGTCTGGGCCCTCACAACTCCTCCACCCCACATGAGGGCCCGGCCAGGTGCCTGCCCCATCCCCAGCCTTCCAGCCTAGACTCACCCTGCAGGTAGCAGATCCGGGGTTCGGGCCGGAGCTGCAGCAGTCGCCCCATGAAGAACTCGGAGCCGAAGAGCTCGGTAGGCACATAAGCCCCATACTTGGGGAAGCCAACCTCATGGGGGGTGAACTCGCACCACTCTGAGGGCCCAGAGAGCAGGGAATATCACCATGGGATTCCCACCAGGACCCCAGGGTCCCCCTGGCCCCTGTGCCTGAGCAGGAATCTTTGCCTTGCCGAGAACAGGAGGCAGTAACCCCACTGTGCTCCAAGGCTTCCATCTGTAGCCTGATAGCCTGGCCTCTTACACCCTCCTGCCAACCATCACCTCCACCTGCTTCCTAGGTCCCCACACCCAGGCACCTGCAAAGTCTTCCCCGCTGATGTTGGTGCGGACATTGACGCTGGCGTAGATGGAGTAAGGGTTCTGGCCCTGGCTGACAGCCTCCTGCTGATCAGATAGCTTGGCAGGGTTTTCCTGGGCAGGAAAGAAGTGGGGCACCTTGGCCTTTTGGAGTTTCCTTGGCCTGAGGCCCGGCACCCTGCTTGGTGTTGCATGCCAACAAGAGACTGCGGTTGCCAAGGTCACCGCTCTAGGGACAGCTCTGTAAAGGACAGGCTTTAGGCTGCAGCAGAGGTAAGGCCACTGTGGGTCTTGTGCAATTCCAGGGGTGTTGGGAACACTCTCCCCGCTTCTTTCCCATTCAAGAGAGCATATCAGAGTGACATTTTTAAAGGAGTAACTGAAAATCCAGTCTACATCCTTTAGAAAGCAAATCACTGGAAAACGTGAATTCTTGTCTTAGAAATGAGAAGTCACTTGTGATATACATTCACAACTAATAGCCATGCACCAGTGGGACAGGCCCCCAAGGGCTGAGAACCTGACTCAGCTCTGAATCTCATCTCCCAGCTCATGCTGGGCCTGCAGTTCTAGAATCGGCCACCAGGCGGCGTGAGTCATGGCCACTTGGCCAACAGGTGCCAGGGGTGTTCTGCCTCAGCTGCAGTTTGAATCTTTTGGGACGTTTTCAAAACGCACCTGTACTAGGGCTCTACCCTTGACCAATCAAAATCAGCATCGCTGGAAGTGGGGGCCCAGGCGTGGATGTGTTTGGAAAGCTGTACAGGTGACTCTAATATGCAGACAGACCTGAGAACTGCAGACCAGCCTCTCCGTCCCCTGAGGTTAGGAGGCAGGAAAGATGAAGCATCAGCCCACCCAGGAATCTCACCTCGTGCCCCCAGGGAGTGCAGACCTCAGGGAAAGCTTTGCAAATCTCAGATCGTAGCCTAGTGGCTAAGGCAGAACTAAGAGCTGGCGGCGCAGGATGGAAAAGCACCATGTCTGTTTATTACCTGCTCTTCTCTTACCTCCTGGAACAGGAAATACTCAATGAGAAGGCCCCAGAGGTCGATGAGGGAAACGCGGTGGCCGCTGCTTTCCCGGGTCCCCAGTTCCTGGATGTAGTATTGTAGGCGCTCCTTGGACATTGCCCCCATCTTACTGCTGCAGACCCGAGCCTGGGCACGCTCAATGGGGCCCTGCAAGCTCACCTGGGACCAGGCTGGGTCCTTGTAGAGTGTGGAGATGCACCTGGGCACAGAGGGAATCCGGCAGTCAGGGGCAGGGAAGTGCAGCAAGTGAAGGGGGATGCAGATGTCCGTGCGTGACCCTTCCTCCCTCATCACCTGCACCCACTGCCCTGCACCACCAGCTCAGGGGGACCCTGGGGACTCAGTTCCTTCCTGCCCCTCCTAACTCCCTTGGAGGCAGGATCCCAGCTCCCCCTGAGGGACTCCACCAGCTTACCAGGTCATATCCTTCAACGCTCTCTTTTACTCGTGCCCTGCCCCGACCTCACTTACCAGGTGGACCCAGACACCCCACTCAGGTAGGTCACAGTGTCCAGCAGGCCGAGCTCCTGCAGCCCCGCCAGGCTGCCATACAGGGAAGACATGGCTCGGGTTCCGCCTCCTGAACCCAGCACAGCCACCACAGGCACCTGGGCACATAAGAATCATCACATCCACCACCACTGTCATTTAGCTATTATTGCTTGTAATGTTGGACATTGATCTAAGAGCCTTACATGTATTACCTCATTGAATCCTCACAGCAACCCAATGAGATGCCCATTTTACAGATGAGGAAACTGAGGCCCAGGAAGTTTAGATAATGTGCCCACAATCGTACAGTCAGTAAGTGATGGGCTAGCAAACCGAAGCAGTACAGCTCCAGAGACGGCTCTTACCCACTATACCAGGAAAGTAGGTACCTGGAAGTTGTACTGGATTCACCCAAAACAGCTTAAGCAGGCTTTCTCAATCTTGGCACTACTGATAATTTTGGACCAGATAATTCACTGTTGTGAGGAGCTGTCCTGTATGTTGTAGGATGTTTAGCAGCATTCCCGACCTCTACCCAGTAGATGCCAGTAGCATCGCCCTCCCATTCCCCCTTCCCAAGTCGTGAAATAAAACATGTCTCTAAACACTGACAAATGCCCCCTGGGTAGGGGTGGGGTGTGAAATTGCCCCCCATTGAGAGCCACTGAGCTAAAGTGACAAAGACCACCAAGCAGCCTCGACCTGAGAGCCTGGACATGAGAGATGCCCAGATGTCTCTTCTGGAACAGAAGTGCCTGGTGGGATCAGACTTCAAGCTTTTTGGCTGCTCAGCTTTTCCACGAAGGTCTGGCTCATTCCACCCCAGACTTTTGGTTCCTTTCCCTGTCCTCCTGTTTTGAAAATCTAATCCCTGGCCACTGCCCAGCAAGGGCACCAACCCTTCAGAGCGCTGGAGGAGACGGAGCTCCCTGTGGGCAGGGTCTGTGTCCTCTTTACCCTCCGCCTGCATCCTACAATGCACAGGACAGCTCCTCCCAGCAATGAATTATGCAAGGACACTTGCAGCCAGGAGGAAGCCACAAACTTGTTTCTGATTTCCCTCAGGTCTCCCCCTCAGCCCTGCCTTTCCTCCTGCCTCCCAGCCACAAGCTCCCGTGGACCCTCCACTTCTAAATCCCTTTGTCTACTGTTATGGACTGAATTGTGTTCCCCCAAAATTCATATACTGAAGCCCCAGGGTGACTGTATTTGGAGAAGGGGCCTAACAAGGAGGTACTTTGGTTATGTGAGGTCATAACGGTGGGGCCTTAATCTGGTGTCCTAGTAAGAAGAGGAAGTGAGACCTCCCACCCCCCTGCACACAGAGGAAAGGCCAAGTGAGGACACAGCAAGAAGGTGGCCATCTCCAAGTCAGGAAGAGAGGCCTCACCAGAAAGCAACCCTGATGGCACCTTGATCTGGAACTTCTAGCCTCCAGGTAAGAAAATAAATGTCTGTTGTTTAAGCCGCCAGTCTGTGGTGTTCTGTTATGGCAGCCCGAGCAGACTGACAGAGCTCGCCTGGCCAGGGCTGTCCAGCCCTCCTTATAGACGGGGTCCGCTATAATCCGATACATGTTCTCCCGACTGTGCCCATCGGCTCAGGCAAACTGGCCTGCCTCCTTCCTGCAGTCTTCCTGTCACCTCTTGCCCACACAGGCCTCTCAAGGGAAGAGGCTGGATCTGTCCCAGCGGCTCCTCCATTCCATACCTGGCCGCTGTCAGGAGCCTGGCTCAGTCCCAGCGCCTGCTGCAGGGCCCTGGACACGATCGGCTTCCTCTTGTGCAGAAACTCCTGTTCCCCGTCACAGAGACCAAAGCCGAGGCGCAGGTCAAGGTCCCCAGAGCTGCCTCAGGCGGGGTGGGGGTGGGGGTGGGGGTGGGGCGCTGCGTGACTGTTCAGTGGAGGAGAGCCTCGGGCCAAGCTCATGTTTTACAGGAGCAGACCCACACTATGTGGAACCCCTCAGAAAGACCCCACCCGAACCAGATACGCCCCCACTGCCTGGGCTGAGCCACGTAGGCAGCAGAGCCCCTACATTTCCAGCCCAGCCCAATAGCCTTCCTCACCTCAGGTCTGCCTTCACACTCAGAGCCACCTCCTGGCCCTGAAAGAGACAGCAGTCCCGTGCCTGAGCACACAGCTAGATTCTCCCACCCACAAGCCCTGTTGCTCCAGTAACTGACTCAGATGTGGATGCCAAGGCTGAGCTCCCGACTGGCCTGATCTTGACTCCCTTTTGGGCCCCTCCTCCAGAATTTTTTTGGTGGTCACAGAGCAGGCAGGGGTCCCGCAGGTGCCCAGACAGAGCCTTACCTCCCCCAGGGCCACAAAACGCTGTTCCACCTGGCCTTGGGCCAGAGAGGAGAGCAGGATGCTCCCCTTGTCCAGCGTGCTGGTCTGAGCCTCCAGCTCAGCACTCTGGTCGCTCTGCAGAGAAGAAAACACCCAAGGAGCCCTCCAGAGTGGAGGAAAATGTGTCTCCGGGGTGGCCCTGGAGCATTCCTCCTGGCTGGACTGATTCTATCACCCACCCCCTCCCAGGCTCCGGGCTCGCTCACCTGCAGGACCGAGAGTTTCTCCCGCAGCTCCACATTCAGCCTGGCGCTGGGCACGGGATTCACGTGGAAGGTAAAGGTGGCTGGGAGGCCCGTCCCCACAGGAGGCTGCACGGGCAGGAGCTGTGGCTTCTCGTAGGCCCCGGGCAATGCCAGCCGAATCTGCCTTGAGCCTGGGAGCAGAGGGCCCAGGTGAACACCCAGCTGAGTGGTCGAGAGCGGGCGACAGGGGTGGCTCATGATGGCAGCACCCCGAGCAGGACCTCCCCTTCCCTTCCCCTTGGAAATGCCACCTCATCACCCTGTGCCCTCTCTGGCACTATGACCCATAGCAAAGGCATCATGAAGGACACTCAGGGTCCTACAACTTGCCCTAGTCAGCACTGGAAACCTGGGGAGGGGGAAAGCCAAGGAGGGAGAGGGGCCCCTGCCCAAGGCTTATGGGGCTGATGATTTTGAGATGATTATGTTAAGTCTATAAAATATAATTCTATAATAATTTTAATATGGTAATTATCATATAGTATGACATTAATTACCAGTTTTCAACCTGTATTCTCCCATCTCTTGCCCTCATTCAAGTTCTGTATTCATCGCCTTGGGGGAGGTTTGTGGCCAAAGAGAAAACAACTAGGCCACAAGTTGTTCTGGCCTTTGCTTCCAGGGTGTAAGGCCTTGGGAGAACAGAGAGGGTTTGCAGACGGGTAAAAGGAAGAAGTGGGTTCGTGGCACAGAGAGAATAGGTGGCTTGGAGGAGCTGGGGAGGGCTAGCCCAGGCTAGAAGGTGAAGCCAGGCTGGGAGGAGGTGAGGAGAGAGGCCTGCGGGCCCAGGAGCAGCAGGGCCCCATTCCTAGCAGCTTTCTGTGGAGGAGGAAGGACCTCAGAGAGAAACGGCTGTGTGACACCCATGCAGGGGGATCTCAGACAGCCTCACAACAGAGCCCCAGACCCCAAATACGGCTTACAGCAACAGATACCCAAAGAGTCCAGGATGGCAGACGCCTCAGGACCAGAGTCCAAATGGAATCCCTCTCCCTCCGTGCCCTCCTAGGCACTAAATGAGACCCGGAGACTTGACATCACCCCGGGGTGGGAGGGGATTAGAGAAAACAAGGAAAGTGAGATGTCTTTCACACCATGGTTTATGACTGACACTGATTTCTGCTGCTCATAGTCAGAAACAACAGAATCTGTGCTGGACACAGCCAACAGCCCCAGAGCATCACAGAGCTGGATTTGGTCCCGGCTCTGCCACTTATTGGCTGCGTGGCCTTAATCAAGTTTCTTCTTTGAGCCTGGATATCATGAATTAAAAGAGGATAAAGATTGTACGGGCCTACTTTATGGGGTTGTAATGAGGATTAAAAGATAAAACACATGTACAATGCTCTGCACAGTGCCTGGCTCAGAGTAAGTGCACACTGTTACCTGGGTGGCACTCATCCCACAGACTAAGACTCAGTGTCTGCAGGACCTTAGCTGTCACACAGCCTCCTCTCCCACATCTGGACCCCCCTCCTGAGTGGCTGTCCTCTGTTGCAGACTGCACCAATGGCCCCAGTTCTTCACTTCTGTAATGCTCCCTCTTTGCCACGTGACTTTGGCTCCTGCCACTAAAGAGGCCGGCCACATTCCCTGCCCTCCAACTTTAGGGTCAGCCCAGGGACCTGTTTTGGCTAATGAAATGTTACTCAGTGGCCGTGATGTGACTAAAGGCTAGAAAAGCACTTGCTCATTTGGGCTTGCTCTCTTGTGCCTCTGCTGATGCCTGAAGGACATGCCCAGGCTAGACCGCTGGTCACAGAAGGTGGAGGAGGGACACATGGAGCAGAGCCAGCTCACTCCCACTAAGTCTGGCCTAGACAAGTGAAGCCCCAGCTGACCACCAGACGTGTGAGCTAAATGAATGCTCCCTGTTGTCTGCCACTGAGATTTTACTGGTGTTTTGTGTAGAGCCGGAGTTGGACTGATACAACCTCTATGCTTGAATACTTCCAGGGACAGGAAATTCTCTACTTCCAGAGGCAATCTGTTCCATCCTTGGTCAGCTTTAAGCAGTGAAAAATTAAGAAGTTTCTTCCCCAGACTCATCTTCTTGAAATCAGCAGCTCCTAGCCCACCCAGGAGAGAAGGCAAGACCAAGGTCCCTGGCCAGACTTACCATACTCTTGATGTGGGGCTGTTTCAGCTCCCCCGAGGGTACCCTCGATTCTCAGACAGGGCTGAGCCTGAGGAAAGCAGAGGCCTGTGGGAGCCAGACAATCCACAGGCCCTGCACAGCACCCGAACCAGGACGGAGGAAGGGAGGGAAGGAGGGGTATCTGGGGCAGGGTCCAGGTAACAACCTTCTCAGGGCCTGTGCCTTATGGGCAGGGTCTTCTGTAGCAGCCCCCCATTGCAGAGTAAGGGGCCCCTGGTGGAAAAGGGGGAGGAGGTAATGGGCCCTGATAGTGGCTCCTTCGGCAGTGTCAGCAGCCAGGGTCCCAATTAAGAAATGAGCTGTGCACAAAGTAGAAAGCCTGGCTTCTGGGCTGTCCACACAGGTGAGGCAGCTTCTTGCCCTTCCTCCCTGAGATGCCTCCCCAGCAAATCTGCCCTCTGAGGAGATGTTGAATGTCCTTCGGAGGCAAGTGGGTGTGATGGGCTCAATCATGGACTCTTCACTGTCCCCCAGCCCTGAGCAGCCCCAAGCTGGCCTTCCTACTTACCACCAAGACCCCATTGGTGATGACTTCAGACGCAGGCACCTGACTGCAAAGGATGAGAGGCTCATGGGACATTTGGTCCCCTTGAGATGGCTGTTACTGTAATAATGTGACCAAACCAGCTGGAAGAGCATGGGAGCACGGCAGTGTTTGGGGATGGGGGCAGACCTGTTGGCCAATACTGCAATGGGCATTAAGACCAGGACGTTCCCTCTCAGGCCAGGCCAGGGTAGGACACGGTGACTGACAACTGGGAGCTGTCCATGAGTCTCAGGATAAATGGGAAGACATAGGCTCCACCTGGACTCACCTGTTCTCCAGAACAAATTCCACCTGCAGCTCCTGTGAATCCTATATGGAAGGAGCAAGGCTATTTTCAAAGAGCTCTGAAAGCCCCAGGGGCCGTCCCTGCACCCCAGCCCTGCTTAGCTCTGTGACTGGAAGAGGACACTGTTGTTGTGGCTTCCCATGGGCACAGGGGGGCAGTGGCATCGCCACGAAGAGCTACATCCATTCAAAACTGTGTGCTTGATGCTGTTCTAGACACTGAGGACTCAGCAGTGACCGGGACAAAGAGCTCTGTGCTCAAGGAGCTCACATGTTGGCTTCACACAGGGAAGAAGTTGGTAGGGTCAGTGCTGCAGGATGGAGGAGGGTCTGTCCTGGAGGCCTGGCCTGTGCTAACTGGGAGGCCCCACTTCAGTACCCTGCGTGGGGCCTCCTCTCCTTGAGTTTGGCTCGTTGCTGGTGCAGGTGGGGTGGCTCACCTGGCGGTTGAGTAGAAAGGTGTGTCTGTGGGGTTGGCCGGGCTTGAGGCTCCTCAGGTCAAACAGCAGCAGGCAGAGCTGGTTGCTGTCCAAGACATCCTTGTCATAGAGGGTGAGTTCCAGGACGTTCTGGGGATGGGGATGGGGCAGGAGGAGGTGGGAGCTGAGGCAGGGCAGGAGGGCGGACACCCTGGAGGAGCCTCTCCCTCAGGCACCTGTACCCTGGCTGGTCCTCACCTTCACAGCGCCATGGATCCGGTAGTGGAAGGTCTCGTTCCACTCAGGGTCCCTGCAGTTTGCCACCATCCTTGTCTGGGCCTGGCTGGGGGATGCTGTGGGCAGCCACAGTTGCACGTAGCAATCAGGCTTGGACACTGCAGGTGGGATGGGGGAGGGGTCCTCAGCCTCTGGCTCTTATTGCTGAAAAGGGTGCCCCAAGGAGGCTAGGGTGGGAGGGGAAGGAGCAGGCTGCCCAAGTGGGGCGGAGGGATGGAATTCTGGGAGAGCCGATGTCCTTGACCTCTCATTCAACTGAGTGGAAAAATCCTGCAGCAGCCAGTTGAAAAGATCATGTGGCAGCACAGACCACTGAGCAATTCCCAGAAACAGCCTGATTCGGGCAACAAACTCCCCTCCCAGAGTGAGCATTGGCATGGAAAGCTCCTGGAGAGCAGATGTTGACTTCTGGCAACAGCGGGCTCACCCAGGCTGGCACTGCTCCACTTCCTAGACCCAAGGAGGAATGCTTGGTCTGCACAGTGCTCCTCTCATCCCTGCCTGCCTGCCTGCCCCAGGGCTGCAGTCTGGAGGCCTCCCTCCACAGTGAGCACCGGCCCCTCCTCCCTACGCCAAACACACACACTCTCTGGGCCAGCCTCTGCTGAGCTCTGGGGCAGCCCAGGGAAAGGAAGGGGAGAAAGGGTAGAATTGGGGGTCACTCACACAGATCAGTGCCTTGGATATTTCTGGCCCTCAGCACCTTCACCTGGAGGTCATAGTATGGGTGGGTTTCCCGCTGAAACAACAGAACTCCGAGGGCTCAGGGCCAGGAAGCTGGGTGTCAGGCCCGATCTCCCGGTAGCACTGCCCAGCTCAGGTGTCCCTCGTCCCATTACAGAGCAGCAGCCTGACCCAGCGGCACTGATGTCGCAGTGCCAAGGACCTGCGAGGCCTTGGCAGGGCCCAGGCGTTCGGCGTGCTGCACAATGTTGATGAGTCTGGACCCTGGAATCCGTTGGGCTGGGTTCAGATCTAAGCTCCGCCCTGGACTAGGTGAATGGCCTCAGACAAGTTCCTTGAGGTCCCTGTGCTCCAGTTTCCCTATGTACAAAACGGGGGTTGTAATGATAATCTCATGGGGTTGTGGTGAGTTGTAAATGAGAAGTTGTACAAAGTGCCTAGCATAAAAGCTTAATACACACAGCCATTTTTACTAATTATGGTTTTTATGCACCACAGACTTGCAGCTCCCCTCAGACTACAGTGCCGCTGCTGTAGCTTGAGAGCTGAAGGGAGAGCTGGAGTAATGTACTGAAGGAGATGAACTATTAGGAGAGAAAGCTGTGATAGACCCCACCCACTGGCTCCCTGACAAAGGTTAGACTGCCTAGGAGGCGGCAGGCAGGCAAAGGGAAACGAGCGTCACCCAGCTTGTACTGGTCTGACAAGTCACTAAGCAGGCTGCAGCTTCAGCTCAGGAGCGATAATAGCAGACTGTAGCCTCCTGGGAGGGAGGCAATGCCCTCAAAATCCCAGCAAGTGTTTTATTCCTTCCCCCTGGTGGACTGTACAGCCAGGCGAGGGTATTCTGGGCAAAACTAACCAGCTGCAAGTGTCATATGACCTCCCCTTCTCATTAGGGGGATTATTTTCAAAAGCCAAGGTCATGGCTAACCTTTCTAACTTCAGCTCCGCCAGGTTGGCTGGAGCAAATCGGTCCCAGGCCAGATCAAAACCCAATCCTGGGGCTGGTCTCAGTCTTCAGAGGGACTGTGCTCCCAGGACTCCTCCACCCACACCTCCCAGGTAAGATCAGGTACTTTACCCGCCATTGCCTCCACTGAGGTTCCCTCTTCTCTCTCTTCCGCAACAGCACTGCCCCCAGGAGGGGCAGCCCCTTGCCTGCCAGCCACCTTGGCCAGAGCGCCCAGAGCATGGTCAGGCAGCCAGTTCCAGCAGGAGGTTTTCCAGAGCCACCCTGCTGTCCTCTGGCTACACTCTCTGCTAGCTCTGGTCTAACAGGTGGCGCTGGAGCACGGAGGGTGGAGCTGCCTGCTCTTCTAAGGACTCAGAGCTGGGTGGCCCCTTGGGGCTGGAGGTGGGGTTTGATGGCTCCAGGAAGTGACTGGAGCCCAATTTCCTCAGGCAGGAGGCACTTCAGTCCCTCTCCAAGAGGATAAGGAACTGGCACTCTGGTTCCCAAATCCAGCTCATGGTTATTATTGGGCTGCTTATGGAAAATAGCTGAGCCTCACCCCTAGATGATTTGATTTAGTGTGTGTGGGTAGAACCCAGGTGTTCACATTTCCAACGAGCCATCTAGACAATGCTGACACAGCTGACCCAGGGAACAGCAGCTGAGAAGTGCTGCATCAGGAGACTCGTCCCTAGCTGTCCAAAAAGCCTAAAACCAACCACCTTTCAAGTTCCACCTTCCCCATGGTTCTTCAGCAGAAATACGGAAATCTGTGGTTTGGTTTCATCTGGACTCAAAGGTCTTTCTAACCTCTTGTGGCCTCCTCATTTATTCTCCAAACACTGAGCGCCTGCTGTGTGCCAGACCTGCACTAGGGCCTAGAACCAAAGGTGAGGAGGGCCCATCCATATCCCGAAGAAATCCACAGCCCCATGACTCCCTGTGGCTTCTGCCCAGGCCCGCTTCCTGGATCAGTGGAAATATCCAGATGGTCCAGGTGCAGAGGCAGGGATACGGCCAGGTGGTATGGATAACAGCAGGTAAAAAGCAGGTCTGCCTATCCTGAAGCTACTAGAGATAACGGCTTTAGAGAGCCCTCCTTTGACCCCTGTAAGGCTTAGGCTACAGGTGGTATGTGATGCCCCCTTTTCTGTGGACCACGACTATCTATGTGACCGAGACAGGCACAGTCTCCAGAAGAAGAAAGGATGTCTAGAGCAGCAAGCGGTGAGGAGACACATTTCTCTTCCTCAACCAAGAGCCAGTCATCTCCACTCTCCTCCCCAAGGCCCGAGGTGGAGACTAAAAAACAACATCCAAAAGAGGTGATTCAACTCCAAAATGAACCCGGTAGGCAAGTTCAGACCAGTAACACCCAGAATAAAAGGGGATGTGACTCCCATTGGCCTGGCCCCAAAGTGAGGGCTTGTTTCTGCTTAATTTGGAGCATGAATTCTGTGCTGAGGTCTCAGAAATGCCAGAGTCCAACTCCCTTGGTCATCTGTGTGCAATGTGTACAGGACCCACAGATCCACACCAGTGGAGCCTGAGGGGGGACACAGAGCTGGCTGGGAGCAGAGCCGGTCTGCAGTCCAGTGCTCCTGACTGACCTGAGTGCTTTCTGGGCTGTACCACTCTCTCCAGGGAGTCATCTGCCCTGCGTCTCAATATAGCCATGCCTCTTAGTTCCAGACGTTTTCATCTCAGAGAAAACTCAGGATAACCACAGATGGCTCAAGAGTGGGACACAGAAGGACCAAGTCACCTTTTTGGAGCTGGCTGAAGTGGACCAGCACTTCTCCACTTCTCAAACATCCCTGGGTCACTCAATTCCAATTCCATGACCCTCCCAGTCATCGTGAGATGCCAGAAGAGGCACAAGGCCCTAACATGTGAAGTGAAGGGGGAAACAATGGATTAGCTAGCATTCCAGTGTGTCCAGGAGAAATGGCACTGCTGGAAATGTTCTATATCTGTGCTGTCAATACATCAGCCACCAGACACACTGGGTGCACAGGGTGGCACACATCAAGACATGTATGACAGAAGTGCTATAGTGATTTTTTTTTTTCTTAGTCACTAATTGACTTATTCTCCCCAATTCTTAGCTAAATTATTATCCTCTCATTGTTACTTTCATGAAATCCCACAGGAAGGGGGAAAAAAGAGACCCAAATAGGCTTGGTTTCTTACTTCATGACGTTTATTATGAGAGATCCTCATCAGTCCTCATTACAGAGCTTTCATCTCCAGCCTTCTCCATACCTCCACAGAGGGCAGAGAGCGTCTAGGGAAGGAAGAGCTGAGTTTGGAAAAGCTGGGTTGTTTATGTATTCCAGAAGGAAGAACACACACATTCTTTATCCTATTGCTTCAAACACATGTGCCACAAGGTAGTGTGAATGGAAACCACAAACACAGCAGGCCAGGGAGGAGGGCTCGCGCGGTAGGGTGAGTTTTCTGCTGGACAGTAGAGGGCTGGTCTGACCATCTTCCTGCTGCTCCCAAAGCGCAAACGGGACCCTCACAGGGCGGCACTGCTTCTTGTGGGCTGGTGCAGCCAGTTGGGACATGGTTCTTGTGAAGGACTCCTTGGCCTCCAAACCTGAGCAGCGTCCCCTGGCTTGGTGAGCAATGCTGACGGCACTCCAAGACCCTCCACGGTGAGCGTGCCTGGGAGCAGCCTAGTCTACACCACCAGCAAGTCGGTCTACGACACAGGCCCCGCATAGCATGGTGCTACAGTTTAAACAGGAGCATGGCATGTCAAGGACAAGCCACTCAAACAGTGTCAGTATTCGGCACCATCACCCACCCTCACTACTTGTTAAAGACACTGAGACAACAGGACTGTGAGTCTGCCAAACCCCACGGAGGACAGGATGCAGGGCCACTCTCCCTGTGTGTCCTGAGCCTGCAGGGCCAGACACTCCTGTGCACCTCTAGGGTGCCCTGTGGGAAGCAGGACCTCCCCCAACACACAAGAGCTTGACGGATTTGGCGGTGAGTTGTCATCAACCCACACGCTGCTGCTCCTGCTCCTGCAGCACCTCCACTATCCCCAAGCACCTCACAAGCATGCCAGCCATCACGTCACTGTCAGCTCCTGGTCTGATCGTCCCCTGTGTGCAGCAGACATCCACCCAGCGCAACCCTCCAACCCCTGCCGAGCAAGGCTGGAGAAGGACGGCCAGGCTGCGCTGGAAGGCAGTGGGTGACATGGCTGGAAAGGGAAAGGTGTCAAAGCAGGAAGCCCGCGGCTCACAGAGACTAAACCAACCTGCCCTGGGTGGCTGCTGGGTGAACCAAAGCAGGAGCCTCTGCGGAGTCGGCCCAAGAAGTCACACACCCACTGCGGTCCCTCCTCAGAGCTACCCCACACTTGGCCCTGAGGGGACGGAGAAGGTCACTCTCCTGAACTCCCAGGCATAGAGCGTACAGTCCAAGGAGGACCTATTTACAACATACCTGACCCCCAATTACCAACGTACTCTTAGAACACACTTCCTCTTGCTTCTCACTCTACTTTGTATAAGATATTAGTCTCAGTGTCAGGAAAATGGGAGCGAAAGCCTGGGGGAAGCAGTAAGGGAAGATAAGGGAAGAAAATAAATAGTGAGAAAGAAGAGACTGAATATAAAGAGACTCCTAGGGAGACTCCTGGGGGGACACAGGGACAGTGACTATGGAGCAATGACCATCATTCCCAAGGGAGTGAGGCCTCTGCAGCAGAGGCGCTCCACCCTGCCCTCCTCGCACAGGACTCAGCTGTGCTGAGGGCTCTGCAAAGTCCTGCAGGTTCCTTAACAGAAATCGCTGCAGAAACAGCCCTGGGGTTACAAACACTTGAGACAGTTTCCTTATTTAGGTGACTGGTATGCACAGCAAGACGGCGCCCTTCCCCATCTCCTCCTGTCCACGCAGGTATGAAATTCTCTGGAATGGCCTGCAACGTAATGGTATAGAAGGTATAACTAATCTCTTTTTCTATTAAAAAGCTGGCAACACCAGACCACGAGTCTGATTAATTCAGAGATGTTCCAGGGCACAAGGTGGCCAACAGTGTCCAAATGGGGAGACACCTGGTGTGTCAGCAGCCCCCGATTCCTAAGGCTGGTGCTCCGTCCCCTCTCTGGGATAGCCGAGCCGTCCATCTGCAGAAGCCTTGGCAGGCTGGGCTCAGGTGTCAGCCGGGTTTACCTCTTTGGAACAGAAGTAGTGCACGACCACTCCGTTGGGGTATCTTGCAAATGCACTGCAGGGGAGGAAAATGACTCGGGAGTGAGGCTGCCTCTAAGAGAAGACCACTTCTTACCTGGAAAAGGCGCCTTACCCGGGAGCCATCTCAGAAGAAGCCCACCCTAACCACAAGGGGCAGCCTGCTCCGAGGCTCTCTGGATTTACACAGCCACCATCTCTGTCAAATAACTGAACAGGATGGGGTCCAGGCAGTTCGAGCGCGCAGGGATATTTCTTGTTCAGTCAGCGCTGTGAAGCACGGAGCAGATGGAGCAGTGCGCCAGCCTGGCTCAGCACTGCTCCCTGAGAGCCGGCGATGCTCGTCAGAACAAGCGTCAGCTAATTCTAACACAGGACAGCCAGTTACGTCTCTCTAAAGTAAGGATTCTTCCAGCCATATACAAAAAATGACAAATCACTCTCCTTCGAAGGAAAGGGGATCGACTAGAGTATATGCTTCAAAACAGAATGATGCTGGCTCAGGATTTTACTCAAGTCGTGAGGTAGCAGGTTGAAAGATCTTTTTCTTCTCCTTCAGAGACACATCCTTAAAAGATAAGGACTTTCTGCCCACATACAGCTCCCACACACCCACCGGCTACATCACAATTTCTAGCTGCCAGAGGGGAAGGGCTTTACGAGCAAAAAGTCAAGAGCCCCATGCCATACATTCCAAGTCTTTAAATTCTCAAAGCCCAGCCCTAACAGACAACACGGACTGCCCTCTGGAGGCTCAAGAACTACCAGCGGCCAGGAGAGTCAGCAGCTGTGCTTTCCTCTTTGGCTAAAGGCCAGAAATGCATCCCGAGTGTGACCCACGGCAGAGCTGACGCTGGGCAGCTCCAGGGGAGGCTCACCTGTTCCCAATCTTCTTCTTACACACCATGCACACCTTCTCCTCCGTGATGATGCACTTCACCTGCTGGTGTAAAATCCGCTCTTCCTGGACCTGGGCAGGGGCAGGGAGATTGGGGGAGGGTCCCATGGTCTAGTATGTAGAGCAGAAGGCAGAGGCTGGCAGTGTCTCATCTCTCAGGCCACAGAGTCCTCTAAAGGAGGCACTTCAACTAAATGTCAAGTCGGTTACTGGATCTGAGCAAAAGTGTTAAAGAAACACACAGCTCTGCCTTGTCTACAGGGAATATTGGTAGCCATCTCACACTAAACAGGACAACCCCACCCGAGAGGCTGGGAAGTTCATACCCTCAGGAATTCTGCATGGAGAAGGTTCTTGAGCACTTGATTGAACCGTTTCTTTTGTGCATTTTCTTCCAAGACCTTTTCCAGAAAGATGCGTATATCGTTAATCTGAGTGTTTGCTGGCAGAAGGTTGATGGCCTAGGGACAGGAACAGAGATGGGAACAGGGTGAGGTGGAACAGGAGTGAGACTGAGATGTCTGAAGCCACAGAGCTCGCCGACCCCAGTCCCTTTCTCCACCCCCTCTTCTCATCCAATGCTCCCTGCAAGTGTCCTCCGTGTCCCCGAGAAGAGCTCCTGACCTTGGTGGTGTCCAGTTTGCTATGGTGCAGCTCGAGGACCTGAAGGGCAGCCTGGAGGTTGGCCTGTGGCTCCTGCAGTTCCAGCTTGATTGGCCCCAGGCAGTGTACGCTGGGTGGCGACAGGTACATCCGCAGCAAGGACAGATACACCTGTGTCGTACAGGCACAAGCCACGCACGTCAGGCTGGCAGGACCCACCCAGAAGGCCCCAGCATGACCACCCCTAAAGATAAGGGGGGTTGGTCTATAGTACAGCCGTCATGGAGCATTTACAACTCATCATTTTTCACCTTTTAAAGGCTTTTGTAAAATCAAAAAGGCAACTGCAGATGTCAAAAACTAAGCATTGTGTTTTCCCTGAGAGAAAAAAATCAAATGCCTTGTATTTGTCTGCATTATACTGTTGACAAAATGCCAACACTGTGAAACGACTTAAAAAGATCCCTCGTTTCCTTTGGCTTTGAGGCCGAGACCCTGTCACATCTTGGCAGGTGACGATTCACCCACGATGATGCCGCATTTCCTTCCGGTGCCAGTATCACAGGGTTTCTCAACCTCAGCACTCAACATTGTGGGCTGGACAGTTCTCTGTGGGGCTGTCCTCGGCACTGTTTAGCAGTGACTCTGGCCTGTACCTCCCAGCACCCACACCCCCAGTCATGACAATCAAAAATGTCTGCAGGCATTGACAGATCCATGTGCATTCTAGACAGAGCACATATGCGCACCTTAGCAGAACCGTCAGCTGTTCCTTCCCAAAAGGCTGACCGTGTAATTTATTACACAAGTTGGGACTCTTTTGAGAGTAAAGGGGCAGGGGTGCTACTAAGAATCCCCCAGATGACAACAGAGGTAAGCCAGAACTATCCGAGCCAAGCAGGATGTATGGTCACCCTGCCTCCCCCTCATTACACACAGGCAGAATCAGTCAGTGCACTGACCCCACACCCTGTCTTGTCTTAGCAGTTCATACTAGTGTCACCTGTGTGCAAACCAGAGGGGGTCAGGAACACTAAGAGGGACCGTGAAATGCACACATGCTCCCCGGGGCCAGGGTCACTGCTTACATCTTTGTTGCCGTCTTTGTTTTGGTCATAATGCTTGTGGCAGTATCTGCAAGAGAGAAAGCGGTGAGACCAGAGGGGCCGTCTAGAGAAGGTCATCAAGGCTGCCTGCATGAACACCCAATGAGAGCCCAAATCAGGGGCCAGCACAGGTGGCAACTCTCGCTTCTGCTGCAGGGTGGAGGGGAGATGGGTCTCTCAGCCTCCCAGGCCTCTCCTCTCTCTGGGGGGCCTGCTTTTAGACCCACTGGGAGGTGGGATGGCAGGGTCAACGTACTCCTCAGCCATCCTTGTATCCTTCAGGACGTGGACGTAGATGAAGAGAGCTTGCTCGTGTTTCCCCATGCGGCCCAGCAGGAGAGCACGTTCTTCCAAGAGGCCTGTGAGGAAAAGGAACGTCAGAAACCCTCACCACCATCATGTAGGCCCAAGGCCAGCAGCTAAGCTACTAGAGGCATGGGTATTGGGGCAAATAAATTGGGAGAAAATATTTTTATTACTTGGGATGTTTTTCAAGGAGAAAATTACTAAAATTTCAAAAAGGGTGGAGGGAGCTATTTTAGGAGGTACTTTCTGTGATCATTTATAAACTGGGTAAGAATGCTCATTCAGAAGTCAAGACCATAATAAGCACCACAACGTGCCAGGCACTTCAGCTAAGGTCAGCAAACACTTTGTCGGCTCTCACAGAGTTGACACATCAGACAAACGTGTGTCTTTTCACAAATATTGCTAAACAATGAACTTGGCCAAGAACATTTGCTGAGAAAATAAACATGTTTCAACCTGACTGTCAATTAGCCTGTGGTTCACACCTAAAAGAGACTCCTCTCAGTCACGGTTCAAGAGTCTTCAGAGGGGACAGAACAGGAGCATTGGCCTGGAACGCGGTTTTTCCCAGGCCCAACTTTTTGGGGGGATGGGGACCGGGAAAAAGGAAAGATCAGTTTTGCATTACCTTCAGCTGAAGTGGCTTCTGGTCATATGCCAGACACTCACCATCAAAAGGAAAGTCACAGATGAGCCGGCCTGGATCATAGTAGCTGGAAATTTCCAAGAACACAAGAAGCTTCCGTCGGTATTCTCCCAGCTCACCCTCTTCCTCTCCAGCAGGGACTGGAGTTTTGCCTTTAAGGGAAACCAAGCTCCACATGAAAGAATGCTGTCAGGCAGCAATGTGGGGTCATCAAGAAAAACATGTCACCACCATGATCAGAAAGGGCCTCCCCGGTGGGTTTCCAGTTGGACTTTTCTTGGTTTAGGGTTTCTAAAGGGCCCCCAAAAGAGAGCTTGAGCTTAGGGAAAAAAAAAAAAAAAAAGCTGCATAGAGAAACACTCTAGTAGCCACACCTGTTTCTTATCAGCACAGTTATCATCTTGCAGACATGTCTATTCCTTCCTCCTCCCCCAGGGGTGACGCTCAGAGATGCCCACATCCAGACAAGAGCTCCTGAGCCTCACGTCCTGGGTCACTTAGCTGCCCTGGCTCCTCTGAGGAACTTCCCGCCCACCTGGGCCCATGAAGAATGGTGAGATCTGCTTCCCTACCCCACACATGGCACCCTCGGGTCCTAGCTCACCTAAGACCCAGGGCCACCTGGCTTTCTATGAGGACTGGTACCTGCCGGGAAGGACAGGAGATACTCCTTCATCAGACCTTGCACCTTCTCACAGTACAGCTGGATCAGGCAGTTGTGGAACCGAGAGCCTGTCTCCTCCCAAACGTGGATGACATGTTCCTGAGGGGAGACGTAGGTCAGCCTGGTACCCTCTACACGGTGACCCAACTCAGTCATTCAGTCCCCCTCACATTTTTAAGGCCCAACAGGTCCCATCCAGATTGTCCCCTAATTAAGCTGCAAAGATTACCAAGGGACAGCTCCTCTAAAACCACAGGGAAATTTTACAGTACAACACAGCAATGTTAGGAATTATCTTCTTGATTTCCAATCTAAACTCCTTGATTAATTTTGTCCCATAATCCTCCAAATTCTCCTATCAACCCATATAATCAAGGTTAAATAGTTGAATTCTGGTACTTAAAACTGATCTGCTTGTCCTGTGGTCACAGTTGAGTTTGGCTGTACAAATGCGACTTTGAAATGTTTTTGTCGAACGTCACTCTCTTTTATCCCTCTGTAATTTACCTAGATTTAGAAAGCATCATCAAAAAGTAACACTTGCAGCGTGGTCTACTGGGATCTCTTTCTCCAGAGGACGTTGAAGTAACTCTCTTCCTTACATTTCTACCAATCCCCAAGGGACACAAAGCCCAATCGGAACCGCCCAGTAACTGAACCATGTGGTCCTGAATCCCAGGTTTAGAGCTTTTTAGTTGAGACCAAAACATATCTTACCAGATAAGGAATAGCCAGACCCTTAAAGTTCTCTACTAGGAAGCCGAGCACTCGGTCTCGTGGCAGAGACTCCACCTCCGGGAGGTCTTCCGTAAATATCTGCCGGGACAAACCCGAGTTCCATCAGCAGAACCATCTGACCACAGTGCTGCCTGCCACACACGTGCAAGGGGAGGGTCAGGCGGACAGACTTTTGGAGCCTGGGACGTGGGAAGGGCGTACAAGAAGGCGTCTGCAGGGGGTTAGTGTGACAGACTAGGTCGCAGGCCTCCTGACGTCTGTGCAAGGCTCTTTCCACTCCACTCCACTGTGGTCTCAGGTTTCCCAGTCTACTCTTTTGAGCACCAGAGAAGGTGCGTGAATCCTTCCTCCCCTCCATCCCTTGCTGTCCTAAGTAGAATCTGGCCCAACCCTAGTAGCAGATAAATGCGAGGGACTCCCGTGACCAACCTTTAGGCCATCCTCTGGGAAGTCTCTCAGCACCCACACTGAGTAGGAAAAAATCAAATGCAGGTTTTCGGTGCCTAGGGGGAAGGGAAGACTTGTCAGCAAGTGAAACCCACCCTGCCCATTGGACTGGGAAGGCAGGTGCCCAGGTTGCTGCAGGATTTACTTTCCAGAGAAGACAGCTCTATCCAAGCAGCAGTCACTCAGGGCTGCTTGGCTCTACTGGGCTGGCTACACACCAAGTGGCCATCAAGCTCCCACCTGGAGGACTTTTACCCCAACTGGAGGAATCAAGTCGGGTGACCACGGGGAAGGGAGGGGACTGACGAGCCAGAATCAGAAATGGTGGGAGATCAGGTCCATTTGCACACCATCCCTTTCAGAAGTTGGACTTACCCAGGTGTTGCAGGTACTGCACGGTCCTCTCATGGCCTTTCAGAGGGGAGTTCGCTTTCTTGGACTGGTCCACCAGCACCTGCAGAGCTGGCCACGAAGCCCAGGAACAAGGTCAGGAGCCTCTCCCAGACGGCGCATCCCCACGGGAGATTTATCACACCTCAGTACGTTTCCCCTGTCAACGTACAAGACCCTCCCAGATCAGAGACACCCCTCCCCCGGTCACCTTTCTCGTGGAGCCCCTTCTTCTCGTACAGGATTATCAGTTCACTGTACTTGTGGGCCTTCTTCAGCACGTGCTCGCTCTCTTCGATGTGGCAGTGATTGTTCTCCAGGCGCAGTAAGGGGGCCACCAGGGCCACGTTCGTCTGCAGAGGAAGCAGGCCTTCAGCAGAAACTCCTTCCTGGGGCCCACCCTTACCTGGCCCAGGGCTGCTTCAGGATGAAAGGCCAGGGATGTAACACGAGCAAGAGAAAGCAAACAACCCTTTTCCAGGACTACTTTTATAGCATAGCCCTTTCACACAACATGTTTTAACTTTTTTTGGGTGGAGAAGAGAGGAAGGGAACGTTTTCTTTGACGAAATACTGTCCCTGTTCGCCTTGTAGCACAAATCCCAATCTTACCAGAGAAGACCAGCCCACTGTAAGATTCTGGGTCAGCATCTTGCCTTATCCTCTTAATTCCAAGAATCTCACAGATGTCAAACAAAGACGAGGTGGTTCCCATCATCAAAGATTTCACTGTTACTAGTGGTAGGTAGCTCAAAGTGGCACTTTCCCAGTTTCAGGGAACTAGGGATTTGTGGGTCCCCAAGAGCTAGGAGAACTCACATGGAGGTAGCACTTGAGCAGGGTGGTGTCGATGATTTGTAACAACTTCTTCTTGGATTTGATGGTGGGAGTGCCCTCCATGAGCGGGGAGGTACTCGACTGGTGATCAGAGTCATTCAGCTTCTTTACCAGTTGGCTTCGTTTCTGCAAAGGCCAAAAATGGGGGATCTAGGCTAGAACTAAATCTTTCTTTATCATTTGAGCTACCAGGTAATTCCAAATACCTCCAAATCAGCTCACACCTATCCACCCTGATCTCATATTGCATATAATTTTTATCAGGAATCAAAATAGATGACTGCCAAACTGCCACAGATACAATCACAATTTTTTCAAGATTAACACCTGAGCTAACATCTGTTGCCAATCTTTTTTTTTTCTCTTCTTCTCCCCAAAGCCCCCTACAGTACATAGTTGTATATTCTAGTTGTAGGTCCTTCTGGCTCTGCTATGTGGGATGCCGCCTTAGCATGGCTTGATGAGCAGAGCTAGATCTGCACCCAGGATCTGAACCAGCGAAACGCTGGGCCACCAAAGCAGGGCACCTGAATTTAACCACTTGGCCACGGGGCTGGCCCCCAATCGCAGTTATATACTGGGTATTTACTACACACCAGGCACTTCGCCAAGCACTTTATATATTATCCTATTTTAAACCTAAAACAAATGCAGGTATTACTATCCCCATTTTACAAGTGAAGAACCCAAGGTGCAGATGTTAGAAATCTCATAAGTGGCAGAGGCAGGTTTCAAATTAGGGTCTGATTCCAAAGCTCACGTTCTTTTATTATTATTTTTTTTAATCAATTTCATTGAGGTGTAAGTTACATACAATAAAATGTACCCTTTTATTTATTTATTTTTTGCTGAAGGAAAATTTGCCCTGAGCTAACATCTGTGGCGAGTCTTCTGTTTTGTATGTGGGTCACTGCCACAGCACGGCCATCGATGACTGGCGTAGGTCAGCGCCCGGGAACCAAACTGGGGCTGCCAAAGCAGAGTGCACCAAACTTAACCACTAGGCCTCAGGGCTGGACCCAAAATATACCCTTTTAAAGTATACTATGAGATGCATTTTGACAAGAGATATATATGCATGTGACCACCACCCTAATCAAGGAACAGAACATTTCTGTCACCCCAGAAAGTTCCCTTATGCTCTTCCCAAAGAATCCCACCCTCCCTCTACCCCACTGATTTGATCTCTATCACTAAAGATTAATTTTTACCTCTTCTAGAACTTCATACAAATGGAATCACCTGGTTTGTACTATTCTGTGTCTGGCAATACCCACAGTCTTATATGCTTTACCATCTCTCTGGCAGAATATCAGTGTTCTATCAACGTCAGTGGAGAAGGCCAGGGAAGAATGTGTGCTTGGAGTCTTAAAGCTAAGACATTGGCAACAGAGGGCCTCCTTTAATGCCACAGGTCTGGGAGACAGTCTGCCCCAGAAACGTTTTTCACTCGGCATGTGGGCCATACGGTGTGCAGACAGGCATATCTATGTGCTCTCTGCAGGTGGCCGGCCACAGCTGGGTACCCCTGGAGCCCAGCGCCAAGGAAGTGCCAAGGCTACACATGCCTGAGCAGACCTGCGGGACACTCACTGACCCAGAAGCAGGCGGCAGGAAGCCAGCTTGCAATTTTCCTAGCAATACTTCTCAGGGCTACCCAGGGGACCCCTTATAAAGGTCTGCAGAACACTTAAGGGGAAAAGATTTACTAAGTTCTCCAACTCTGAGTGGGTGCGTGGGAAATAAATAGTAACTTTCTGCAACAGCAGTTTGGGGTTGAGACTTCAACGGAGATAAAAGTTTTAGTATTGACTTGAAAATTTCACTTATCTGTCCCTAACAGTAAACTGAACAAAATCTAAATATTCACCCTAAAAAAACACGTTATAGAAGAATATTTATTGATAAGGACGGACTTTCCCAATATATGCCTAAATTTTTTAAAAGTACACTAAAAACAATATATAGTTTGAAATCTATTTGCAATAAATAAAAAAACAAACACTAATTCACAAATACATATAAAAGTCTGGAAGGAAAACACTAAAATGTTAGTTACATTTCTCTGGGTGGTAGAATTATAGGTGATTTGCATTTTTCCTTTATACTTTTCCACATTTTCCAAGTTTTCTGCAAAAAGCAGGTATTTTTTCCAAAAGAACGTATGCTCCAAAAAAGTTTGTTTTAAAAAACTTACTTTTTTCTATCAACTAAAATTTACTGTTTAGTTGCTCCAATAGCTTAGCGTGAATTTACCAGGAATTGAACGTGTTTCCTGGTATCAACATTTGGCAGAAACCAGCTCAATGGTACTATTGAGCAGGGAAATGAAGCAGAAAGAAATGTGCCCACCCAGACTTCTAGAGTGTTCATGTGCAGAGTGCCTACGGTATTATACAAGGCCCTCGATTCCCCGCCATAGAGAAGCAGGTATTGGAGCCCCCAGGTGAACTCTCGCACACCTCTCTGCATCATACTTACCTGTGTCAGGTAGTCAATCAGAGCTAAGTGAGCCTTCTCCAGCTCAGCCCCAGAGAGCACCGGCAGCGGGTTAGGGTACTGCAGCTGCTTCCTATAGTCTGTGGGCAGCAGGTCCGGGTACAGGCCCATCACATGGGTAGGATCTACATGGAAGGTAAACGTGATTCCGCCACCTCTCCTTACACTCCACTTCTCCTTCTCATCCTCCAGGACCCAGCTCACCCCCTCCCTTCCTTCCTCCTGGGGAGACCTCCTCACTTACTTCTCCACGCTCCTGGAGACCTTTGTCACACTTATCCCAGTGTAATACTTACTGGTTTTACATGCAAGCTTTTTGTGGACATATAACATGTCTTATGTATCCCTGAAGCTCAGGGCTGAAGGCAGAGCTGGCACTGACAATGCTTATCTGACTTGCCGGTGGGGCAGTATGTTCTCTGAGTACAGGATTATGCCATGCGTTGAATCAGTCCCCAGTACAACATAGAAATGTAATTAACAATGGAATTACATCCCTTATGCAGAACAAACGATACAGACCAGTTCTGCTCTAGCCGCACAGATCTAGCTGTTCCTTGAACATACCAGGCATTCTTCTAACCTCATCACATCTGCACTGCCTGTTCCCTCTGCCCGGAATGCTACACCCATGCAGACATCTGCATGGCTCATTAAATCACCTCCTTCGGTCCGTAACTGAAACGCCCCCTTCTCAGAGATGCCTTCCCTAACCATTTTATCTTAAATTGCAATCCTAACTCCTATCTTCAGTACTCCTTATCCCCTTCTCCCTGTTTTATCTCTCTCAGCACTTATCACTTCCCAACATATTATAGTTTTGCTTATTTATTTTTTTATCTTCCCCCTCCCCATGAGAATATAAGCCCACTACTTGGCACCTAGAATAGTCTTCAGCACATGGTAGGAGCTTGATGAAACATTTGTTGAGTGAAAAAATAAATTAGCAAATAATGAATACAGTAGTATTTGAACCAATTCAACAGTTCAAGGCTCAAGTTCAAGATCTAAGTATGAGTCTCAAGAAATACAAGAACTCTCTCACACTCTTGCCATTCCACACCATCACACTCGACCACCAGGACCCCACAAGTCCAGGGCCTCAAGACAGTGAGTCTCCTCATCGAGCCCTCCTGCGAATGCCTGTAGCGCTCACCTTTCTAACCAGCCTCACAGCCTTTTAGGTACAAGTTGTAGGTTGCCACAAGGAAATAACCCTAAAAGAGTGGTTCTTAAACAGTTTTAGGATCTTAGAGAATTTGATGAAAGGTATTGATCCCCTCTCCAGAAAAACCCACATATGCACAAAATTTTACATCGAGTTTAGGGTGGTTCCCAGACTTGCTAACATCCACTCACAGGCCCTACGTCCTCACTGGGAGGAGACAGGGCTTCTCCCTGGCTCACAAGGAATACAACTATAACACCCTTACAAGGGGCCTATCTGTGGGACATAGCAGGGGGGTAGGGGGTTGCAGGGAAGCAAACCTGGGCCCACTGCACCCTGCTCTAGGGGGGCCAGGGGACATAGTCTGGTAGTACCATATTGTTCTCTGTAGCCAGGCCTCCCTGTGGCTCAGAAGACTCATGCCTCCACAAGACTTCCTTTTGCTCCAATTCTGTGCCCTGAAGCAGTCTTCTGACTTGGGACCCCGGGTACACTCTGTTCTGCTACATCTCGAGTTTCTTTAACACGAATCAGGTCACGTGCAGTTGGTAACAGGGGAATGATGTCCATATGAGGCAAAAGTTGTGTTGGTTTGTGTGTAATTTCCCCCAGCTTGTTGAAGTTTTGAAGTGAGCAGGGCAAGCTTTCTCACAACTAAAGAGAAAGCCTTAATCCTACAGGGAGACCTAAAAAAAGACCTGGAAATCCCACAGAAGTGCCCAGTTTTGTGCAAGTAGTGGCTAGTTAGAAACATCAAAAACCAGCAGTTTTTGTAGACCTATAGCACTTCTTGTTTATTATTCCAGTGTCTTCCCAAAGAGCTGGTGGCACACTGAAAATAAATGCTCCAACTGAGTACATTCAGGGGAAGGTTGGTAGATATTTATCGATTTCAGGTTGCCCAGCTTTCATGCCCCTTCTTAACAGCAACCTACTTCCTTCTGGTGAGCTCCCTCTTCCACACTATGTGTAGTCTTGGTGGGAGAATAATTCTTTGCCTTCTGGAGCAGAGGGCAGCCACAACTTCTTTCTCCATCCCAGAGGAAGTGAGACCATGACCTAATCCTGGCCAATCAGATCCCCTTGATCTTGAGAAAGTGATTCAAGGATGACAAGCAGTGTGCCACACACCAACATATATCTCATCCTACATGCTTCTTTCACGTAACGTTGATACTCCTTCACCAAGGAGGTGGGGTCTGTGTTCCCTTGCCTTGAACTTGGAAGGCCCTTACAAATCAACAGAATATGGCAGAAGGGACTGTCATAAAAAGGCACTGAGACTTCCACCCGGGTCTCTTGGATTGCTCACTCTGGAAAAAGCTAGTCACTCTGCATGAGGACGTTCAAGCAGCCCTGTGGAGAGAGACACTTGAACAAGGACTGAGGTCCCCAGCCCACAACGAGCACCATCTTGTCAGCTAGGAGCATAAGCCACCTTGGAAGTGCATCCTCTAGCCCAGTCAAGACTTCAGATGAAGGCAACCCAGCCAACACACAACTGCAACCACATGAGAGACCCCAAGCAAGAACTGCCCAGCTGAGCCCTTCTGAGATTCCGACCAACAGATACCATGAGACATAACAGATGATTTGTTATTTTAAGCCACTAAGTTTTGGGGTGATGTGTTACACAGCATTAGATAGCTAACACAAGCTGGTAGAGGGCAATTTTTACTAAAGATGTGAGAACATGGGAGGTGGCGGCAGCAACAGCTAAGGAAGTGGCCGTGCCAGTGGAGGACTGCCCAGCCTCTTCTGGCTACAAAGGGATTCCTGTCTGGCTTTCTGTTTCCTGCTGGGAGGTCCTCCAGAGCTCCCTTGGTTCCTCGCATTCCTGAGCCTGGTTCCCCACTAATTTTGTGGGCCCTTCTACCTACCATTCCCCTAAGAGTCCAATAAACTATGCTTAATTTATCCATATCAGCCTAAATTATCCAAAATCGGTCTCCATTGCTCACAACCAAGAACCTTAAGTGACACATGGAGTTACAACAGTTCATCACTGGTCAAGGCTGACGGAAGATGGAAAAAATGCAAAGCAAAGAAGAGGAGAAAAGAGAAGATAAATATGATATAGAGTCAAACCAGGTCTATATACATTGATCCTAATTAGCAAAAATGGAATATACAGAGATGAAAAATTTAATAATAACAATAATGACAGCGAACACTGACTTGGCATTTATTAAGTACCACCCACCGTTCTAAGCACTTTATCTAACCTTCACTGCAACACTATGAGGTAAGTATTATTATCTGCCCTATTTTGCAGAGGAGAAAATGGAAGCACAGAGCAGTCCAGTAACTTTGCCTGAGGTTGGGCACCCTGACTCCAGAGTACTTGCCCCTCACCATGATGCTCTAATGTCTAGTTTTTAGGACACTGTGACAGGAAGGGCTTTGCGGCATTGCACTGTGTGGCTCTCAAAAACAACCTACTATCTAATCCTACTAAGCTGAGGTCAGGGCCTCTCATCTAGAACAGCACTCAATAAATACCAGATAATCGAATACACTATGTTGACTTGAGTGACTTTCTGTTACCTTTCACTTAATGGCAAGGGCCAATCATCCTGGAAAATTGGAAGTCTGTATTTATGGGTGAGACCAGACTCATAAGATTAGGACTGTAAATATGGAACCACCATGGCCACCCACAAGATCCTGTTAGGTATGAGGATCAATTCAGATGAGCATAAACTTCCCCCATTCTCAGAAGTCTCATATCATTTCTCCCGGTCCTTTCCAGTTTCCACTCCCTCCACCAGTTCCTTATCCCGAGGCCACACCCACTTTTACCTGTGCCAAGCTTAGCAAAGACCTGCATGGACTCATCAAAACGCTTCTGGCAGAAGAGGTTGAAGGCATACAAGTTCTTGATATGATGGATCTGTTGCTGCTTTTCACTGTCAGAATCATCTTTCATTTCCTAATAAGAGGGTAGACTAGGTAAGAGCTCATCACTCAACAGATATTGACTCAGTATGTACTAGGTATCAGACAATAGCCTAGCCGGGATATATGCCAAAGTGTACAGGACGGCCACAGGGCAGCTGGCCTCACAGACTGCCCTTACAGTCTAACCATAAGACTGATAAATAACGACGCGATTAAAATTGAACAGGGTTTCTACAAAATACCTGACCAGTACTCCTGCAAACTGTCAAGGTCATGAAATATAAGGAAAGACTAAGAAACTGTCACAGATCAGAAGACACTAAGGACACATGACAACTAAATACAGTGTGATTCCTGGATTTGAACCTGGATCAGAAGAAAGGACATTAATGGGAAAACTGGTGAAACCTGAATAAAGTCTAAAGTTTAGTTTAAAAACAGAAAAATTAAAACGAAAAAAACCCCAAGGTGAGTGATGACAGAAGCACGTGTGAGAGGTGCTCAATTCAGTCTGAGCGGTGGGTCCAGGAAGGATTCCAGGAGGAATGTAAACTGAGACATGAAGGACCAGCTGGAGTCAGCTGGGTGAGGCCGGGCAGGCGGCAGACGGGAGGGGAGGAGGAGGGTGTGTTTTCAGCAAAGACGACAGCACATAAACAAGGCTCTAAAATGACAGAGAGAGAACACGGTGTGCTCAGGACTGGAAGACATTTAACACAGCTCACACAGCTGGGCAAGGTTCTGTTCACAGTAAAAGCTAAATAAATGTAGCTGTTTATTATCTGTTCCTTCCTTCTAACCCTTTTTCCCTCTTATCTCCCTTTTAACCAATCTTCAATACATTTAATTTCTTCCTTCAAAACATCTCTTGGTGTTTTCCCTTCCTTTCCTCTTGTCATCGCCCTGGTCTCGACCGTCAGCAACAAGTGGACACACCTGGTCTGAGCTCTCCCGCTGGGGGTGTTAAAGGCTTTCAAACCTAGTGCAGCCCCCTCACCTAGCTTATTCCCAGATGTTCAAGTCGCGCCTGCGCCCATCAGGAGGGGCTCCAAACAGCCTGGCAATCCTGGTTTCCACACTTGTTTCCACTTCCTTAACTTCCTCGGGCTCATCAACGCTCCCTGTTTCTTGATCCTGCTCCTGATCTTACCTTCAAGGGTCCTTATCCTTAAAGGGGCCGACCTTAGGTTGCCCTTTCCAGGCCACAGGCAACTGTCTCTTCTCTAGCATTTAGCTCCATGTTTTGTCAATAGCAAAGTTTGGCATGTAATTGCCCTCTGAAAGTTTTACATTATGTTCTTTGATTTACTTAAATAAAATATAGGTTCCTCGAGAGCTAAGATGATGTCAACCAATGTTCTTTTGTCATAGGGCAGAATACCTACTAAGTACAAGCCTAGACAACAGAAGGATCAATGGAAACCCACTTCTATCTTCTCTACGAAAGACTAAACAGACAGCTACAGCAGGAAGACCAGTGAAAAGACCCAAAACCTTCCTGTTAAGAAAAATAGATACTAAAAGAGCTACATACTGCATGATACCCTTTTTATAAAGTTAAAAAACTAAATACATTATTCAAGCACACACATATATATGAAAGACTAAAAAAAAAAATTTAAAGGGCATGACAAACACAACATTGAGGATAATGGCTGTGTCTGGAGGGGAGGCAGAGGGTTGGGATGGGGAGGAACAGATAGGTTACATGTTATTTTTCTAGAGTAGGGTGGTGGGTTCATGGGTATTCATTATTTTAAAAATGAAAATGAAGTAAAATAATATACGGCAACCCGTGAGTGGAGAAAAAAAAGAATAGTAAGATGCTGCAAATAAATGCCCCAGGAAAGAAAGAATCTTTATGCAATATTGAATATGTCTAACTATTAAGACTGGATTTTTGTTTTAAATCTAGAACTTACAAATCCAAAATAAATGTTGCTCTTCTAAAGCATCCACCATATCCAACTATAAACATATGTATTCCAAAATTTGTGACCAATGCTTTCCTTTCAGAAATAATTTACAACATACTTTAGAAATTAAGTTTTCCTACTATTATCCTCATAAAAATCTCTTCTCTTTCACCAAATCAGCACTGTTCAATTGAATGACTAGGTTAGGCCCAGAACGACTTTTGATTGTTTCCTAAAATTGAATCCACTGTCCACTGATGACAATTGGATGTTTAAAAGGGCAAGACAAGCCTCGGAAGTCAGTCTCAAGAAGTGTGTTGGCAATGGGAGCATCAGTGGAACAAGGGCATGGTCACTACCATGCCATGCACATATTCAAGGAGAGTGACGGCCATAAACAAGAGTGCAGCCCTGTGAACGCAGCAACTTGACGTGGTTTCAGAAAACTTAAAGAAGGCCTGCTTATCCAAACTCACGAGTCTACTGCCGAAAGAGATTCTGGGAGGCCATCCAGTTGTTGCATCAATTGGACTGCAATCTTACATTTACGATTGTTACTTTAATGTCTGTAATCGTCTTTAATTTTTCACGGCCATACCATATCTATTAAATTATTTTATTCTCCTATTAATTCTATGAGGTACTATTATAACTGGCACTCATTCTACATTTGACAGAGAAGGAAACTGAAAAAGTGAAATCACTGAACTAGAGTTACACAGATGTTTCATGGCAGAGTCCGACCCTGAACCCAAGCCTCCTGATTTTCAGCTCGGTGCTTATTCTACCAGTCCTAACTAAACATGAACATTTAAACCCAAATCGCCTGCTTTGGAGGACAATGAGGAAGGCAGACTCACACCCAGATCTCAGAAACAAGACTTACTGCGAGCTGTAGAGCCAATTCAAACTGCTTGTCCTGGAGAAGCTGTTGGATTTGGGTTGCCATAGGGACAGGAATGAGTCTCCAGACAAAATGATTGCTGGCCACATAGATAATGTTTGATCTGGAAGCAGGAGTAAGACTATCAGCAAAAACACCACAGGCTTTGTGACGACATAGATAACTTCAAAGCTTTGGAATAATACGGCAGCTACAGTAAAGAAAGAACTTCCTTACCCTCCCGAGGTAATGAAACGGGGCCTTTGCAATTCAATGCTCTGGACCAGGAGCCTCGGCTCAAATGTTCTGATCTCCACATATCGAGGCAACACTGCAATGATGTAGGGAGGCTGGTGCTCTGTGCAAGAGAGAGTATCTTGAGTTGTAGTTCTGGTCTAAGGCTTTAGATTTATGGACCATTTCAGTTGCCCATTTCTTTTTTCTTTTTTTTTTGACGAAGATTAGCCCTGAGCTAACTGCTGCCAATCCTCCTCTTTTTGCTGAGGACGACTGGTCCTGAGCTAACATCCAGGCCCATCATCTTCTACTTTATATGTGGGACACCTACCACAGCATGGCGTGCCAAGCAGTGCCATGTCCGTACCTCGGATCCGAACCGGCGAACCCTGGGCCGCTGAATTGGAACGTGCACACTTAACCGCTGCACCACCGGGCCGGCTCCTAGTTGCCCATTTCTAAGCTGTATTTAAATGGGATCCCCAAAGAGTCCACTAGTCAAATACCAACCCAGGATCCTACAATGTCATATACAAAGAAAAACAATTGTTTGCCTGAGTGATGCTAAGACAAATCTCTTGCACAAAATAGATGCATCTAGCTTTGCTGAGAGTGACCTGATCCTGCTCCTACCATTTCCCCCAAAGAGCTGCGTGAGAGCGTCCCCGGCTCCTTTCTCACCAGTCACACAGCGAGGCCAGCTGCAGCCGCCCCAGCAACTCAGCAGTGGGAGAACAAGGCTACGCAACCTCTTCTTTCACTCTCTTAGGAGGGCCAAGAGGAAGAAACTTTTTTCCCTAAAATTATGCTAAAGAAAGAGTTCCACGTTTCTGGCCAAAGTTGTTTCTGCTTGAGATTTTCACAGGGAAAAGATGCAAAACTCCGCTTGATGCTTAATGCTTCACAGAGAAGGCAGCTGGATGGCATTCTCAGTGTCGCTGTTTTCTACCACTTACAAGAGGTATATAGAATGTCAAATTCATAGAAAGATAACGTAGACTGGTGGTTGCCAAGGCTAAGGGAAGGGGGAAAGGGGCTATTGTTTAATGGGCATAGAGTTTCAGTTTTACAGGACGAAAAGTTCTGAATTCTGTTGCACGACAACGTGAATATATGTAACTGCTGAACTATACACTCAAAAATAGTTAAGATGATAGATTTTACATCGCGTTTTTTACTACAATAAAAAATAAAATTTTAAAAAGTAAAAAAATTTAGTAAGAAATGAACCACTAGATGGCATAATTATCACATAGAAATTTAACCTCAAAGAATATATTCCTAAGAATAGTTTCTTAGTATGGCTAACTTGCTGTGAATTTATTTTCCTCATTATCTACTTTCTGATAAAAAGTTTTTCATTTTATATTTGAAATTTATATTCTAAATGAATAGTACAATAAAATTTCAAAGGCAGAAGGGAACTCGGAAATGAGGAAACTGAGGCCTAAGTAATACTTCCATCAATGTGAATGCTTTTGTTATTATGCTGATATTTTTCATCTTACCTGAAATTAAAAAGCTTGTTCTTTTGTATTGGATTTTTTTCTTTTCTTTTTATGCTAGCCTCATTTTTAAAAGGTAGTCCAATTTTCTTTAATGTTAATTTGTATAAATATGTAAAATTTCTCTGTCATTTTTTAAGCTGGCCCACCTTAACAAGGCCTAATTTAATAAAAAAGGTAATCTATAACAGAAACCCTTTCGGTTGTCATATCTTATCATTTGTTCAGTCTCCCCAACTCTTTGACAACAAAGATGGTTTGGATCTCTTTGTAGCTTCAAAACTTGCCAGAGTGGCCAGGGGGCAGCAGGCATAGAAGAAGTAGCTGACAATGACAGGGATTCATCTATTCAGCAAACATCTGCTAAGAAGCTATGACGTTTCAGGCACTACTCAAGTGGATCAAGATGTCAGCCCAGAGCTCATGGAGCTCCTACACGAGAGGAGGAGACAGACAACTCAGTGCGTCTGTGGGACAGTGTGGGTGCCACGACAGAGAAACCTGAAAGGGCTATGGAAGGGCCAAGGGGGAGGTGACTAATTCTGCCGGCGGGTCAGAGAAGACTTCACAGAGGAAGTGCCGCCGAACAAGGCCTTGTCACGTGAGCAGGACACCGATAAAGGCAACAGCATGGATGATGGCACAGTGAGGGGGAGCCCAAATGACCAAAGCCTGGGTGAAGTGGTAAAGATGAGAACAGAAGAATAAGTGAAGTTTAAAATGTATACCATTCTAAGAAGTTTAGTCTTCCTCCTGTCAGATGGTGATTTTCCTAGCCTATCTAGAAAGACTGTCCTCTCCCTCAGTATGTTAAGGCACAGGAACGCTTTTGAGAAACACTGCTGAAGCCACTGGGTGCTAACAGAGGTTTTAAAACAAGAACTCTCACACTGGGGATCAGAAACACACTCCAAGCGTATTACACACATCTTCCTCGAATCTACCAAGGTTCCTCTTCTGAGGGAAAACAAGGGTCCCTGGAACATCATGCAGCTCTTAGGCCCTCAAATGTGTTAATATACATAACCTCGGGCCTTATAAAATACTATCCTTTTGATTTACCTTCCTTCTGGTCTATTAATCTCTAACCACCACCTAATAACCACCCTAAAACATGATGCTTTTATCAAATCATTCTACCATTTAGGAATCTAATGGCCTCCCAGACCTTCGCATGAGCCCCAACAACTGGCCCTGTCCTTATTCCTCCACTGCCTGGACCACCTGTTTTCGCCAGGTCAGTCTCTGGAACACCCAGGTCAGTCTCTGGAACACCCTCTCACAAATCAGCAGGTCTTCTGCATTTCTGCTCATTTTTCAAACTATTCTTTCTGCCTAGAAGGAAAGGGAATTTTTCTCCAAGCCAGATCCCAAACTCCCTGCCTGGTCTAGTCCAGTCTGACCTGTGTAATGAAACTTCTTCCTGACTCAGTGAACAATGAACTTCCCCTTTCTGAACTAGTCAATCTCACTTCACCCAATTTAACACTCCACACAGGGCCTTGCTTTATCTCTTTATCCAAAATGTAATCCTCATCTCCAGAGCTAGAGTCCTTAAAGACGGCACATTTGTATGCCCCACTCTACAGCAGTAACTATTATTAAAATGCTCACTCTTCTGACCAAAATGTGCTTCTAGACAATACCACTGCAGAGAGCTGGGAGCCTGACGCAGGTGCAAGAGCAGAAACGCCTACTGTGGAGGAGAGGGGCTGACACCTAAATGCAGTCCGTGCCTCTAAACTACAAAAACCCCAGCAGCAATAACCACCACATCAAAAACCCTTCAATACTGAGTTACATGTATTACAGGAATAAATAAGGAATTTCCAATAATTTCCAAATGTAGTCTATTTGGCAGAGGACACAATAAAACCATTAAAAATAAAGTAAAAGAGAAGGAACTAAGAAGTAAAAATAGCAGTAGACAATCACTTCCTAAAATGTATAATTCTGTTTACAATTTTCCCCCTCTGGGGCAAAACCCAGCTTTCTACAAAAACAGAATATCTCATTTTTAATAACCCTAAGACACTCGTCTACTTAGAAGGGGAACTGAGAGTGAATGACACTGTAAACCACAGTCTGCTAAAGCTATAAAGAGGATTCCATTCTGCAGGGATGGTACACAACCCCAGCCCAAAGTGGGAAACAGCAGCTATGGCGGTCTCACCCATGGCCACCGGTATGTCTGTCCAGTTGAGAGCACATTTCTGTGTGCAGATCCCCTCCTCATTGAGCACCACGGTGAGATCATCCTGACCCACAGCCACTTTTCCATCTGCCAGAGGTGCAACTAAGGGTTCCAGCTGTTTTCCTGTTGGGAAGAGCTCTTTGATGGACCCCTTTCCATCCACCTACAGGAAGAGACAAAGTGAGTCACCCAGCATTCTCCGGCCAGAGGCATGAACTCACCCGGGAAAAATCCACATAAAACTCAAAACCTACAGAAGCCAATAATATTCCTTGTTTGGCATAAGGAAATATTATAGTCTGTTATGACAGATTTTGTCATCACAATGTAGAACCAGTTATTTTTTCTAACACAGAGACAAGCATCTTGCCTGGCAACTAAGAATGTCAAGTGCTGGCCAGGATGCAGAGCAACTGAACTCGCATACACTGCTGGCGAAAAGGCAAAATGGGACAGCCATTTTGTTTGTTAGTTTCATAATTGTAAATTAAATATACACTTCCCATATGACCCAGCAACCCCACTCCTAGGCATTTGCCCAAGAGAAATGAAAACTTAAGTTTATAGAAAAACTCATATGCAAATATTTATAGCAGCTTTATTCATAATAGCTAAAAATTGGAAACAACTTAGTCCTTAATTGATGAATGGACAAATAAACTAGTACATCCATACCATGGAATACTACTTAGCTATAAAAAAAGAATATCCTGACGCACACAACAACACAGATGGATGTCAAATGCATTAGGCTAAGTGAAAGAAGCTAGACTCAGAAGGCTACATACTGTACGATTCTATTTATATGACATTCTGGAAAAGGCAAACCTATAAGAGACGAAGAACAGATCAGCAGTTACTAGAGGCTGGGGTGCAGGAGGAGGGGTGGATTTCAAAGGGGCAGCAGGAGGGAATTTTTTCGGGTGATGGAACTGTTCTGAATCTTGATTGTGGTGGTGGTTACATAACTCTAGGCACTTGCCAAAACTCAGAAATGGACATGAAAAACAATGAATTTTACTGTATGTAAATAAATGAATAATTTTTGAATAGCCTTGTCCTAAAGCAAGATTTCCCACCCTCAAAAGACTCTACCCTCAAGAAGGTGATGGCAGCATCCTAGCTAATCAGAGGAATGAGAGCCCCACTCATCTTTTGGCTCAGTCCCCCCCACCCCCACCCCTCACAGACTGCCTTCAGCACCTGTTCAGTCAGCTGCACAACAGTGACTTCTCCACGAGTTTGCAACTCTGATGTTGATAAAATTAGGATATTCCAACAACATAAATATGAAACAAATATATTAACTAGATAAAAATGAAGACCTAACACAGTGCAGGGTAGGGAAGTGGGGAGGTGGGAGAAAGGCTTCTAGAATTGCCAAGTCTGGATTGTGAGAGGAGTACACAGCTAAGAAATTTAGATTATTCTAGGAAGTGAATGGTATATCAAACTTTTCTACATATAGAATGCATACTGGAGGAAAAAAAGCCAATGTTGTGAACATTTACCACTTAGGTTAAGGGAAAAAGCATGTTATACAACAACATGTATAATGTGATATTTTTGTAAACAGCGTGGGAGCCCATAAACCAAAAGGTTAACAGTGATTATTTCTGGGGGGGGGGGGGGGTTAAGGGTGATTTGCACTTCCTTTGTTTTCCTTATCTTTATTTTCCTCTTTTCCATGATAAACACGTGTGACTTTGGGGAGAAAAAAATCAGTGAAAATAATTTTTAAAACAAATACACTACAAGATTTTGGCGGGGGGAGACTCAAAGTCTTAAAAATACTTAAATTAACACTAAAATTAGTTTGTAATTCCTGAGCACCAAGGCCTCAAGATAGCAGTCCACAATAATGCTGTTGGACAGGGCAAGAAGTCCTAATTATCTATCCCAATAATTAGATAAAGGATGTGGATAATTCACTATGTAGAGAATTAAGAGTTGACTTTGCCTGGTTGAAGATACACAGACATCTTATTTGTGGGAGATGCTGAGAACATGAAAAATAAAAAACATACACACACAAACCCTATTACGCCAAAAACTCTACTTAAGGCAGTCTCTTGACCTGTAGTTCAGAAGCACATAATCATCTTCCCCAAGGTAAACTGACGATATTTGCAAAATAATAAGTTTTACCCTTATTAGGTAGTAGTCTCTCTTGAAACCCACACAGATAGAATTTTCACACCATGCCATGGACTTGGGCACATCTGGTACACTAAAGTCCCCCTGAAAAAGAGAGCAAGAGTTCAATGGGAAAGATGTTGAAAGAAAAAAATCATGACCTTCCTGTTATTCCACCCCCATTCTGCAAAACGCCCCTCACCCTCGTCTGAATACACTTCTATAAGCACAAGGTGAGGGAACCACCCATAATAAAAATCTAAGTCACCCACGAACTGGGCAAGGTTTATTTGGAAAAGGTGAAAACCCACTTTGAAATAAACCAATCTGTATAGATGTTGTAGAATTGTACTGCCCCTGCCTCTGAAAACCAGGAAACTTGGACGAGCGGGCGTGAATACGCTTTCACATAGTCATAGCAGAGCACTGTATCTGGAGAGAGCTCCAAGACTGGGGTCCTCACCTTCACCAGAACTGAACAGGAAGTCTTTCAAGTTGTAGGCCAACCACAGCACCTCCCGCCCAACCCATGGACCAGGCAACAGCGGAATGTACCTGCAATTCATGAAATTCCCTGTCCCTCCAGAAATAGAGCTGCAGCTTCTTTTTCACAGCTACACACATCCGCAACACCTCCTCACCAGTCTCTGTGTGCTGGGAAGAGACACCCAAAGTAAATGAGGATGTAGACATAACAACTCCATAATGAAATGACAACTACATTAGAGATTTTCTACCTTGAAATGGCTACTAATCTGAAAATCTCCTGTAATACAAAGGCACTAAGCCAGACAAGTTGACCCAAAAAACACTATTCTCTAAGATGTACTCAGAAACAACAGGCTAAAGAACACTTCCTCCCCCAGGGCTGCCAGTCAAAGGCCCCAGCCCCAGCAAGTCTTGTGGACATTCATAATTCAGAGAGGAAAATCCCGGGGCAGGCCTTCACCTACATAACCGCTTCCTCCTTTTTTTCTTAAATGTTTCTCGCTCATGGCTGTCAACACATGCTGGGTCAGGGATCAGCGTGTGTCAGTGACAGCAGGGCCACTTTCAATCCTCTAAAGGAGTTGGGGAGAAAGAAAACGCCTAAGCATAAAACAATGCAGTGTCAATGTAGACCATAAATGCTAAAATGTGATCAAAGCTGAGTTGAGGGGTGAGACAGATTTTGAAGAATGTAAAGATGATGAATTGGCAAAAATAAGGAGAAACGTCTTTCCTGAATAACCAAAACTCCCTAAAGACAACGACCACGATGATATGTTTAGAACAAGAGTCAACTTCATGTCCCATCACCATGTTTGTGATACTGTTACAGTCTCGATTTCCCACTCACGGCGTGTCCATGACAAGTGTTTTTATCCTTGGTTAGTTTGCCTCCTGCCATACAGATGCCGGTACCCTAAGCAGTACACACACAGGGAATGCAAATGTTCCCATTTCAGACCACATGCTCAGTGGGAAACTTCTCTAATACAATCCAAAATCAAACATTCCCTTTGGAGTCTCTACCGGGTTTGGATATCAATGTTATTCTTCCCAACTAATGGTGGGAATGACGTAGGGAAGACGGTATTTATTAAAGCACAAAGTCAAATTTCACCTTGCCCGCACTTACCTGGAGGTCACATGTGAACAGTGATGCTCCTTTTGCCTTTGAAACCGTAGTGATTTGTTGAAATGTCAATAGGTCATGGACATAAATATTATTTTCTGTTTGGAAGGAGGTAAAACATCACTAGAAATTATCACAATTCTCTAGTATAGCCACCTTCAAGACAAAAAAATACTGTGTAACAATCAGAAGAACCAAATGGAAAAGGCTGGTTGAAGACACACCTTCAGTTTAACTAACAATAATTTATTCTGGTCTGTTACCAGAATCACATTACAAAATCCTTAAGAGGTCATTCAGTCTTCTGGACTTGGATATTTTGTTCCTTGAAATTTGGGCTGGCTTGAGTAAAAGAGTTTTCACTTCTAAAACACTCTTATACTCTGTCTTTCTCAAGTCTGGAAATTTGTGATGCAATATTTGTACAAGAAACGGCTTTCAGAGCTACTTAGAATAGGAGGCTCCAACAAGAGAAAGGAAAGCCCCTGTGGATTTTGTACAAACCCATGACAAGGATTTCTTTTCCAGGTAAGCAAGCAAAATAGTTTCACTTGGGCCTCATATCTAGTTTTAGTCATGAAGATTTAGTTACTTTAAATGTTTCCCCTCAATCTAGGAACTAAGTTAAAGAAGATTTTACTATTTGGACCCCGGACTGAACAGTACAGAGGGTGAGGCAAGTTTCTAGTCCTGTGCTTGTCAAGAAAACCTCACTGGCTGCCTTCCGTGAAACTAAGGCTTTTCAAACAAGACCCTGAATAGTCTGGCTCTAATCTGTCTCTCACCTGATATCTTGCCACTACATATCTAAAGTCTGATCACATCTCAAGGCCTTTGCCCAAGCTGTTCCCTCTGCCTATAACGCTCTGCCTACCTCTCTCTTTCTGTTGAAATTCTAATCATCCACTAGATAATATAGTTCCTCCCATTACTAAGATCCCACAATATTTTCTATAAATTTCCATTGTAACTTATCACATTGTATCATGATTACTTTCTGTTATTTCAGTCTTCATAATCAGAACATAAGTTTCAATGACAGACACCATGCCTCATCCAACTTAGCATCCCCAAGGCCTGGAAGAGGGCTCAAGAAATACTTGCTCGACTACTGAATGCATGAAGTGACACTCCTTGCAGAGGAGAGCTCAAGTTCATGGGAGATATTGTTCCCTTTATTACCTGCATGCCCTGCTGTATCTGGTTTGGAACATGCCAATTTCATTGTTAAGAAACTACTACCAAATTAACCACAAAAGTGTTAATTAGGGCATAGCTTTTGTTTTTTGACACATGAAATACAAATGTAACCTACATTTTCTTACCTAACAAGCTGACCAGAATCTTAAACTGGGAAACCACATGGATCTGGAAAATAGCAAATCATTAGACTCAATTAAACATTTCTGACAAGGTTTAGCAACTGCTCATTTAACTACAGTACTAAAAAGTGACTAAAGAGCCTATACCACTCAAAAGGATCTGACTTATATTTATGTGCAATCATAAAGTTTGCTTGTGAAAGAGGATCTCAGCCACATGACGGTTGGACGAGATCCCTGCGCACATGGGAGGACAGAGAGCAGAGGATTCAAAGATTAATAAACAACGTTACCAAGCTCCTAGCTTTGACATGGTCTCATAGAAGTCAAATATTCTTGTAGTGACCACCATCACTGCCTACCTGCTGAATCTTTTTGGAGAAGTTCTTATTGGATTTCTCTAGTGTCACTTCAAACCTGTTGCAACCTATGGAAAAGAAATAAACACTCACAGTTCCAAACACAGGGATACATATAAAAATTACAACAAAAAATGCTGCTGCATACTGCTCTCCTACAGAATCTTCCAGAATTCCTAAAAGACCATTAGTTGGAGCTCTAAAACCTAAAGTCTTCACTGAGCATAGTCAGCTGCTTTCAACTCCAATTTTAAACCAGAGAGTTCCATGCACCTTCACTTGGCATTAGCAGAAAGGATCACACCACAGAAGTTTACTGAGGCTGCAAGGTACTTACGAGTCTGAAGGTCTTGCCCTACAAAATAGTACCTTGGCAAAGTGTTTCACAAAAAAGAGTGTACAAAGTAACAGTCACATATAAGAGCCCAAGCAATGAAACCCAGCCCAAAGCATCCTTGGACGCAGACCAACTGAATCCTAGCAGCTACCGTATGCCCTGCCTCATAGGACAGGGCAAATGCTCAAGACCATAACCAGAGCTAAAGCAATTTAATGCATCTACACTTACGGCCACTTTCAGGTGATGCTACATCTGCTGGCACTGTCGTGAAAAAGGGGAAGAAAGTTATATTCCATAAAAACATGTGAAGCCAGCCTTGCCGGGATAGCAAAAACATTCAGCCTCAAAAGTCACCAGAGTGAGAAAAAGAATAGTCAACATAATAATAACAGTAGCTATCATTAACTAAGCAACAATGAGGTGCCAGGTTCTGGGTTTAAAAATTTATGTATATTTTCTGTAACTTCACAACCACCCCAAGAAGGAGGTATTATTACTCAACTTTACATGTGAGAGACCTGATGGGTCAAGCAGTTAGGTAGTGTGGTGAGACAACCCAGAAGCAAACCTGGGGCTGGATCTAAAGCCTGTGTGCTGAGCACAACCCTGCTACCTGCCTCCCGGCTCATGGAGAGACTGTCCACACTGCTGCCCACAGGCTGCTCCCCGCAGCTAGCTGTGCCCCTGCCCCCAGGAAGTCGGTGGAGATTCTTTGAGCAGACCCAAGCGCCCGTCTCACCAAAGCTTGTCTTACTTCCTCCATGTGTGCCTCAGCAGAGGAGATAAAGAAGGGGCCCTGAAGCTCTGGGAGATTCAAGAACATGCCCTGGATTCTGCCATTATATTTCACAAGAAAAAAAGTAATTCAGCCACTTCCTGCTTGAAAAGAGTTCTGTATTTGAAAAGAGCTTTATTATTACTTCTAACAATTCTCTATATAAGCAGAATTATCTAGGGCAGAGATTTTCAAACTTCTTGGTTTCAGGAAACCCTTCATAATCTTAAAATTATCGAGGACCTTGAAACTTTTACATGGGTTATATCTATCACTACTTACCATATCAGCAATTAAAACCAAGAAATTTTTTTTTTTTTCCTGAGGAAGATTAGCCCTGAGCTAACTACTGCCAATCCTCCTCTTTTTTCCTGAGGAAGCCTGGCCCTGAGCTAACATCCATGCCCATCTTCCCCTACTTTCTATGTGGGACGCCTACCACAGCATGGCTTTTGCCAAGCAGTGCCATGTCCGCACCCAGGATCCGAACGGGCGAACCCCAGGCCGCCGAGAAGCAGAATGTGTGCACTTAACCACTGCACCACCGGGCCGGCCCCCCAAAAAATTTTAAAAAGATGTATTTATTGACTCATTTAAAAATAACAGTAATAAGTCCATTATACGTTAGCATAAATAACATACTTTAAGGAATATTAACTATTTTTATGAATTAAAAAAATGCTCTGCTTTACATTTTTACAAATCTGTTTATTGTCTGGCTTAAGACAGCTGACTCTCACATCTGTTTCTGCATTTAATCTGTTTTGATACATTGTTTTGGCTTAAGTATATGACAAAAATCTGTCTTCACAAGGACACATAGTTGGAAAAGGGGGGAATATTTTAATAGCTTTTTCAGATAATTGTGCATCTTCTTTGATACTATACCAAAACTTGACAAGTGGAATTTCTTACAATATGGAATCTGAAACCTATTAATAAACTTTCCTGTTAGATTAAAATCCATTGGTCTATCTTACACTTTGAATGAATCTTTTACTCACACATGATTTAGAAACTTCATGCATTGGAAAATATAGGTTCATTGAGTTATACAGATTTTCCAAATGTTGGCACATTTTGTCATAGGATTAAAAAAAAAAAATCACCCCCAATCTCATCAGAAAAATCTTGAAGTATTGAGAAGCTGTCAAGCTCCTAGGGGCAGAAACAATTTTTTCACAATTCTCATTTTCTCTTGAAAGCTCTAACTTTATCATTAGCAACAAATACTGCCAGTTGTTTTCTTTGAAGTGACAGGTTCTTTTTGCTCATTTTTGAGAAAACACCTACCAAATACCCAAATGGTCTGAAAAACCATAGGCTATCTGTCACTCTTTCAAGCAAAAGTGATGCTCCATGAAAAAGTGGCCAGTTCAGCTCATAACTCAATCACATAAATACTATTACACCAGACAACCATAATGTTTCCTACCCTGTCACACAGCAAAGTACTTCCTATTACATCACAGAGCTTATTAAAAAGATGTGTTCTAAAACGTCAAAATATAAAAAAAGAATAATTTTACTGCCTCACCAAGAACATTCTTAGGTGAAACTGGCTTTAAAAAAAACAAAAAGAAAAACCACCGTGAGTGCATGCTGAAGAACAACACAATGACCACTAGCACAGTTTGGTACTAACAAGTTTGCTGACCACTGCCTTGAACTTGTGCTAAGGGGCCAGCAGTTTCAGCTGCCATTTCTTTTGTACCGTCAGTGCAAATGTCAGTAAGTGTCAGTGAAAAAAAACAAATAACATTTGGTGTTACCATGAACTTAGTTTTGACCTTGTGGATCCTCTGAAACGATCTTGGGAACCCCCTGGGGTCTACAGATCACACTTTGAGAACTGCTGCTCTAGGGTGACGGTGCCAATGAAGTAAACCTAAAATTATTAAGGCCTTAGATGCAAACTAACCTAACCCCTGTTTAAGAGTAGAATGAGGCCAAGAGATGTTTATGAGCTCAAAGGATCAGCTCAGAGCAGATGAGAACCCAGTCCCCTTAATCTTAGTCTTTCCATAACATCTTATTACTCTCTCCCTTTCCTCAGAAAGACAGTCTAATTGCAGCCCTACCTAGGTTTGAAATATCTCAAATTTAGAAACCAAGTTAGTTCCACAGATGATTCATGGTGGCCCAGGTCTATTTCTGGTCCCTAAGCAGACCAGAGCTGGGCCAGAACTGAACTGTTCTCTAAGGGTTTAGGGAGAAGTGAAGTTTCTAACCAGTTTCCTTTCCTAATTGTCTAAGGTAGGTTAATATTGTTATTCAAGTTACCTATGGGGAAAGCAAGGCCCAAGAATATTAAATAACTTGTCAAAGGTTCCATGGTGAATTGAACAACAGGGCAAGGAGCAGTCACCAACAGGGTTCCAAGTCAGATTAACACTAATATTACCAGTTTGAGTCTATACTATGTTGAATGGTTTATTTTTACAGTCTAGTTTTCAATTCCTCAAAACTCATACAGAAATGATATACTAAATAAATCACTTGATCGTAGTGTTTATTATTTGATGGCACAAAGAACGAATTATTTATCGGGGTAAGAATATCAGACTCTCTTATTTCCCTGTCCTGCACAGTATCTGAGCCCACAGTAGATAGTCCAAACACAGTTGTTGAATGCTGAATAAAATCCAAGGCAAGCTTAATTTTTAAATTATAGACTGGGTAGATGACATAGAATGCAAATATTCTGGCTCTGAGAACTAAAACTTTAAAGCAAGGGCCAGCAAAGTACCATCCATGGGTCCAATCCAGCCCTCCAAAAGTTTTTGCATATAAAGTTTTACTGGAACACAGTCATCATTTACACATTGTCTACGACTGCTTTTTTGCTACAACGGCAGTTGAGTAGTCAAGACAGAGAGCTTATGGCCTGCAAAGCCTAAAATATTTACTATTTGGTCCTTTTTGGAATAAATTTGCTGACTCCTGATTTAAAGGAAAGTTGAAACACTTAGAAATGAAATAAACCCTCTGTTTCGATCTTCTGGTTTCTCTCCTTATCCCACCACAGAACCTGAACAAGTGCTTCCTCTTCCCCTGCCGCACCAGCGAGGGCAGCAGAATGTGCCATTCCCAAACATGCTGCTTTGGCATAAGGATTATTTTGAGATAAAGGCAATTGAGAAGAAGCACACACAAGAGAAGCTCTCGGCTCACTCACTTCAAATTGCCCAAAAGCAGGGCATAAATCTACAAAGGTATCCCCCACTCCCCTCTCCGCCAGAAAGGACAGAATTTAATCACTGGAGATAACTCTAGACCCTTATGAGCCCAGAGGGATCTACATGACAAACATCTCCAAACAGCTTCCCCCGTACATTTGTCTTCCCACAACTGGCCACCAAAGTCCTTTTCTTTGTCTTGTCTTGTTGCTTCTCTAAAAATTTATTCTTTGCTTGTTAAGATGCTCTTAAGCCCAAGTTCTAACCACCCCATTGAGTCCCTCATCATTGAGTGCTCCCATGTATATGTGTCATGTACATGTTCATAAACTTCTGCTTGTTTTTCTCTTGTTAATCTGTCTTTTGTCAATCTAATTTACAGCCAATGAACCTTAGATGGGTAGAGGGAAAAAGAATTTTTTCCTCCCCTACACTGGTTAATGCTCTTTTTCCCCAATGCCACCCCTGCTCCAGGTTCCAAAGAGAAGGTTCTATTTCCACTCTTACCTTAAGCTATTAGGTTGAAAGCTAGGAAATTTGTTTTTTTCTAATATGGTCAAATAGAGACAGTTTCATATGGTTCAACCTAGCCTGTCATTAACAGCAGATTTCTACAGATTCTGTAGCTCCAGGGTATAATATCCAAACACATCAATTTTTCATAAAGAAAGCACAGAAATAAAATTAGGAAAAGAGAGTGAGGTACCTTTTTTCCCACTAGATGATACTCTAAAAGAATAAATTTCAAATACTTTTACTTATTAGTCTACATTTTTACTGACAAAGTCACATTTGATTAGAGCTTTAGTTTTCAAAGCCCTTGCACCTGACCCCAACAATTTTGTGACAAAGATACTATTTTATAGAAGAGGAAATTGACATTGGAAAGGACCTACTCAACAGCCACGCAGCCAAGAAATAAAGCTGGACTCAAACCCAGGGCCTCTCTGTCCCAGCCTAACCCCCGTAAGTTAACAAGATCTTTTAAATCAATGACTCCTAATTTCGTTTCCTACCACACCATTTACATAAGAATCTTATTCCCATCAGTACTATTTCTTGTTTCTGACAGTGAGTCTCCAAGAAGTGAGAAGGGGGGAAATATCCAGCCCCATCTCCCAGATATAGCCAAAAAAACAACAAACGCTGGAGATTCTCACATTTCTCCCCACTTTCCCACTGCACTACCCCAACCCCCAATCACTCCTTTAACGGCCCAGGAATCACTGATGCCACAGTTGTATGCTAGCTGACAATCAAAACTTTTTTTTTTACACGAGCAGTAAGCCGCCTCTTTCTCAGTCCTGGAAAGTTGCCACTTACCAACATCCTTCCGAATCCTATAGAGAAGAAGATGTCCTTGTTTGGTTCCAACGAGAAGCCATTCCTCTGGAAAAGAAAAGAGCTGTGAGAAAGGTCAGTCAGCTTTAGTAAGACCCTATTTCTTTAGCTGGGGCTTGTAATCAGAAATCAATGGGTCAAGAAAATGAATTGCTTTTGATAGCAGGTGATTTGCAAAGGTAAAGAATGTTTATATTCAAGATATGTTTGAGAATCAACCAAACAAAAAAGTATTTATCGAACAATTACTAAGCTAGACATTTTAGAGAATAAAAAACATCTCTGGCTTTACTGTTTCAAAATTAAACTGACTAAAAACATGATGGAAGTTTATAAAATCATAAAATGGATAGTATAAACATGAAACTACGTACCTAATCTCAAATAACAACTAAAAGGCATCCTTTGAAGGTTCAATGGTTTTACTTTAGGGGAAATAAGAAGTGCCACAGCATTTCGAATTTACAGAATTATCTCAAAAGATGGTCTAGCAGATAATAACAAGTGTTGACAAAGATAGGAAGAGACTGGAAGCCTCACACTGTTGGCAGGAATATAAACGGTGCAGTCACTTTGGGAAACAGTCCGGCAGTTCCTCAAAAGATGGAAACATAGGGTTACCATAGAACCTAGCAATTCCACCCATGGGCATACACACAAGAGAAATGAAAACATACGCCCACACAAAAATTTGTACATAAATGTTCATAGTAGCATCATTTGTAATAGTCAAAAGGTGGAAACAGTGCAGATGTCCATCAACTGAAGAATGGATAAACAAAATGTGGCATATCCATACAATGGAACATTAGCCAGACTTTAAAATGAAGCACTGTTGGGGCCAGCCCAGCGGCATAGTGACTAAGTTCAGCGTACTCCAATTCGGTGGCCCAGGTTCACAGATTCGGATCCCAGGCACCGACCTACACCACTCATCAAGCCACACTGCAGAGGCATCCCACATACAAAATGGAGGAAAGATTGGCACAGATGTTAACTCAGGGCCAATCTTTCTCAAGCAAAAGGAGGAAGACTGGTAATAGACCTTAGCTAGGCCCAATCTCCCTCACTAAAAAAAAAAAAAACCAAAGCGCTGTTACATGCTACAATAGGGATGAACCTGCCATGCTAAGTGAAAGAAGCCAGACAAAAAAGGCTACATATTGTCTGATTCTATTTCTATGAAATGTCCAGAACAGGCAAATCTATAGAGACAGAAAGATTAGTGGCTGCCTAGGGCTGGTGGGCTTGGGGGAAAATGGGGAGTGACTGCTAATGTGGACAGGGTTTCTTTTTAGGGTGATGAAAATGTTCTAAAATTCATGTGGCAACTCTGTGAATGTACTAAAAACCACTGAATTGTATACTTTAAATGGGTGAATTGTATGATATATTAATTACATTCCAATAAAGCTCTTATTAAAAAAAAAGAAGATGGTCTAGGCCAGTGGTTCTTAATCCTAATGTGTCTGAGAATTATTTGAGGGTTTGTTAAAACAAACTGACGCCCTGGGGCCGGCTCCATGGCCGAGTGGTTAAGTTCGCATGCCCGCTGCGGCAGCCCAGGGTTCAGATCCTGGGCGCGGACACGGCACCGCTCATCAAGCCACATTGAGGTGGCATCCCACATCCCACAACTAGAAGGACCTGCAACTAAGATGTACAGCTGTGTGCAGGGGGGGTTTGGGGAGATAAAGCAGGAAAAAAAAAAAAAGGAAGACTGGCAACAGATGTTAGCCCAGGTGCCAATCTTTAAAAAAAAAAAAAAACAAAACGAAGCCCTGCCTTCAGTTTCTGATTCAGTTGTTTTGGAATGTTTTGGAAGTAGGCCTGGGAATTTGAGAGTGTGTGTGTGTGTGTGTGTGTGATTAGCCCTGAGCTAACATCCATTGTCAATCCTCCTCTTTTTTTTTGCTTGAGGAAGATTCGCCCTGAGCTGACATCCGTGCCAGTCTTCCTCTACTTTGTATGTGGGATGACTCCACAGCATGGCTGATGAGCGGAGTAGGTCTGCACCCGGGATCCGAACCTGTGAACCCCAGGCCACGGAGGCAGAGCGCACAGAACTTTAACTACTCAGCTACAGGGCCCGTCATGAATTTGCATTTTTAACAAGTTCCCAGGTGACGCTGATGCTGTTGGTTCAGGGTCCTCATTTTGGAAGACACTCGTCAAGGCGAAATATAAAGAGGTTCCAAAATGATTTAAACAATTACCCTAACAGATCTCTATGAAATCATTAAGGGAAGTTCAGCATGTGCAGATGTTTCCTCAGCTTTCTGATGCTGTAACACAAAGGTCACTCATTCCTTTCATAAGCTCTCCTGATCCTTTGAAAAATAAAATATTGGATAATGGGACAAATAGATAGCCTTTATTGAGCACCAGGAAATGCTAAGCACATTTCATGTTATTTCACTCATCCTCACAACTATCCTTTGAAGTATGTCCTTTTTTAAAATCCCCATTTTACAAACGAGGAAGTTGAGGCCCATGAGATAAGTAACTTGTCCAGAGTCACACGTGTAGTAAGTGGCAGAGGCGGGATTCTAACCCCAATCGGTCTGATCCCTAACCACGTGCTGTAATGCACTTGGTAAGGGATCCCACGTCAAAAGAATGGGTGTTGGCCAGCGGTTGTCTGAAAGGCAGCGGTTCTAGTTATAAAACAGGTCAGGAGCCACATCAGGAACATTTCTCCAGGTTGATGTCCTTAGTCTTCCAGAAAGAGTGATCCTGTCTTCTTTTATTTTTTTGTTTTAAAGCAGAGGCAGGACACAGAAAGTAAGACACTGTGTGCTCTTAACGACATAGATGGAAATCAGAAATAACACCAGCTCTAATGGAATGCTGGAGATTTATACTGGAGCAGAACACAGAAAAAAATTCAGTTCACAATGCTTGCTTTGTAAAAGATATTACATTTAGAACTCTACTTACAGATATCACTATATTGAGCAATTGGAATATTGAGGTTGATTTTGGGGACACCCACTGAAATTTCAGATATAAATAAAATGAAGTGGAATTTTTTTTTAAAATGCACTTATAACAAACATACAAATTTATACTCAAAAGGTGAACTTAATGTTGACCATCTTCCCCATCCTTCCCTCTCCACTCTGCCTCCCAGACCCCTGCCAGGTCCTGTTTTTATCTCTTTTAACAGCTTCAGCTTCCTCCCAAGTCTGCCAAGGCCTGCCAATTTCACCTCTACAGGGTACCTCACAACAGCCCACTCCCCGACAGTCTCTCCAGGGACCCACGTGATGGCCTCAACTGGTCTCAGTCTACACATCCTTCCATGTTTATGGTCGGTTACTTAAAGCAGACCGCCAATGTTGTCACACTGGGACTTAAAAAATCCTCATGAGGGGCCGGCTCCGTGACCGAGTGGTTAAGTTGAGGTGGCGTCCCACATCCCACAACTAGAAGGACCTGCAACTAAGATATACAGCCGTGTACACGGGGGGGTTTGGGGAGATAAAGCAGGGAAAAAAAAACAAAAACAAAAAGACTGGCAACAGTTGTTAGCCCAGGTGCCAATCTTTAGGGGAAAAAAAAAAAAATCCTCATGAAGCTGCACTACCAAAATATGAAGTCAAAATCCTAAGCATGACACTGGAGAGTCTACTTTCCATTTTCACTGAAATGTTTATTCACCAATAGATGTTTCTTATCAAATGCCTACCTTATTGGTCATAAAACAGTATCAGATAAATTCACCAAAATTTGTAAAGAATATTTTTAATTGAAATTTTATTTGACCCTTCTCAAACTTTCCATTGGAGGTACTGAGGAAAAATGCATTTATCATATATGCAAAATATTGTAACAATTCTCTTTTAAGTAGTGAAAGCACCACACACATACTCATTCCTAATCCTCAAACTTTTAAGGAAAAACAGTGTATCATCCAGACATAATAATAGCACAGAACCCTGAAGAGGCTTGATTTGGTTACAGAAATCAGTGGGAGCTCAGGTGGCCAGAGGACCTGACCCATGTTGGGCCTGCATGCTCTGTAACATGTCACCATATAACACATCCATGCATGCAAGACACACAGAATGAGAAGCCTGCAGAGCAGGCACAGCACAGAGTAGACAGTGCCTTCTGAAACTCAACACTGCATATCAGAAAGTAGAACACACTACACAAATGGGTAACACACACGTAAACAAACGAGAGTCAGCCCTAGAAAATTCCTGATGGCCCAATTCCGGGCCACAAGATTGGACTTGATCCCTCCTGAGAAGTGAGTAAGGCTGGGCCCTCTTGCTCAAAATTACCCTAATGAAGCTCTGTCCAACAGTGCAACCCAGTCCAACCTCATGTCATAAACAATTCCATTCCCGGCCCAACGCTGGCCACTGCAGGGAATACAGAGATGAATAAGGTGGTAGTCACGGCCCTTCTTTGGGTCATGGGGCAAACAACAGTGTTTCTCGAAGTGTAGGCTCCTGATGAGGCAGATCAGAATTGCTTGGACTTACTAAAAATGCACATTCCTGAGCCCTGCTCCCAGAGATTGTGAGTCAATGATTTTGCGGTGGTGCCCTGAAATTTGCGTTTTTAAATTTAATTTATTACATGAGACATTTACATAGTTCCAAAGCTAAAACTGAGAAGTCGGGCTCCCATCCTGCCTGCTCCATGTTCTCTCCTTTCTGCTACAGGTAACCACTTCAGTAATTTTTGATTTATCTTTCCACTGTTTCTTTGAATAAGTAAATATGATTGTGTATACACACATACAAATACACATACAGACAAATCTGCATTTTTTTACAGGCTTGGAATATATATTAAAGTTTGAGAACCAGGCTCTAGAAGCAGACATGATTTACTGGGTATGTAACCTTGGAAAAATTACTTAAATTCTCAGGTTCTTCCTTTGCAAAATGGAGTTATTATTTCATAAAAGCTTAATACAGATTAATACTCAATAAATGGAGGCTATTCTATTAATACCATTATTAATTAATTAAATACATAATGAATACCCATCATGAGTCAGGAACTGTTCCAGGCACTGCAAATAAAGCAATGTACAAAACAAAGTTCCTGCTATGAAGGAATTTATATTCTAATATCGATTGGAGGAGACAATAATACATAAAATAGCATTAGGTGGCAATCCATGATAAGAAGGATAAGGCTGAGTAAGAGAATAGCACAATGGTAGATGAGGCATTCTCCTTCATATAAGATACTTAGGGAAGGTGTTGCTGATTTACGTGATATTTCAGCAGAGACCTGAATGAGATGAGGAATGAGCCATGTAGTATGCAGGGCAAGAGAGTGCCAGGTGGTGGAAACAGCAAGTGCAAAGGCCCTGAGGTATTTACATGCTTTGTGTGTTCAGGGAACAAGGAAGACGGTGTGACTAGTACCAGAAAGGAGCAAGGGGTAAAAGCATAGGAGATAAAGTCAGGCAAATAACCAGAGGTCTAATCATGTCAGATGTAGCCAACCATGGTAAGGACTTGGGAACTTATTCCAGTTGTGATGGGAAACTACGGGAGGGTTTTAAGCAGAAGAGAGATGTGATTAGATTAAGTTTTCAAAGGATCACTCTGCCTCTGTGTGAACAGAAAATTAAAAATGGCACAACGGTAAACACCAGGTGATCAGTCAGGAGACTACTACAGTAGTTCAGATGAGAGAAGATGGTGCCTTGTCAAAAGTAGAAAGAGTGGAGATAGAGAGAAGTGACTGGATTCTAGATTTATTCTAGAGATAGAGTACATGAGATTTGCTGATGGACTAGATGTGATGTATAAGAGAATAAGAGAAGTTAAGAATGATTCCAGGGCTTTTGGCATTAGCCAAATAGGTAAAGAGAAATGCCATTTGTTGAAGTGTGGGATACAGAGAGACAAGCATGTTTTGGGAGAATGGAATCAAGAACTCTTTTGGCCACGCTATTAGACATCCAGGTGAAGATGCTGAAAAGACAGCTGGATTCTATAACTCTAGAGTTTAGGAAGAAGTCATCATCATCAGTATCCTCACCATTTCCATCTCCAAGGAGAAAGATTATGGCATCTCTACGACATCTTCCAGCTCAAATTTGTCTGGCCCTGCGTGATCTGGCTCCTGGAGGTTCCTGGATGAACTTTCCACTTTAGGACACAGCAGAGATAAAAGGAGTAATGACTAGAAATAGAAATGTTGCTGCTAAAATCTTAAAATAAAGTATTTTGGAGGCAGGGGTAGTAAATGGCCTCTTATAGCCCAATACCTACCACAGCATCCTAGGAGGCAAAGGGCACTTTTCCTGTTTGGTTGGAGATCAAGGCAGGCGAAAAGCTACCTATCATTTCAAAACAATGTTCGTGAAAAGCACAGGTGTAGGGAATCTTTACCATAACAAAGCGGAGTTGGTGAAGAGGTTGAGCTACACGTACTACTATCCCATAGGGTATGAGAGTCAAGGATTCTGACAAGCTAAGAAAAGTGTGGTAAGCAGCTCCATCCCTCCTTTCAGCAGCATATGTCCTAGGCTGAGTTGGGTACCCCCTTCCATGTTCCCATAATAGGCAGCATATGTCTCTTGTGTCATTTAACTTGTATCATAATCTGTTCATACATCTTTGTCCTCTACTGTGTGTCCTAGGAGCACAGGCACTGTTTCTTACTCATCCTTGTATTCCTGTCCCTACCAGACAGACTGGTCCATATAGGTACTTAATACATATTTGATGAAGAAACAGGGGAATGAAAAGGACCAGGACAGCTTAGTGCAGAGGTGTGATTTTAAAGAGGCCCAGGGCTCCTAAAGACAGGAGAGGTGCACGTTAACATGAAGATCTGTAGTGAAAGCACCCTACTGAAGAGGCAGTGAAGAACTCTGCAAGGCTGACCGGGTGCCACATCCACAGAGGATGGATAAGATGCCAGCCACCACCAAGATTCCACCAGGCCCATCATGGCTCCCTAGCTCAGTCTAAGATACGATTAGAGTTCTGAGCCACCTTTTTACGGCCCTGGATTTCTCCGACCCAGACACTGACAAGAAAGATTGAAATTATTTGTCAGTTCTTCGGTGGCTGTGAGCAGACACAATTGCTCATAGATAAGAGCATAATGTTCATAGTTAAGAGTCAAGGTTTAGACCCCTTAAATCATATGCATCCTGGAGCATTCAAGAGATGCCAGACCATGCTTTCTGCACTGGCCAATCCCAAGAGGATTATGCAAGTTTTTATGGGTTAGATGTCATGACAGCCTGGAATGATGCTCTTCTACCCACAGAGCTGGGTAACTTGGGCACTTTGAAGAGAAGGCAATCAACCACTTGGCTAGGTTAAGAGTTTAGAGTAACAACGTGAGTTACCAACAGTAACGAGAATGACGAGTGATCACTAAGGGAAAAAAGGCATATGGCGTTAACTTGTTCAACGCCCCCACAAAGTGCTGTCTTTCACCTAGAAAACAACACAATCATTTGGACAAGTTCAAGGCCCTGGCAGGCTGAGAACTTCCCACTTTTTGTCCCTCCAAACTAACGACTTCTTGGGAATCGAAATAAGCCAAAACTGAGCACAATTCATAAGGAAAGCTCAACCTCCATCTCTGTACCGAGAGCAAGGGCGAGTGGAACGTCCCTAAGATGCCTGAGTCTGTGGGGATGGCCCAAACAGCCCCACCGCCCTCGCTGTCTACAGTGCTCTGCCCTCCTCATCCCAGGCCCCTCTCGGACAGCGTCCGACCGGAGCCCACACAGCCAGACGCCTGACCACTTCCCTAGCCTCGTGAAAGGTCCGGACTGCTCGCGCGCTGACCTGGCCTCGGCCCCTCGGACCCTCGGCCCCTCGGCTCACCCCAGGCAGCCAGACAGTCGATCTGCAGAGGCAGCTTTTCTAAGATCGGCACCGGCTCGAAGGCGTCGTGCATGGCGGCGAGCAGAGAATCGTCGCGGCAGTCTCACCCGGAGTGAGTTGGGCCGGGCTCGGCGCGGGCCAGAACCAGGCCAAGGAAAGGGCCGACCAGGACCCGGCCAGCGACCCCAGCTACAGGCCCTTCGGCAACAGAGCCATCATCAACAGCGGACTTCCTGCTGAGCTAAGCCCGCCCCTTCCGCCGCCCAAGCCCCGCCCCTTCCGCCCCGGCCGCTAATGCACCTTCGAGGAATGGCCGGGTGCTTGGGAGTCTTCGTCTGGCACCCAGAACTTCCCCGAGTGGAGCCCGAGTAGCCAAGGGGTTAACGAGAAAGGAAAAAGATCTTAATCTTAGCATTGCCTTAGGCAGTGTAACGTGGTGCTGAAGAATTCGGGCTTTGGCGCCAGTTAGACCTGGGATGGAAATCTATTTAGGAGATGACCTGTGACGTTTAAGAAATTAAGAATCTCCAGAGGCCTTAGTTTTGTTATCTGCAAAATGATGGTAGTGTTACGTATCTACTAGCGTTGTGAGCGCTTGCCAACGCCTGACACACTCTAAGCACTCGATAAATGGTTTTAGTAATAACCCCAACCAGTTCAAGTACCTTACCCTTGCATTTTAAAGGTGATTGTAGGCCAGTGGTTCCCAAATCAGCAGCGTCAGCATCACCTGGGAACTTGTTAGAAATGCAGTCTCAGGCCTCATTCCAGCCCTACTGAGTCAGAAACTGGAGTAGGGAATCCAGCAGTCTGTGTTTGGGTAAGTCCCCAAGGTGAATCCATGCACTTTTAAAGTTTGAGAACCACCACAAGGATGATCTGTATCTGGCAGTTTCCCCCGAAGAAGATAGCAGGTGTGTCATAAAATTAAGCATTTAAGGTTGAAAGCAAAAATGTAAAAGAAAAGGAGTCTCTGATATAGAAGTATAGTAAAAAAACTGAGCCTGGTCACTTTACTTTTACGCAATGTCAGTTTCTTCATCTGTAAATTAGGAATATTGTCCCATCTTTACCAAGTGCTGTATCTGATAATCAAATGAAGTCACTTCAAGTAGTAAGAAACACAAGAATTGCTAAACAAATCTCGTGTTATGGCTGATTTTCACCACAGAAACCCAACACCTTGAAAATTTAGAATTGCCAGCTGCTGTAATGGAAGAAGGTCTAATACCTAGCAGTTCCAGGTCCAAAGACTGAGACCAAAATCAACAATTAAACTCTAAGGTAACAGGTCAATGTGAAACTATAAATTTCTTCTGAACCTGTTCTAAAAAATGATACATATACCCAATCACAGTAACATAAGCAGCCATAAGAGAAAGCAGAAAAAAGCAGATCCCAGGCTAGAGAATTTGTACTATACACTCCTGCTTAACACATTAGGGTTTTTTCCCCTAGTCTCAGGTCAACATCTAACCAGCCTCAAAAGATATGTGACCAACTCTCCTGCTGCATTATAACGATTACTCGCTTGCTAAGTTTTAGTAGGAAAAAACAAAAGCACATAACAGCAGCCTTTTGGTAATGTGTTAACCCGGGAGTAATCAGTTCTTCATATTGTTCCTTAGAGATGATGCCTCGGGGATTTTTTAAAAAATCACCACAGCAAACAGCTATAGAGAAATGTTACATAAATGTAAACACTTCCATTACAGTATGACTTAGTGAAAACTGTGGTGGTGTTGGTCATTGATTTCAAAAGATAAGACAGAATAAAAACCACGGAAGGAAAATTCCCACGAGAGAGAGTTGTAGAGAAAGAAGGGTCTTTAGAGAAAGTCTAGGGAAAAAATGAGAAAAATATATTAATTTTGTTAAAATTTTTTTTATATTAAAAAGTGGCATGAACTTTCTATGTAGAACAAAAATCTTGAGAAGGCAAAAGTGGACAAAACCATTAAAACAGAAATATAGTGCTTCCAATGAATCCCATCACCTTGTGATGTCTCTTATAAACAGTCTCTAAACCAATACCAGATACAAGAACAGTCGATCTAAAGGATGAGCAGCAGTCCAGGGCCTCCACACTACTTCATGCAGGAAAAACTGTTTAAATTAAGCCAGGAGAACCAGTTTCCTTTGTGTTAGCTCCTGCTTGTGAAGCATTAGTCCCTTTAGCAGGGTGCTCACTCACAAGCACTTTGATGGAGTGCCTCTCTGCGCGGAGTGCATCACCCAGTGAATGGCAGAAGGCAAACAAAGCATTGCCTAGGTCTCTGCAGTGCTGCCCTCGGAGGCTTACAAAACAGTAGTTAAAAGTTCGGGAGTGTGCACCACATTGCCAGCAATGGGATGTGTCACAATAGCAGATGTCAAAAGAGTTAAGCTAATATTTCTCTCTAAAGTACATCTGAAATAGAAAAATCTTTAATATACACCATTTGTAAACAAAATTGCACTTGATTTTGCTTTTTTAAATGATGTGAATCATACTGTAACAGTTTCTTTTTTTTTTTGCTGTCCTTTTCATCATTCATAGAACCATGGCTCCTTAACTCAGGACTCTTTTTTTTTTCTCAAAACTACCTCTGCAAGATGTTACCTTGGCTTCCCAGGAAATGGAAAGATAATTTACAATTTCCCCCATCACCTATGTAACTCCCTAAATAAATAAAAATTACAGGCAGTTGCTCCTGGAGATTACATATTACGGTGTTGATGTCACAGTTCTTTAGAAGATGTTAAACTTTTTAGTCTGACAGATTAAACAATTTAAACATTACAGAAGGCTCAGGAACAACATACATAAGTTGCATAAACATCCATGTCAGAGTATGGCAGGGAAAGGGGCATCAATGTTGTAAATAAGAAACTTGTAGATTTTTCTCATCCTATGAACTTGTTTTCAATGAGAAGTCCTCCTTGCTCTGACACCTCTGGCCAGCTCCAATGCACAAAGATCAAGGAACAGATCAGGATGTCGCTGCCTCCTTTAATCCCATGGGGTAGTGTAAAGACTGACACAGAAGCTGATCTCTTCCCAGATACTAGCCATCTTCAACTGCACATCTTCCCATTCTTTACTCCATTTTGGACCTTTCAAAGTGTGTGATCATTCGTTCCTACGGGGGAAAAAAGGTTTATTCTAAGTATATTAATTCCAAATATCTTCTACAAAGATGATGCACACACACATTTCCCACAAGTATTTGTTTATGTTCATTAAATATTTAGAGAGAGAGTGCCTAACCATCTATGAAGATTTGAGACATACAGATGTCCAGCCACCCAAGATTAACTGAATCAAAACCTCTAGGCTTCTGGAAAACCACAAGTGAAAAGAACTGTATATTTGAGAGTCAATTAAAATGATGAAACAAACATTTACTTAAGATTAACCTTTAATAAAAATGTCTCTCCTTTGATTCAGTAATTAAACTTGAAGAAACAGTCAAGGATGTGGGCAGAGATTTAGCCATAAGCATTTCTACTCCAACACTGAGAATTATAACAAAATACTAGAAAGAATTAAGCATTCAAAAATACAGGATCATAGGGGCCGGCCTGGTGGCATAGCAGTTAACTTCACACACTCTGCTTTGGCGGCCAGGGATTCGCCGGTTCAGATTCCAGGTGCAGATGTACACACCACTTGTCAAGCCATGCTGTGGCAGGTATCCCACACAGATAAAGTAAAGGAAGATGGGCACAGATGTTAACTCAGGGCCAATCTTCCTCAGCAAAAAAAAAAAAAAAAAGATTATATAAACAAACTGTGTGTATCCTTATAATGAAATATTATATATTCATTAAAATTATGTTTGATGAAAAAGTTCTAGAGATCTATTGTGCAACAATGTGCATATACTCAACACTTTGCACTTGAGAATGGTTAGGATGGTAGATTTTATGTTTTTTTCACCTCAATTTTTTAAAAAGTCATGTAAAAAACTACATTTGATTATAAAATATTATTTACAGTATGCCATCTCAATTAAGAAAACTGTACTATTAAATTTCCTTTCTTACCCTATTTTTTACCTTAATTACTATTTTTTCATTTTTCCTTTGCTTCATTTGCTAAGCACCCGTCACAAATTTATCCCAAACTCTCATAGAACTGTAAATCCCTTTTCAATATGATCAATTACATCAGCTAATCTATCCTTTTCACTTTTTTCTTAGAAATACCCCTCCTGAAGCTCTGTGTTCTCCTGCTCCCTCCTGGACTGGCTGCTCTCCAAGCCTGTCGCCCTGCTGTCACTCTGAGAGTTTCTTACATCATCTTCCTGGAGATTTATCCTCGCGTCTCTGTCTTGGAGACTTTACTTCCTGGATCCCAAGTCTTTCTCTTTTTAGTTCCCTCACTCTGTAATTAACATTTTCTACTACTTTCCTGAGAAAGCACACAAGGACGTCAATTACTTTATTCTTGTGTAACTAAAAAACATGTTTATTGTACCCTCATATTGATAATTTAGTTGAGTATAGAATTCCAGGTAGAAAATAATTTTCCTCAGAATTCAAAGACATTGTTCTATTAGCTGTAGCATCCAAAGTTGCTGCTAAAGAGTGTGTGCCATTTTGATTCTTGGTCCCTTATTTAACTTGTTTCTCTTAAAATTCATTTCAGTTCTGGAATAGTTTTTTCACACAGGAGAACATGAACAGATGGGTGAAGTCAGTGCTACCAAAAGTACTATAGTAAACCTGTATTCCCATGAATGGCACAACTAGGTTTCACATACTCAGCCCCGTCTGGCTGCATGGCTGGAGAGCTGAAGCCAAACAGAAGCCCTGAAGGCAAATTATTAGCAGAAGAAAACCCCAAGAGGGAGATCTTGGAACTGCAAAATACACCGCAGAAAGCGAAGTGTTACACAGATAGGTTTAATTCCGAATGGCAGAGCTCTCAATTACTGCAATACACAGAACGGCTAAGGTATCTGACACTGTGGGCTGCATCACACCACGGTCAGGGAAATGAAAGCCAATCCAACACAATGAGTCAGAATCGGGCAGATGCTTTCAAAAGGCTTTGTGAAATCAGGAGACTCTAGAATAACCTAATATTCAGAATACATCCAAAATGAGTTCTCAGGAACTCAGACTAAAATTCTTACATAAAACTTCACCGTGAAGCCTTCTAGATGAACTGTATGGAGGCATATTAAAAGATTAAAAGTCAACATAAACATTAGAGGTACAAATTATAATCCTTACTATTGGAAGAGGACAGTGACACAGATAACACTGAACAGTAGATAACTTAAAATAATTTATATTTTGTTTTGGTCTACTATATTCCTTTCTCAATACTTTTCTTTATTATTTTTGCCTAGATTAGATAAGAGTTAAATTTGAATTTCTTAAAAACAAAGGAACCACAAAGTAGGAGAGTAAAGTATTTGCTACACAATTTAAACAAAGACATTCTCAAGTCTGACCATATAACTTTGGAAAAGAAAAGGAGAACATGTACAGAAAAGAAACATTCTTGAATATTTGAGTTCCAATATTAGTATTTCTATTCTCACCCTTTTTCAACTATACCAACTCTAGTTCTTCAGGCCACTACTGAGTCAAATAAGTAAAGGTTCCCTGAACAGAGGACTTATGACTCCCTGTTAAGTCACCAGACCCAAAGTTTATGCACATGATTTGATTACTAACCTCATCTGAATCCAGAAGGGCTGGAAGTGCTCTGCCGGGAGAAAAATACCAAATCAGTGTTACTGGAGTTGCATAGAAAACACAAAACATGTTCTGCATTATAAGAGGACCAATGTTTAATTAAAATTATAGCCATGGAAAAGAACTCAAAACTTCCAAAAGGATTATCCCATTGATTTTGGGAAGATCTATAGCTAAATCTTTCTAAGCAGAAATGTCATCTGAACAAATAATCCCAGCTACTTTTGTTTGTATATCATACCTAATCTTTAACTATTTTCTAACATCTTTTTAATGTTTTAATATTCTTTTAAGTGATTTAATCTTTTACTTCTAAAGTCAACTACAAGCATTCTCATTAGTATGCTCTTCAGCTCATTCATTTAAAATAATAAAAGTAATACTAACTCTGAAATGGGATTCTTGAGGTAATGATTCAAAAACTTACACATCTGTCACAGAAGAAGGAACGTTCTCTTCTACCCACTTCAAATCATCTTCCTGCTGGGAACATACAAATACCAGTTGTTACTAAAATGCACCAAACAATACATCTCAAGTAAGGATCTAAAGAGGACTCAAAATCTTTAAATTTAATCTCTTGTCACTCTGAAGTAGTATGTTCATATAACAAATGGGACTGCTAACAGAAAAGTCAAATAATTTAAAAAACTATATAACTGAAATATAAAATGACATCCTACATCCCTAAATGCTTTCTTCTCAATGGTCTAATACTAGAATATGCTTCATATAAGCTTTGCTCCTTAAAAGTGAGATAAATTCTAAACAGATTTGAATGCACAACTCTAAGACCCAAAAAAACAACTGCTGACTGAAAAAAACCTTGATTTTTACTACAAAAAGATCTTAGGTTATTAATGGGGCTACAACCTCACTGATGAAAACTATTAAACAGAACCATCAGACTGGCCTGGTACCTTTTAGGACATAGTAGCAAACCATCTAGCTAAAGATTACTAGGTCCTAGACCTAGAATCACTTGCTGTCTCTACATTTAAAAATGTAAATCTAACATATACTAAAAGATTTATAAAGCAAGCTTAATTACAGCATAGGTAAACAACATCATTAAGGCCTGTACATAACTGCTGAGCTCCCCAAGGGCCAGAGGACAGGGCAAATAGGACTAGGAAGAAGTCCTACTTACTGCTTTGTTTACTTTACTATTTCCATTTGGTTCTTGTTTGGTACTTCGCATTTTCATTCCTTCTGTAGAAGAAAAAAAAAAGTAGATTGGTTAAATCCATCAACAGACCTGCTATGATTGCAAAAATGGATTCAGAGCTTTATTTGAAGCTTAGTGACAGTGAATTATACAACAGATGTTTCTCCATCTTTACATTTATGCTGGAAAGTTCAAAGCCAAATTTTCATCTCATCTCTAGTTAAGCAACCTGGACATTTAATGTGCAATTATTTACTGAATTTACCATGGCTTCATCTTAAGATTCATACTCTTATTTTCGCTTTCCCTAATTTCACCACACACCAAACTAAGCAACAACACAGTTGTAAAATAATAAACAATGCACTTACATCAAAGTATCTTGATTTTGATACTTGAAATGTTATACTTGCTTTACTCTTTCTAAAAACCAGAAAAGAATATGTAAAGCACAAATAAAAGGTGAATTTTATCAGTACCAAAGCTTTCTTTCAGCATAGGTTCCTTTTGCTCATCCTCCTCCTCTTCCTCCGACAATGGTGAAAAGGCAAACCTGACAGAACAAAGGTAGAACAGAAGGAAGGGAATCAGAAAAATACAAAAGCTGCTCCACTGTCTGGACTTCATGGGACTAATTATTGAAACTGCAATTACGGTCATTCATAACATCAGTTTAGTGAATAATAAAATAATTCTTCCCCTTCAGAAAGCTCTCAATTGTCTATACGAGCAAGGGCGAAGCAGCACAGGATCATACTATGAGTGCAGACTCAACCACGTAAAACCTGTAACTTCAGACAAGTTACTTATTCTCTCTATGCCCGTTTTCTGGAGGATAATAAACATTACTCATAGACGTGTTTTGTGAAAAGTAAGTCATTTCAAAAAGGGCTTAGAATAATACCTGACACATAGTAAGCATTCAATAAATGTTCATTTACAAGCATACGTATCACACAGAGGTAAGAAAGTTCTCATGAAATTAAAAAACTCAGCCTTCAAATTGGTAGTTAAGAGATGGAAGTCCTGATCTTGTGTGTTCCAGCCAATTTAAAATCTCAGTTTCCAAGTGGGGAGCTGAGAAGATGAAGGCCTGATCCGGTACATCTCAGATATTTTTCCTTCACAACTTCCAAGAGACTCAGCAGAGCAGCTGCCAGAAAGGTAATTCCTAGACTGCACGAGCTGTGAACTCACTCTGCGCTCACTGTTGCCTAGGATTTTCATTCTACCTTGTTTTTAAATCTCCCTTTCATGAGTAAAAAAAAACTCTTTATAAGCTAGGAATAATAGAGAACACCTGTAACCTCTTAAAAGGTAACTAACAAAAATGCACAGTAGGTATCAAAGTTAATGATGATACATGAGAAGCATTTACTCTAAAGCCAGAATAAGTTGAGGAGGCCCAAGGTCATCGCCCCAGTTCAATGTTATACAGGTGGGCCTTGCCAACACAAGGATCAGAAATGCGGCAACAAGACTATTTGGAAAGAAAGGAATAACATGGTCATTACTTTAGATAACAACCAATCTAATGAGAAAACGTAGAAATTACCAGAACAAGATAATGTAAGAGGGTTGATGGATATGATAAATATACAAAAGTCAACAGCATTCCTACATATTTGAGAAAGCCACCCGTATTATTTTATTATTATTTCTTTCTTGAGGAAGATTAGCCCTGAGAAACTGCTGCCAATCTTCCTCTTTTTGCTGAGGAAGACTGGCCCTGAGCTAACATCCGTGCCCATCTTCCTCTACTTTATATATGGGACGCCTACCACAGCATGGCATGCCAACCGGTGCCATATCTGGACCTGGGATCTGAACCGGGGAATCGCAGGCTGCTGAAGCAGAACGTGTACACTTAACTGCTGTGCCACCGTGCCAGCCCCCACCCATATTATTTTAAAAGGTTGCATCCATAAGAGCTGTAAAATTTTTTTTAATTTAAATAAAAGTTACAAAACGTAATTGAAGCATTGAAAAAAATTAAAAAATGGAGAGAGATACCATATTCAAGGATGGAATTATCAAAAAGATATATAATTTCCCTAATCAATCCATTAATTCAATTAAATTCCAATCAAATCTGGTAAGGTTTTCCTAGAATTAAACAAGCTAAATTTCTGATTAAAGAGCAAAGACCCAACAGCAAAGGATTTTAGGAAGTACATCAGGCATGCTCCCTTATTTACCCACATAAATACTTATGTTATCAGAGACGTCAACTGAAAGGGACCTTATGTTAATTAGTTCAACTCCCCATTACAAGAAAAAGAAATTAAGACCCAGAGAAATGAATTTTTTGGCAGCATGCCAAAAATTACAATGCAAGTGAATAGCACAGCTGAGCCAAAAACCCATTTCTCTGGATACCAGACCCAGGGAGTGTTCCTTCCACTATATGACAAGGCCATGACACTGTCATCCATTGAACCACACCTAATTGATGACATGGCCATTCAATGGTTAGCAGCGTAAATAAGAAGTGTCCAAGAACCTCTGGTTGTTTGCAGATGGTCGCCAAAGAACCATGATGACAAAGAGGATCATGGAGAACAGCAAGCGCCAGATGGCATCATCCACCCACAGCTCCCGCCAATCCTACCAAAAGAGGGAGAAGCACAACATTTATACACATTATCTTAACCCTTTGTTTACAAAGCCCATGGCATAGAACAAGAATCACTTATTCATTCAACTTTTATTTACCAAGAGCCTGCTATGTGCTTGGCACTGTACTGAGGCCTGGGGATACAAACTGAAAGAACACAGTTTCTCCCCTTGTAGTGTTTATTGTTGCTAAAGAAAAGGCACCAACTGAATGCAGCACTTGTCAATACTTCATTATAGCTCTGAGAATCTTGAGGGAAGGCTTTTTATACAAGGTGAAAGAGAGTAACATTAGGTTATTTCTTTTTTATACTTTTCATTTTATTTATTTTCACCAAAATAGAGCCTTAGCTGCTTCCAAAGAAATGCTATTGGACACAGTCTTTGTGCTCTCATCTTAAGGACACAGCTTCTAGTCAGATTAGCATTATTCACACATATTTAATGTTTAGGACTCTGGATTTCTTGTTCAAGAGTTTTTAGTTAAGGCAAGATTGGGTTATGACAGACTACGGTTATCACTATAAAATTCTCTCTCACTATTGGGATTTATAGTCAGACCCTCCACACAAACAAAACACACCTACCACACCAAGCACTGTGCTCACACAGAAAGAACACTTGGGAGGGATGCATTCTGACCCTCCAATAGAGACCTAGCCCTAACTTTTTACTAGGTGTGAACCTTACCATGGTCATCAGCGTCATCACCTGTGTACAAAACAGCACACTATTCATAAATGCACTGTTTATAACTCACCGACTGACACGTCACTATCCTGAACTTCATGGTTGTCCAGATGATAAACACAATAGATGCTAACAAGAAACAAAAAACCTGGTCAGAGCATCAATCTGGTTTACACCTCAATTAAATTCTCTGATTCTGGTTATGAGGAATTCCACACATCCCTAACCAATACATAAGAATCATTTCCTATCAGTTACTTTAACAAATTTATTCAACACAAATTTACCTAACTATTATAAGCAAGGCCCATGATACGTACTCTTGACAACCCTTTCTATACTTAGTTTTGTTGACCATCTGGCTACTTCAGTAACCCTGAGAATTGGAAAAGGTGGTACTGGAAATACAGCTTTTTCTAGCATTATCGGTAATACAATTTTTTTCCTTTCCTTTATCCTTAGTATACTAACACTAATTTTTCTTTGGCTGGTCAGATGGAAAAAAAAGGTGGATAAAATGACTGCAAGACAGAGTTGTTTGTTGGTTCCAATCACAGTCCAATCACAATCCAATTCCGATCACAATCCAATAGTGAGGCCAGACCTCACTAGTCTTGGTACCATGGCCAAAAGGCAGGCAAATTAGCCTACTGTGACTATGGTCTTTCTAATGCTGTATTTTATGCAGGCTTAGTGACATAGGTAAAAGCAATTTAATAGCCATGTGCCCTGATCTAAAATTCTATAGCTATTTATTGAAACAAATAGGCAAGTATTAATGTCTTCTAAAAGGAATCTAAATGCTATATGGCACTCAAGCTAATTTGCCTCAAGAAAAAGAATTCAGACAGGAAAGGGATAGACTAAGAGTTGAAATTATCTGTGGTCTACTTTCAGTTACTAAATAAGTGGTTCCTAATCTTTTTTGAACCTCAAACCCATTTGAGAATTTGACAAAAGTTAAAGTTCCCCAAGTGAAACGTACAAAATGTCCTATGTAAATTTCAGAGAGCCCACCTATTGCCTCTCAAGTTAAGAGTCTCTGTTCTAAAAGGATCACATTTAAACAGCAGGAAGAAAGTCCCTGACTTACCTGCCACTGCCAAGATAAGCGTGTTGGTGAAATGTCGGTACAAAGAGAGTTTTACAATGTTCCTCCGAAGTTTCAAGAGCTTCATTGTTTGAGTCAGGCTAATAAATATGTGTTTGCAGGTCAAGGAAATCAACATTCAGAAAAAACAATAAGCTAGTACATTAATGCTCAAGTTTCTTTGAGGGCCTGGGGTCAAACTGATAGAGCTATGGATCCCAGAGGCCTAACAGTTCTCTCATTCTCAATCTCACAAACACCGCAAGCCTCACCATGATTAACAAGAAAGTCTTCATTTTCAATAAGACTTGAAGAGAAGGCAGAATCAGGATAAAGTAAGAATGCAAAAAATAAGAAGAAAAAAGAAAAGAAGAAAAATATATTTTAAAAAAGAGAGAAATAAAGACAGGAAGAAGCTTTCTAGAGAAACAAAGATGAAAAAGAAAGACAAATGGAAGAAAATGGAATGAAACTGCATAACAGGCAAGGTAATAGGAGTTAACACCATCTGCTCTCTTCCTTTAAGGTTAAGTGGCTCTCTTCTCACTGCCCCAGCTAACCTAGGCTACAGTCAGAAATACACTCATGCCCACGCCCTCCCGAGTTCTACATTCGGTCCCTTTATGCCATGTTACGGAACCTGCCATCAGCTGCCTGAGCTATCCTGAATTGAAAGGACAGTACAATTACAATTGGCAGAGAATCCCAGGCAGTTTGGCTCTAAAAGCAACTAGTCTCCATTTTCAGAACATTATTCCCAAGTAGAAGTTGCCAGAGAAAGACAGGAGGGGAAATGACGACTACTAAAAACAGTATCTGCTCTCATGTCCAACTTTTAGAATAAGGAGCAGATATGAAAACACATGAGTCGGAGCTTGCTTCTGCCCTTTGATAGAGCCTTAGCTGCTACCTAGTCATTGGGTTATCTTTACTGTATGGTCCATCCCACCTCCCTCTCTCCACTCCTCCCAATACTCATAGAGGTTCACAAAGCACATTTGAAAGATAGCGCCCTGGAAAAACTTGGAGCATTTGAACCCAGGACCCTTCAACTTCAAACATTTTTGACATATGATAACCCACAAAATTGCAATTCTGTTTACATTCAGCTTTTCATAACAGTCAAGTCTATCAAGACAATAATATTGCACAACTGCACACAGAACCAAGTACACAAAAACCCAAACAAATTTTTTAAAAATCCCATAAGAGTCCAGAAACTTGAATTCTTCATTCAACCGGCCAAGTCCCTAATAAACAAATGTTTAATTTTAAGAAACAGAAGAAAAAGATTACTCAAAAACTTAGTTATCTGCTGGGTGCCTTTGCCTGTAAATGAATCAATATTTATTTAAAAGAATGGAAGTCTTCAGACAATCCTAAGTCAGTTTTTGAATGAGGGTACAAAACACTTAACCCTGTGAGGGTTAAGATCTGCTAAACCTATACAGAATTTTAAGAGAGTCAAACAACCTTAGCTAGTTCCTGAAACCGCGTTTTAAGAATGAAAATCTTTTCAGAATTTTCAAAACATGTAATAACTGCTAGAGGCTGAAAGAAACAGCTGGACCACGGCAGCCAGTGGTTCTACCCTAAGCGGGGGCACAAACAATCCAAAATCAAAGTGAAACGCTCATTTAACAAAAGAAAGCCAGAAGTTTTTATCTTGTGCTCAGTCCACAGTCACCAACTTCTGACGTAATTTTAAAAATTAAATGCAAACAAAAAAACTGCTTACCTGAGCCCTCAGACTGTTAGCCTGAAAATACCCTATTCCTCAGACTAAGGAGTAACCAACAAAACTGGTAAAAACCCTTTGCAAAAAGATCGATGGAAACCCATCTCCAAAGGGAAAAAATGAACCACCATCAAGCCAATGAGAAGGATATCCACCAGCAGAGGGCAGTGTCTAGGAAAGCCAAGGGGATAAAGGCCAAGGAAGCAAGATCAGTCTGGGCCTGCAGACAAAGAAAAAGAGGTGGTGAAAAAGAGATGTCCAGACAGGCACAGAGAAGAAACCAGCACACGATTCTACATTTAATCATCTGGAATGGTTTTACATTTGAATTGAAAGAAAATAAAAAGGACTAACACTTGGCATCTACATCATTCTTCCCTTCTGACAAACCATCACCTGAAACATACAGCTATAAGCATTTCACACACACCATCAATTATACTCTCAATGCAATGAAACATGCTGCTAATAAGAGGCAACCACTGTTCCTAGCATGCTAAGATCCACGTTAAGAAGTGACCATACCTAAAAGTATGGTGTTATAAGACCCCATCCCATCCTATCATTTCCTATCATTGTGAGTTGGGGTACAAGTCTTAAAAAGATCCTTCTCATATTTAAAATTACTGCACCATTAATATACTAAGAACTAATTTCCAGCATTGTCAAATAATGTAATTTTACAAAAAAGAGCTCACCCCAAAATAAAATGTAAGGCAAGTATCTGTCCCAAAAACTATGCTGTTTTTTCCCAAAAGTTTATATATATGTAAGATGTTATTTATATAACCCTAATTACCCAGTCACCAGGGCATCTGAAAGGATATCCATAAAATAATACAGGCATCAATTGCTGAGAGGGCCACGTTTACTATCAGAGCCAAGGGATAAGAAAAATACTACAGCATCAGAAGAAAGAAAATGAAATTGACAGAGGGTTAAAGTTGCTAAAAGTCTAAGGAAATTATATACAGAGGACAGTGTGATTTGAAAAACAAATTTGCATCCATAAAGTGTTTTACTTAAGGGTCAATTTATTGCAAAACTTATTGAGCCCAGTTTTCTTGAGGGCAAAGTCAAGTTTGTAGCATTTATCACCCTGAATCTAACAGGTTATTGCAGAGAGTGATTTTTTAATAAATAAGAAAATAACTGGAATGACCTAGATAGGCCCACTTCGTCCTCACATTAATCCAGCCCTAACATAAATTTCTTTATCACTTATATCTCAGTGCTTTGGTTTCCTTCCCTGGCAAAGGGTATAATTATGTAATTCTCGAGAATGATGTGAAATTAACTAGATGCATTTTATGAAAGTCTTTGAAAGTCAAGAGCTAGTTAAGCAAAGAACACTGTCACTTTAAGACAAAAATTAGATTAACTAGCAAGTGCATGATTACAACGTTTGCCACTTATACAAGAATGGAGCCCACTGTCCAGGAGGAGGAACTAAGTGAGCAGCAATTTGTGAACAGGTGGGAAAGCATCCATTCCTGATCACAAATTAAATTTATAAAGCTCTAATAGATAAATTAAAAGGAAAAAATTAATCATACATACATTTTGAAAGTGAGAGGCCAAAGGTGACTCAGAAGCAGTAAAGAAGCCCATGGACATTCCCAATTCACCCCCTCAAGACAAAAAGAAGACATCTGAACTGACCACAAAAAGTTAGATTAAGCAATACTGACCCCAGTAACTCTGAGGACCCCTTCCATGCCAGAGAAAAAAAGATAGAGGGCTCCAGCTACCACAACCTTGTGAAGAGTGACTCCAAGGCGAGGCCTGAAGAGAAAGCAGAGAGAGAGTTGAGTACAAATGCAACAAACCCCAAGACAAGCTAAGTAACAGGAACTCATTAAGTTGATTAATACAGGCCAACAACTTAACAGAGAAAAGACATACTTGATTCACCTAAGAGAAGAAAACTCAAAAAAAATACGGTCTCAAACAAGATAGTGAATACTAGAAGTTTAGAGCTGGTCTCCGGTTATCACATTTTAAAAAAACTTTTCATTGTAGAGAACTTTGAAACACAGTCAACAGTATAATAGACCCTATACAGCCATCATCCAGTCCCAATAACCGTCAATCTTTGGCCAGTCTTGCCCCATGTGCACGCCATCCACTCCCCATCCTCCCATACTATCTTGAAGCAAATCCTAGACAGCATATCTTTTATTTGTTATATATATTTCAGTATGTGTTTTTAACAGACTTTTAAAAAACATAACCACAATACCATTATCAAATCTAAAAATTTTAACTGATATAATCAAATATCCTATTAGATAAATAGTACATTTGCAAGTTCAAAATCCAACAAAATATGAAAAGTTTTTTAAACAGCTTCTGTTCAAAGGAGGAAAAGTCTTAGATCCTTGATATTCAAAATACTACTTAATAGAATCTACATTTTAACAAGATTCATTAGTGTATTATAGTTTGAGATGCAATGCCTTAAATCATGTCTACCTAAGCCTTAGCAATATTTGTTCTTATATTTTATGTCATACAGTAGAAAAGCTCTGTATGCGCAGGGATTTTTCCTCCCTACTGGTGTATCTTAGAAACCTAGAATATTTCCTGGCATATAGGAGGCACTCAAATATCTGTTAAATGAATCAATTTTAAAAATGAAAATCCCCCATTCCCCTCATCCCAATTAAAGCAAAACTCCTTTAAATGAATGAATCATTTTTAAAAATTAAAACCCGTCATTTCTTTAATCCCACTTAAAGCAAGACTCCTTGAAGTAACTGTCTACACCTGGCTAGTTCCAATTCGTCTTCTCCTATTCTCTCTTGAGCTCACTCCAATCAAGCTTTTGTCCCAGCACTTCACCAAAACTGTCTTGTTAAGGTCACTACTATCTTCCACGTAGTTAAATCCAACGGTCAATTCTCAATCCTCTTGTCTGACACAAATAATCACTCCCTCCCCGAAATATAGTCTTCAGATTTGCCTCCTACTGTACTGGTCACTCCTCAATTTCCTCTGCTCTAATTCTACTTCATATCACTGTATTAAAGTAACAGAAAATGTTCAAAGGCTTAGTCTTTTGACCTCTTTTCCATATACACTCACTTCCATGGTGCTCACATTCAGTCTCATGGCTTTACACATCTACATTCTGATGACTTCTCAAATTTGTACCTGCACCCTAATCTCTCCACTTTACTTCCCTTTGGATATCTAACTAAACTGCTAATCTTGCCTCCGCTCCAAACTTATTTCACCTAAGATCTTCCTGAACTCGGTAAATGTCAATTGCATCCTTGCACTTGCTCAGCCCAAAACAGTTGGCAACATCCTTGATTCTGCCTCTCTTCCACATCACACATTTGATCCATCAGCAAATTCCACCGGCCCTACCTTAAAAATATATATAGAGTCTGACCACATGTCAGCATCTCTTCCCCTGGGTGTACGCGTAGTTCCCTCGCCTCCTTGAGACCTTTACTAAATGTCACTAAGTGAAGCCTTCCTTGCCACCCCATTTACAACTGAAAGCTCCACTTCCTGCCCAGACTCGATACCCTTTCCCTGCTTTATCCGCTCCACAGCACTTACCACTGCCATATCAGATATTTTATTCACTGATTTTTGTGTGTCCCCTCCCTCCACAAATGTGAACTCCAAGAGTTCTGTTTACTTGCTGTATTCCCTGAGTCTAGAACAAAGTCCAGTATATAGAAGGCACTCAATAAAATTGTTTTAAATAAAAAATAAATTATTTTCAGACTATTAGAGCAAGAATGCTCTTCCTATAAAAAATTTGATTTGAAAAAATATTTTGGAAGAGTAAAGTCACTGTAAGTTTACTCTAAAAGTGTGCTATTTCAATGTCATTCACTACACTGCGGATTTTCCTGCAGGTGCTTCTTGAGTTCCAAGAAGTGAAATGAAACACAACATTTTTCCAACTTCAAATCCACAAAATTTCAGATACTTGTCTTATCTCAGAACTACTTTTAATATCAACTCTTTCAGAATTACAATGGGAACCGGAAATACAGTTTCAATTTGATCAGCATTGTAATATGCTCTTCCATATAGGAAGTTAATACTTACTTGACTATGCCATATCCCAAACTGACTATGATGACCAGAGTTCGAGCCAGTGAGCGTTTAACTGCTGAAAGCAGCTCTGCAAGGATCAGGGCACCTTGAACTATGAGAGAAAAGGGGTGAAAGGTGCTATACTCGAGGTTTGGGAAAAGGTGCGATTCTACAACCAGAAATGTAGATCTCACAACAAGCAATGGTATGAGTCCTACTAAAAAATAATACTTCTGCAATTTTTACAAGTATACATGCTGATCTCACTTATCTCACACATGTGAACAGCAATCTGGGCGTGTGCAATTCACCTTCTCTCCCCACTCCCCATTTCACTAAAACCTTAGCAGAATACCTCACCCCACGTGGACATTTACAACATCTAGGAAACTTCTCCCCTATTTTTAAAAACTGCGAAATATACGTATACATAGAAAAGCACAAAACACATACACAAAGTTTTCAAATCATTTTCATCTGAAATCACATCTACTATTTTCAAGCCCTTTCAAAGACAGGGAAAGATCTAATTAGTATACTTGCAACAATAATCAATAATTAAATGGTCTCATGAGAGAGAACCAAAGTTATCACAAAAACTTCAGTACAAAAACATTTCTCTCATTACTTGTTCACCTTAATAATCTTGAAGCACCCTATTTTCTTGGTATTAGTGTATTTTACCAATTCTCAGATGCACTTCTCCCCATGTTATCTTTGAAATCAAGGTGTGTCTTACAGTCAACAGCATCTTACAATTAAATTGACAGTATTTGTTTTCTTTCTTAGATGTATACAATAATGGTGTCTTAAAAATCAAGGGCAATTCAGATTTGATGACGATAATAATCTTTCCAAAAATGGCCACTACTGTTCTAACTTTCGTGAGTTATTTCAGTAGAATCATTCAAATCACTGAAACCACAAGTTATGAGATTAAAAACAAAAGTCACAATCATAGTGATTCTGCTTAAGTTTTTCTAATTAAGTAACTGAAAAGTTAAACCTACTCAATGACTGCTGACCTTAGGGAAATTGTCACATGTCTCACCTGCCGATCACACAAACTGGCAAACATTTTATGGTTCCGTACCAGATTCTCCTTTGTATCGGATGTTCTGAAATTCTGCATAGAAGACAGCTTTCTCAAGCATTCCCAGGAAGATGACAGCACCAATCCAAAACTGAATTCTCAGGAGATCTCTCCAGTAGCAGGCAGACCATGCCAACCACAGAACACCAAACAGGACATATACAATACACATCACCATGAAAAACTGTCATCCGAGTGGGTAGGAGATAAAAAGGAGGATTAGGGCCAAGAGCCAATTTAGCATCAATATATAGTCTTAACACACTATAAAATATACATTTTATACATTCTACTTTAAAAATAATTATTTTATTTCTTTGGAGTTCAATACTAACATGAAAAAACTGTCTCCTCTTGAGCAGAGAGAGACCACCTCAGGACCTGTCAAAAGTGACCACTCTTCTGTACTAAAAGAGCTTTTTCAGCTCACAGTCTAAAATTATATAAACGAAGACAACACTGAAGAGGAAAAAAGGCATGGCAGGGTTAGTATATAGTTATAGGTAACAGAAGAGGACAAAATAAGAAAACTATGAAAGGGAAAGGTAGAAGGAAAAAAAACAATCATGAGCAAAGGAAATTTGAAAATAGATTAAGGATATTCCCAGACATGGACACAGATACACACACTGAAAAGGAGGAAGCAGCATCATTTAGGTACTTTAAGTGGGATCAGAAACTATGGGATTGTAAGCAGTGCCCTTCTTAGAGAGAGAATGTCAGACTGAAATCATCTTTGAGGTACTTTCTGACTCTAAAATTCCACAAGTCATCAACCCAAGAAAATGAAGGCGGAGAGGGGTTCACTGACCCTCCCAAGATCACACTCTAATAAGAAGTAAAGAACTGAAAGCCATACTTTCTGAACTGTTCAGGTACAATTCTTTAAAAAAGAATATTGCTACAAAACACGGACAATCTTTCAACTAAACTCATTTAATGTTGAGGTTAACAATCTAAGTTCACTTACAATCATCAATGGATAATCTTCAAGCGTGAGGTATTCATAGGGACCCTTCACTTCAACAGTCACTGCCAAAAAACAGTCCTCAGAATTAATGTAAAGGAGGCAGAAATTAAACAAAAACATTACGTGACATTTGTCTGATGAAATTAATGAAAATTCCATTGGGTCATTTATTTTTAACCACTTAAATCTTGGTGAGTATTACATTTATAGAGCACTTTGAAATTCATGCAGTGTTCCCATGGTTCGTGCTATGTCCTGCACAGGCCTCCATCCCTATGCTCCAGGGAGTATCTTAACCGGAAAAGCCCTCTGTTCCCATAGTCACATCTTTAAAGATAAGATTGAATGTATTTCCTCCACAAGGCATTCTGTGAGCTGCCCAACTGGAACTATTCTGCATCTCCTCTAAATTCCGAACATACTTCATATATACTTTTTCCTACAACACATCACTAACATGCTTTAACAAGTACCAGACTTCATTCCTTCATTCTGCCATCCTCTTTGTCGTCCATCTCTCCTTACCTATGTTTTCCTATTGCTTTAGTATTTTTTTTTACCTACTTCAATTTTATGCATTATGTAACTTTGCTACATTAATGTATCATCTTTGGAAGGTGCTTAATAATAACAAAGTGTTTAATAAAGCAGAACAAGTGACAGTAACAAGAACCTGAAAGACACATCTGCCTTACTGAAGCAAACCTATGACTATTTTAAAAATGTAACTGATAAAACTATTTGGATAAATTTCAGATATGATTAATAAATAAAAACAGATTTATCTCCAAAGACACAGTAATAAGTGCCTATTCAACAAAAATTTCCTACTAATTTTTATCAGGCAAAAAGGGCATACCATTATTAAAAGTAAATTTGGTCGAATACTTATGTGAACAAAAGGAGCATCCCATAATACCAATCATAAAAATTTCACAGCAGAACTGGTTATTAAATCTATACATTCTTAATTTGATAAAAGAGCAAATAAAATAATTGGTGATTATTTGTCACATTCTTTGCTTACTCTATGCCAGGGGTCAGCAAAATATAGCACACAGGCCAAATCCAGCCATCCCCTTTTCATTAATACAGTTTTACTGGAAAATAGCCATATCCACTCACATACTGTCTACGGCCCCATTTGCACCTAACAGCAAAGTTGGGTAGTTAAAGTACAGAGAACATTTACTATCTGGATCTTTAAGAAAAAGTTGGCTAACCCCCACTCTATGCTAAAATACAACATACATTTACTGAGCACTTATTATGTGACACACACCACGGAAAACATAGGAGTTGGAAAGATGAGTAAGACGTTTTCAACCATCTAGTGGATTACCATCTAGAGGGGAGAGGAAGTTGCAAACCAACAGAGAGAACTGTCCCTCTGAGCCAGACCCAGAAGGATGAGTGCATATTTTCCAGGACAAAGTAAAAAGCCATCCGCGTAAAGGAAATGACATGAACAAAGACAGGTGTGAGAACGCATGTATATTTAAAGTACACGTAGTCTGAGACTGCACACAGTAGCATATAGTAGTCTTCTGAAACAAGGCAACAAAAGGTAAACTGGGACAAGTTGTAGGGTTTTATAAGCCTTGCTGTAGAATATGGACATTTTACAGGTGATGAGGAGACATCAAAGGTTTTAATGAAGGAAAGATTAGAAGACTGTTTTAGACAAAGAATCCTAGGACTTTAATATGGTGTAGTTAACTCCAGCCTTTAAAGTATCTTCTTAGCTCAAAACAACAGATGAATAAAACGAAAAAAGAGAGAATCAAAAGGACACAAGCTTGAAAACAAGATAAACATCTCCAAATATCAAAACTGAACAGAAACTCAGAACAGTGCATGGTTACGTTGGACTCTGGGCCCAAAAGCAGGCTATGGGAATTGAGAGGGCAGTTCCAGTGAGATTACCAAAACCAGGAGGATTCTAAGAAAAAGGGGATGAGAGCCAGATGTGATGCATGAAGAGGCTGAAGTGGACTGGAGCAGGACTTCTCCTGCTCCCTTTTCAAAGCAAGAAGGTTGGACATACATGTTGGCAACTGCTCCTTGAGACTATTACTCATTAGAAAGCCCTGGGCCTAGAAATACAGGAGAATACACGTCTTGAGTCCAGAAACTGTGCCAGGCAACCCAATGGTTTGCCTAGATCTGCTATATCCCACATTACTATGGAACATAAGACTCACCTCTGGATTGGGAATTAAGCATTCAATACAAGAAACCATAAAACACAAAAGTTTAAAGTTAAGTCAAATCAAAGAAATGATAAAGATAAAAGTAGAAATTTATGAAATAGACAAAGAAATAGTTGGGAAAATTAAAACCAAAAACTGGTTTACTGGGATAAAAATAGGGTAAAATCCCAGAAAGATTTTAAAAGTTAAAAAGAGGGGGCCGGCCCGGTGGCGCAGCGGTTAAGTTCACACGTTCCCCTTCTCGGCAGCTGGGGGTTCACTGGTTCGGATCTCGGGTGCAGACATGGCACCGCTTGGCAAAAGCCATGTGGTGGTAGGCTTCCCACATATAAAAAAGAGGAAGATGGGCACGAATGTGAGCTCAGGGCCAGTCTTCCTCAGCAAAAAGAGGAAGATTGGCAGTAGTTAGCTCAGGGCCAATCCTCCTCCTCAAAAAAAAAAGTTAATAACCATTAATAACTTTATGCCAATTAATCTGAAATCTTGAATAAAATGGACAATTTCTCAAAAAAACTCCCAAAACAACCCTGATTCAAGGAAAAATAGAAAAACTAAAAACAAAATACTTATTACCATTAAAGAAAATTAATCAGTTGTTTATAAAATCTACATAGGAGAGAAAAAAAAAAGATTACACCAAAATACTAGCATAAGTGAGTTCTACCAAACATTCAAGAAATGGATAATCCTATCCTTACAAAAACTGTCCCAGAGAATATAGAAATAGGGGACATTCTCCAATTCATTGTATCAGACTAGCATAGCCTGGATGCCAAAACCTATAGGTGACAGCATGAGCAAAGAAAATTATAGACCTTCTGGAAAACAGAATCCAGTTGTGTATATATATGTGTGAAAGGGGTGTGTTTGTGTGTGTGTGTCAAAACCAAATAGTGGCATCTCAGAAATTCAAGAATGGTTTAACATGAGAAAATCAGTTAATATAATGCATCACATTAACAGATTAAATAAAGAAATCTATATGATCATTTTTATCAAAATCAAAAATCAATTGATTTTTATCAATATAATCAAAGCATTTGATAAAACTGACCATTCATTCTTTTTTTTTTTTTAATTTGGGGGCATCTTATCTAAGATATTTACATTTTAATGAGACAGGTTTAAACTACATTTTCTTTCTAAGTCCTTAGTTGTGTTGATACAAATGCTATGGTAGATTGCCTTCCCTTTTCATTAGAATAGACAAACAGTGTAAGATAGGGGACATGTGTTTCTTGAAAAGTTGTTAAAACTCAATGCTTAAAATGCCTTGGGGTGCGATGCCCTTACTGTGGAAAAATTACGTTTCATTTTTCTTAATTTTTTCAGGCATATTTTAAAAAATATAATCAATTTTGGCAATTAATATTTTCCAAAAGATTGAGAATTTAATCATTTTTTAAAATATTGGAACAAGGTTAACATATTACTTCAATCTCTTTATTGGCAGTTTATTTCTAACATTATTTGTGTTTTTAATTTTATGTTGAACACTCCTGCCAATTTTTTTGAAAAATTATTTTCAAAATTTTCTTCATCATTCCTATTATTTCTTGAACATTCATTCTTAATACTAAAAAAAAGAAAGAAAGAAAAAGAGAAATACACTTAGTAAACTAGGAATAGACATGAACAACCTTAACTAAATAAAGAATACTTTGAAAAATCTATACTAAACATCACACTCAATGGTGAAATGTGCCAATATTGCCAGTGAAGTCACAAGCAAGATAAAGATGACCACCATCAATGTTTCTCCTCAATATTCTATTTGAGAAAACGGGGAAGGGAAGAAAACCACAGAGGAGAAGGAAGAAACAAAAAAAGAAACTATAGGAAATACAAACCAGTTAGCAGTTATTGCAAAATTTCAGACACCATGAACTGAGCAGCAAGAAAAGGAGAACACTAAGAAAAATTGAGATATTAAAAAATTACCAAAGTCAAGTAATTTAAAAATTTTGGAGTTTTGACTTGGTAACCAAGTCTAATTCAGAATACTGAGAAGATCATACGAATTAAAAATTTAAAAAGCAGGAGGATCAAATGAAGGAAAATGAAATCTAGTATCTGTGATATATAATGAGAAAGCAACGTGAAGTGCCTAAGACTGTGTCTGGTACATACTGGCTGCAGAAAAATGTTAATCTCTGTCTCAATTTTTCTACTTCACAACCAACGTTAATTATTCCCTCCCTTCAAGCAATTTTACACTACCCACCATGCATAACACAACTAGGTAATATACAAATGGTAAAAAGTAACAAAACGTACTTACTAGTAAAAAGATTAATACCTAGTAGATTGTCTTTTGAGGATGAAATGCCAATATGTACAATAAAAATGTATGGTGCGTCTTGCCAAGTTGTCAATGGATCATGCATTGCCTAGAGAGGAAAAAAAATGCATCAAATCTTCAAGTCTTAGGAATTAAGAATACAAGTTAATAATACAACATGAAAATTCTATTCCAGAATGTGCCCAGAAACATGGCTGAGCCCTTCACTTTCATTCAACAAAACCTTAGGCACAACAAACCTAACAGGCCTATTGTGCATACAACAAAGTAGGCTGGATTATAAATTACTAGAAAGTAGGACATCTTGTATCTCCTCATACACAAAAAATCACGTTTAACTTATTTATTTTTTTTTTACAAAGAAAACCTCAACTAAATCATTAAACTGAATCTGTTTAACTAAACCATGCTAGAATACTAGTTACATTTGACACAGATATCCCGAACAAAATACGGAGATAATTTAAATCACCTAAAAAGAAAAAAAACCTATGATGATGTCAGTGATTCATAAAGACCAATTCTTGAATCTAATTTCCTTTGTTCCATGCCATTCCCAAGACTACCAGAATTTCTGCTGACAAGGTCTCACACTTATATCAAAAATTTAATCTGGGCTAGTCTATGTGGAAAGCAAAAGTCACTGTCCCCCAAAGTCAAGAAAGTAGAGTTAACAGCTTCCATGTTTATAGAACTGGTTACCTGGGAAGAATCTGTTTCAAGGCCAGTTAGTCTGTGCACAGACCTAGCAAAAAGCCTTCAAAGGATTTGCTGCCATCCATGCTAGATGAACTATGGACCTCCACAAACACAAGACTAAGAAACAGAGATAAAGGAGATGAACATAGGAAATAAGTGGCTGCTGCTTCCTTGTATGTGAAAGGAGGTACTGGTACCTAGACTTGCAAGTTATTGCCTCTTCTGGTCTTAGAAGGAACTTTAACCCACAGACCTCCAGATAAGCTTCACTGATTGATCTATGAAACTCCTCAAAGTGGATAACAGATTTTGCATAATGATGCATTTTCCTGCAGACCCACAGCTTTTCTCAAATGCTCAAATTATCCTACAACCCAAGAAAACGTTAAACAAGAGTTCAAAGATTATATTCCATGATACAAATCCAAAGTGTCAAACCAAGCGGATTAAATGATTCTTCAGCTATACACTATTAGGTTATCTTAGTAACTTAAAAACATAAATGCCATGCTGAATCACACATTGATTTATCTCTGCCTGATGGTTTCTTCTGACAAAATTCAGGAGCCATTTGTGAGAAAGCTTTACAGCTTCAAAGTTATAGGTACATCACTTCCTATTCACCCACAATTAACTGAACCTTTCCTGAACTTACTTGTTTATTAACCAATAAAACTTTGGTGTAATAAGCTGCTCTGCTACTAATTTTATATATCTTTTTATTTTTTTGAGGAAGATTAGCCCTGAGCTAACATCTGCCGCCAATCCTCTTTCTTGCTGAGGAAGACTGGCCCTAAGCTAACATCTGGGCCAATCTTCTACTTTATATGTGGGATGCCTACCACAGCATGGCGTGCCAAGCAGTGGATGGGTTCACACCTGGGATCCGAACCGGCAAACTCTGGGCTGTCAATGTGCAAACTTAACCGCCGCACCACCAGGCCAGTTCTAATTTTATATATCTCAAAACTACCTCTTGCAAATTTCAAAAGGACTGACTAGTTTTCATATTCCAGGATTTGACAAAGTTCACATTTAACTCTGGAACATAGATATTCTGACTCTGTAAAAATAACACTCATCCGCCAGGCACTCTGTTAAGCATGTAACATTTATTACCTTCCTTAATCCTCACAACAACCCTATCAGATAGGTACTACTGTTAGTTCCTGCAACATGTATCTCAGCAGGTCAATGGATGAATAAACTGTGATACATCCAGACAATGGAATATTATTCAGTACTAAACAGAAATGAGCTATCAAGCCACAAGAAGGCATGGAGAAAACTTAAATGCATAATACTAAATGAAAGAAGCCAATCTGAAAAGGCTATGTATCATATGATTTCAACTATATGGTATTCTGGAAAATGCAAAACTATAGAGACAGTAAAAAAATCGGTGATTGCCAAGGGGCTCAGGGGAAGGAGGGATGAACAGATGGAGCACAGAAGATTTTTAGGACATTATAATGGTAAATATACCACATTACTGCTTAAACCAGAAAACTGAGTTAACCAAAACATTATATTTTTTCCTAGGGGAAGGGATAGGGAGAGGCCCTTTTCTGTAATGCTTTATCAGAGCTTTAATAAAAAGGGGTGGAGGTACTGAACTTGTGAGTATCCTTTAAATAGGATTATAAAGTATTCTCCTCTTAGGCCCAATTTTCAGGAAAAATGATCAAAGGACAGATAGTTCTTTGACTTCTTTTGATTATAATCTGATTAAATATTTCTAAATATTACTTGCAGTATTCAACAGGGTCATCTCTCAGTCAGCTTTACTAGGAACAGAGCCCAAATCTTGACAGAACTTGAAAGTATGCACAGAAGACCACCGAATAAAGCACAATCACAAGGAGCCAAGATGCACAGAAATGAATGCTCAGCTTCAACAAGAATTTTTTAAAAATACAATTTAATCTGACAAATAGCAAAAAATCTGTTTTAAACTATAATAGCCATTGTTGGTGAGGAAAGAAGGAAAATCAGTCTTATTTTCTTGGTACCATAAATTGCTATAGTTTTTCTCCAGAGCACTTTGACAAAATATAAAAAAAGAATTTATAAATTGTGCATACATTTGGACCCAGCAATTCCAGCTCTAGGAATTTAGGTTAAAGAAAATATTATAAACATGCACAAAGATATAGCTAGACCTTATATAAACCTATATAAGATATATAGCTATACCTTATACTGAAAATCTGGAAACAACCCAATGTACATCAACTGGGAATTGATCATAAAAATCATGGTTAAATGGAATAGTATGCAGCCACGAAATAAGTGAAGTAGTGTTTAATGTACCAATTTATTAAGCGAAAAGAAAAAATTACACAGCAGTATCTATAATGTGATCTCATTTTGGTTAATATTCATGTGCTCTGTATAATCACAGCAAACTGCTAGAAAATAAAATTACAAAGGATTTTTGCTTTTAAGTTAAGAAGCAAAATGTTCACCAACACAGAATTCTTTTGAAACCAGAAAACAAAGAATTAAAAATAAATATATCCACAAGAACATTCACCGCAGCACTGTTTAAAACTCCAAGAGAATGAAACACATAAATGTCCAACAATAGAGAATTTGATAACAAACTGCAATTACTCATGCAATAAAATACTATGCAGGCATTTAAATAAAGATACCATACAGTATTTACTGAGCCGGAAAGATGTCCATGTTATATTGCTAAGCTAAAAAAAAAGTTGCAATATGATACATATTGTAAGATTCCCATTTTTAAATAAATTAAATATAAATATGCACATAGACAAAAGACTAGAAGATGAATATATTTATAGTCTAACAGTGTGTGGTAGTATTATAGATGATTATTTTCTTCTTGTTGTTTATGTATATGTTTTAAAAATTTTTGATAGTGAATATATACATATTAGCAATAAGAAAAAACCCAACGGATGTTGCTTTTTAAAAGAAAAAAAAAAACCTAAATGAAACCTGCCATGCCAAACTCATTTTTAGATTAAAATTCTGTACAAGTATAATCAGTGCAAGGAGAGTGGGGACACTTCCAGAATGGCAGAATGGCTGAAAATGCACTCACCCATAAAAGGAACAAGAACATAAGCAAAAACAATAAAAACCAACTTTTTTGGAAGCCTGGAAATTAACTAGAGACTTGAAACAATCCAGAAGTGTTTCCTCAAGAAAAACAGCTGAATCTTAGTAAGAAAAGCAAGTTTCTGGTGTTTTTGTTCACCATAATTCCATTCCCCTCTTCCAAGCTCCTTGAACTCAAAGTCTTTGCAACTATAACAGTTGTGAAATAAAGCAGTTCGGCAGCCACTGGAAAAAACAGAACAAGTCTGGAGGTCCCCTGATAACCAACTGCCAGAGCTGTCTGGCAGGTGCTGAAAAGCTCTACTCTCAGGGCTTATCTTCTGCAGGACCCGACTCAGAGCTCATTCAGTGGGGAGGACGCTATACTCAGGGCACTGTCAAAAACACTCAGCAGCAATTGTGAAAGATCACAGCTGCCCACGGTGATGCTCCTAGGTGGGGCTATCAAGAGGCTGAGTAAAAACTTCAAAGGAAAAATTGGAAGTGAGATGTCCACAGGGGTTTTGAAAAGCTCCAAAATATTCTTGGAAATCTAGGAGGCCAAGAGTACATAGGGCTGTGCATGTATGTGCGGGACTGTGCCCACATGCTCAAGAGAGGCCTGAGAAGGCCCTCATCAGTCACCTCTGGTTGATCTTAGGGCTCTGCACAAGAAGGAAGTAAAAGTTAAGACAGACTTTTAAATTGTGAAACATGCCACAAATTGTATGATTCCATTAATACGAAATGAACAGAAATGGCAAATCCACAGAAGCAGAAAGAATAATAGTGGTTGCCTAGGGCTGCAGGAAGGGTGGAATGAGGAGTGACTGCTAATGGCCAGGTGGTTACTTTTTGGGGTGATGAAGATTTTCAGGAATTCAGTTAGACATTAGTGGTTGCACAACTTGTAGATATACTAAAAAAACCACTGACTTGTATGTTTTAAAAGGGTAAATTTTGAGATACGTATATTATATCTTAAAATTGTTATAAAATTAAAAACTTTCATCAGTTTTGTAAAAACGCCTGACCAAATATGGATAACTATCTTATTTCCTCTACATTTTTATCTGGTACAGTTTTAAGGAATTAGTTATTGAGAATTAGAAAGTGAATTATGAAAATTTAAGGCATTTTTCATTTATAGTTCATTTATAGTCTTAAACCTTATTTTAATCTTTCAATCTCTCTTCCAGTTATATTCTATCACAAGGCAATTTTAGACGGCAATTCTATCTCAAGGCTCTTTCTTAAAAGTTTCTTCCTATTTATAAGTAATATTTATGGGGTGATAATTATGTAAACAATACAGATTGATCGTAGCAAATATGGAAAATACAGCAAACACAAAGAAGAAAATAAAAATTACTCATAATATCATCTAGAGACAACCATTGTTAACATCTTGGTGTACAGATTCCATTCTGAAATTTCTTTTTAAACTTTAGCATCCCGAGATAATAATTTAAAATACACCAACATAAGAAAACTGAAATATGTGTTCAATGCTCCAAATTCCCTGCTATACTTACAGTTTTGTCTCCAGTAAAGGTAATATTTGTTCCATTCTCCTTAGCCTTTAAACATTAAAAAAGAAAAAAAGAAAATTAATTCAGAATTTTCATTTTACTCTCAGAAATACATAACAAGGAAAATAATTACCTCCTGTTTTTCTCCTAAAAGAGGCAATCGATGCACAAAATCCCCAGAAAAGCTCTACGAAAAAAATACAAAACTAAAATTAAAGATGTATAATAGTAAAAGAAAAGTGTAGCTCCAAATCTACAGAAGTGGTTAAAGCAAAACATAACAGCAAATAGAATAAAAGGCACTGACAGACAAAAGATTTCCAATCAACCACAGAAAAGTGAATAAACCTTGCTGGGAACTAAAACGTAATATCAAACCATACAGGCCACTCAATTTTTCTATAGAAATTATGTATCTTTAAGAATAACAAAACCTTAGATAGAAGACATATGCTTAGGATGGAAGGATCCTCTCCTTCCACAGATGAGGAAAATGTGGCTAAAGATACAAAAAGCTTTAGATGCAGAAATAGGATTTGAACCTAAGCTTCCTAACTCCTGGGTCCACTGCTCCCTCTACCACAACACACTCCATGCCTATAAAAAACCTATACTAATTACCCTTCTTACCAGTTATCAGCAGATGAGGAATTCTCCTTCCTGAATAACCAGAGCATGTATTTCAACTCTGTTACATTAGACTGGAGGGGGAGAGGAAAGCTGACCAAGAGGGGTATATAGCAAGACCCTGGAAAGATTACAGCAGATCTCAAAGTCCGTGAACCTTGGGGAACAGTATACAACAGGTAGCTTTCCATAACCAAATCCAAGAAAGGCCAACCAATCCGTCTAGCCTGGGGGATAAACCTGGAGAACCAACAGAAAACTCCCTGCTCAACATCACATTGTTCCTAGCTTTCTTTTTCAACATTCTTCCACCATTTTAAAGGTATCTTCTTTGTCCTCCAAGTCCATAAAATCTAAGCTATGACAAGAACTCAATCCTTACAGTTCAATTATCAATTGCATCATTTGCTTATCAATTACTTATCATTAAATTAAAGCCTTCTTATCAATAAACTTTACTCCTAGTAACTGGACAGAAAACCTAGCTTTCTGTGAACTCCTTGCCTTTTCAAGACAATTTGCTAAATATTCCAAAGCAATATTTAAATGCAGTCAGGACGAAGCAAAGGCTAAAGTTACAGTAACTATTTTCAATACTGATGAAATACATAATTTTTCTATCAAAAAACTGGTGTCAGACCCTATTTCTAAGAAAAGAGAATTTTATAATATAAACCCTACTTATATGATTACATATATGTAAGCATTAAAAATATATATTATTATTCACCTCTTCCCCTTTATTCAAAAAAAGGTGTGAAATTCAACCCTTTGATTTCAGATCTGTAGCAGTAAAACCTAAAAACACTAATTTTTCTGAGGATATATCAGATGAGATGGAAAGAGAATTAAAAATCGGACGTTTCAAACATCCCTCAATAGATGAACAGACAAACAAAATGTGGTTATATACATACAATGGAATGTTATCCAGCCTTAAAAAGGAATGAAATTCTCGTACATGCTATATGGATGAACTTTGAAAACGTTTTGCTAAGTGAAAGAAGCCAAACAAATACTGTATGATTCTACTTCTTTGAGTTATCTACAAGAGTCAAATTCATGGAGATAGAAAGCAGAACAGTTGTTATCAGGGACTGGGTGGAGGGCAGGGTGTTACTGTTTAATGGTTAATGAAGCGTAAGTTCGGGGTGATGGAATAGTTCTGGAGATGGCTAATAGTGATAGGTGCACAGAATGTGAATGTACTTAACACCACTGAATGGCACACTTAAAAATGGTTAAAATGGGAAATTTCATGTCATGTATATTTTACCACAATAAAAAAAAATGGGGAGTTTGCTGTTTACACACAAAGGAAAGTGTATCCTCTCTTTGATGAGATGCATATATAAGAGGCTGACTAAGCACCTATCAGAACATGCTTCCAACTTATTTCTGTCAGAAGAAAGAATCAGGAAGTGAGAAGTGGATAGCACCAAAAATACAGACATAACATTTTTCATCTCTTCCATTTCCCTCCAACCACTATCAAACATTACCTGTGTTTTAAAGAGTTCACTGCAATTCTGGAACAATTTTGATGACGTTTGATATTTCCCAGACAAGCCTTTTTTTTCCTTAAGGTTTTCCAAATATGTCTCCACTTCTTCTGCCTGGAAAAACAGAGGAAATACAAAGTATTTAACTTTACCTTTCACAAGTAAGATACTCAGAAGATACTAAATAGATGACCTATGGTACAAATACAGTTTTGGGTTTGCTCTTTTAAAAATTAACAGCATCAGATAAAGACGCTACACAGTAGTATCCAAGAATCTAACAGATTAATCTAATTAGACCCCAAAGTGCAGAATTCTAGTCTATGGCTCACAAAGCGTAGCTCCTCTAAAAATTCTGGGAAGACTGGGAAACTGTTAGGGTCCAAAGGGTTTTGTCACAGGAAAATATATTTACAAGTTACCTGAATAAATTAACAACATCAACAAAAAGATCTACTTGTACTCCGAAGCTAAGATAGAACACAAAGTTGTTGTAGGCATTCACAGTCCACTGCTGATACGCTGAAAAAACTCACCATTTCTGGGGCTTTATCTATCAGTCCCGTGATTTTTCTCTCATACCTACATCCCTAATCTTGCCCTCTCTTTCCTAAGCTCCAATTTCACATCTCAGTCAACTATCTGCTTGTCATTTCCATAATTCTGTCCTGTGGTAATCCAAAATAATTATTACATTCTTAGCTTGTACTACCTATGTAGACTGAATCTGCTAAGCTCTTGACCAGCCTATCCCAAGTTTCAAATGTATGAAGTTTTTAACTGTAAATTCAATTAGCAATTGATTAAGACTAAAGGATCAACGACATTTCAAACCATATTCTGGAGATATTATCATTTCTCTCTAAACTGGTCAGTCCTTTCAGTCCTCCCTGCCATATCAAGCCTATCCAACATTATATAACAAAAGCAAAAAACAATCACCAACACGACAAAAAAGATCATGTAAAACCCTAATAACACTTGGCAGAAATTCAGACTGCTTCAGGTTTGAAAAACCAACTGGATGATGGACCTTTTTTTAAAGACTAGTCGGACTATCTTTGAAAAGAAACTTCAAGAATAGTAAGGGAAATGTAAAAAAACAAACAAAAACAATGACGCAAATATGGGAACAGAAACAGAATGGAAAAGGCCTGAAAAATCCATCTTGGAGCCATTATCTTCAATGCTCAAGTACAGTGCACTATGGCAAGTGTGAACACGTGGTCTGTAGACCTTTTTACATGGTCTAAGAGGTCAAAACTATTTTCATAATAATGATGATGATGTCATTTGTCATGAACTGATAGTGCAAAAGTTATAGTGGGTAAAACTGCTGTGCCTTATCAGGCACCAAGGCAATGGCACCTAATTGTACTAGCAGTCACTGCACTCGTCACAGCCATAAACTTGCAGTTTAAAAAAAAAAGCCAGTTTTACATAAGAAGGTCCTTGATGAAGTAGTAAAAATCATTAATGTTATTAAATCTGGACCTTTGAGTACATGCCTTTTTTAATATTCTATGAGACAAAATAGGAAGTATGCAAAACACTATAAATGATCATCTTGAAATGAACCACTATGCAACTGTGTTGACTTGTAAGCTAAACTACCTACTTTTTTCATTTACTTGAAAGAATGACTGATAAACTAGTTATTCAGACTTGGTTATTTGGGAGCTATTTTCTTGAAAATGGGCAGAGGGAGGCTGTCACTTCAAGGAAGACAACTGACAGTATTCATTGCCAATGATAAAATTTGAGCTTTCAAGCAAAAATTGGAATTCTGGAAAACTTTTATCTGCCTCACCATGAGCTTAAGAGCTTTCAACGCTTAAGGAGTTTCTGATGAGACTGAAGGGTGATATTAACAAATGTAATGTTGAGTTAATTATAAAACGAGTTACTATTTGGAAGGTTGATATAATTCAGTCAACTAGTATTTTCTAAATGACCAATAAATGCTGTTACAAAATCAGACAGTGAAGACCACTCAAAGAGCACAACGCCGATTTATTTTACTATCAATATAACAGAACACAAAAAAAGTTCACTGATGCGGTTTCAGATTCCACGCTACAACTAACCTTTAACAAAATCTACTTGTTACATTTTGGCAGAGTATCAAAGAACAATATCCACAATTATCTGAAAACACTATTAAAATATCATTCCCATTTCCAATACATATGGAATTCCAATAAATATCTGTATGAGGCCACATTTCATGCACATACTTCAAAGTAACACATCACAAAGACAGACTGAAGGAAATCTAAGAATCTGGTTGCCTTCTATTAAGCCCAACATTAAATAAAGAGATTTGCAAAACTACAAAATAACACCACTCTTCTGGGTTTTTTTGAAAAAGCTATTTTTCACTAAAAATATGTTTTTTTATTAATTTGCAATGAGTTTATTATTGCTATTTTAAAATGAATAAATATTTCTGCATTTTCTTAGTTTTAATTTCTAGTATAGTAACCGACAGGAACAAAGGCTTTTTGGAGTCTGCAGTAATTTGTAAGAACGTAACAGAGTTCTGAGACCAAAAAGTTTGCGAAGTGCAAGTACAGCAGATCTGCAAATTAGGAAGCACGGGTTCTAGTTTCAGCTCTTCTCCTCCAGAGCTTCACGACACTCCTTCCTCTATCGAGTTGGGACCCAATGATCCGTCCAAGAAGTCTGTTAATTTTATGTTCCTTACCTTGAAGTTGTAGATTTCATTGTAACAATCAGCACTTTTCAGATACCAGGTTACATTCAAAGGTACATCACAAGGTTCTCCATCAACTATAAAAGAAGAAGTCTTTGTGAATAAAAGATGAATCCCAACAAAGCATTTTTCCTAACCTGTTACCCCAGATCCCATTTATTTGCAGCTAAACTGAGATACTCAAAGACCATTCCTGCTCCAAATATAAGGTAATGAGGTAATATATATAAAAAGAACTGGATTTTTTTAGATAATAGTAAGTACTGCTGTTCTAGAAAGAAACAGAAGTTAAGCTATTTTTAACTTTTGAAACATTATCTATTACTGTGCCTTAAAACCTCGATTTCTGGTTCTCTGCTGGGAAAAACCTGGAAGTGATCAAGCAGGCCTAAGTTAAAACCAGTCTTCTATGCTCATTCAAATATTTATTTAGCAGAGCACTTAAGTATACAAAGCTATGCGGCATAGCGTTAGGCCAAAGAGGGGAACTGGAGGGAACAAATAACTAAAGACACTTAAAACGACTACTTTCTGGGTGGGGAGACAAAAATTAACAACATCAGGAATGTCACACGGCAACATTCAAAATGGTTCCACTGAGGGAAAAATTCATGGCTTAGACCTTGAAAGCTCAAGATTGGATAGAAAGAACTATGAACAAAAAGCAAACCTGGCTTGGGAAGGTAGAAACAGCAAAAGCAAAGATAAAGAGTATTAGATTTTTTTCATAACCCACCTTAAGACAGGCCTCAAGGAACCTCATGAAATCACAGAAGCCTCACGTACCTCACTGAACATACTTTGGAACACAATATTCTAGTGGATCAAGGCCTTATTCTGAAGACTTAGGATAAATCTGTCTATATAACTGATTAGCTTTCTCACCTGGGGGAAGTCAGTATTCTCTTTTATCTTTGATTCCAGCTGTGAAAGGAAAAATATACCAGAGATACCCACTTTATGCAAATGTGACAAAGATAAACATGACTACATCAGGAACCTACTTTTGGTTTTTAACAAAAGCAGCACACCTAAAATTATAACCTTTCCCTTTTCTTTGTTTTAAATCGTTTTCTCAAACTAATTTTTAAGTGACACACTTTTGCAAGGCTCAATTAAAACAGACAAAAATCTCATGTGTTGAATAGAATTTATGGAAATGACAAAAAGGATATTGTAACATTGCTATGAACTGACTACTCGGAAGAACCACAGAAGAGATGGGATTAATTAATAAAAGCCAGTAAGAAAATCTCCTAAATAGGAGATGTGCAGAGAAACCTGTCTTCAAAAATACTATTCATGCTAAAAGACACCGTTTGGAACTCTGAATGGACAGCTTCAAGAGACAATGAAAAGAGTCCTGTCAATTTCCTAGAAAGTTATATACCATACCCACAAAAGTATAAAATCAGAGACAAGGTAAAAATGAGAATGCAGAGAAGTAACAAAATGAAAGATAATGTAATTTTTAAGGAGCTACAAATTCTCCAAAAACAACGAAATACAGACACTTCAAAACGTGCAGCTTGGGTAACTTGTTGAAACACTGTTAGATCAAAACACAGGTGAGAAAAGACTGTACATAATAAAGGACAGAAGAGCATACAGGCTGTCAGGCTATTCCAAAAGCAGAATACTGCCATCTAGAAAAGCTACTCTTATCTAGTAAACAAACGTCACAAGAAAGACCCATGTGTCAGAATAGATTGGATTTAAATCAAATTTAAGTCATTTGTCAGGAGATTGTATTTCCATGGACGTAGTATATTCTTCCTAGAAATTCTACCTGCCGCCCCTCACCCCCACTAGACTGTAGGCTAAATAAGAGAAGGGGCCTCTTCTATCACTTCCCTGCTGTGTAAACAGTGCCTGGCACACAGCAGGTTTTCCGTAACTACTTACTAAATGATTAAAAGTACAAAATCATCCAACTATGACTTGTAACTTTGAACTTTTATGGAGAGAGGTATGCACAGAAGCACACACGGATGATCTGGATTTTTATCCCTGATATTGAAGTGGAGCTGCCCATGATCATTTATTCTCTAAAAAAGCCAGCTTCAAAAATAAAAGGAAGCTTTTCTTTAATACACAATGGGATATGATGGATTCAGACACAGTGGTTTTCCCACTGGACAGACTCGTTTTGTTCCACATAATCTCTGTTGCCTGATCATATCTTTGAACTTCCTCTTCTAAAGATCCAGGGTGTAAAATACTCCTTTTGTAAACAAAACAATTACTGAACATATTTATTCATTGCCAATGGTCTGACAAACCTCGGTCATGTGTTCAGCGAACATCCAACAAGCACACAAGCAAAACTGGTGGTGTATCTGTAACTCAGAACAGATTAAAACACCATGCAGGCAATCAACCCACACGATTTGTCTAGCTATATATAATAAACACCAGAAAAATATGAGCAGAAAATAAAGTTCACACAACTAAGTACACTAAAGATTATCTAGTGAAAGGACCTTAGTCATACTATATATGTTTATAGCTAGACAGTGGCAGACTATTAAATTTCAGAACTTCTGTTAAGAGTAGGCCATCAGAGGGAGACAGGTAATTTACAAGTTTAAAGACCACTCAAAAACTTAAATAAAAACTTCATGAAATGCAAAAACTCACATTTCAGAAAGATAGTCGTATTTTTGAAGAGGATCTTTCCAAAACTAAAATACCTTTTCCCCTGCAAAGATAAAGGAGAGAAAGATAATTAGCACCAGATCACTTTAATTCTCATATAACTGGCATAAAACCTAAACTTAGAAACATTCAAGTTATTTCTGTTAACAAAAAAAGACATCATTTTCCTTCCTTTTAGTAAAATTCAACCACATCCAAACTGCAGGATTTTGCAGCTTGTTGCAAAGACATGATTTTTTCCCCACAGGTCATTCAGCAAGGACTCTAGAAGGGAGGCTGCTAGAAACCCCAAATTAACTAAAATCTTCATGGGAAGTCCTCCTTAATCAGTTCATTCCCCTTACCCACCAATCACTGTCCAGAACAACCAACCATTTCTTCAAATGAACTATTCCAGAAGCAGATAGCCAGATTTAACTATTAACCATTTTAGTAACAAGTAAGTATCTAAAACTGAGAATCTGAAGATCTTCACCAAATGAACAAAAGCTATAATGTTTGCCATAAGAAAAGCTCGAATAAGATTTGGACATCACATTTAGTGAACAGAACAGAAGGAAACAAAAAGGCCACCGTGGTTTTAACAGAACTAATGCTTTTCGGTATGTCCTGCTCACAGGATTTTAGCTCTAGCCCAAACGAGCTTTAGAAGGGGAGAAGGGAGGCAACAGGCAGAAAGGGTCAAGCTACCTAGTTAACTGTCCAAAAGAAAGACTAGCCTTACCATATCAAACTTAAGAATACTATTTCTTCCACTTTCGCCATTCTCACGTTAGAATACAGTTTTTAAATGCCTAGGCTTCCTAACCACACAGCAAAGCTTAGAACAACTTCGTAAGTAGAATTATGCAATTAACAAAAAAGTGCAGAAGAAAAAAAAGGAAAAGAGGTCTATTTACATAGCCATCTCATTCAACCCGGGGGCCACTGAAAGAGAGACCATTCTGCACCTATACATCAAGTTTACTTGTCTCAAGTCAGACACTGAAAGTTCTCCGGCTATGCTGATAAAAAAGCGCTCCACCACTCCTCTGCGCTCCTGAAGTGGCTCTGACATTCCTGCTAATCTACCCACAGAAACGCACGGCTTTCCGCTCCAGAGAGGTGGGTCTCTGTTCACCAGCGACACCCACGCTCCCGGCAATTCCACCCCTTTGGAAGCGGACTTCTGCAGAACCTTCATGAACCCCTTGAGCCGCCGTAGCCCCACCCCTTGCTCCACCAGGCTCGGCTGCCTCTGAAGTGAACACTCACCAAAGACATCGGAATGTGCCACTTGGATCGGTCGGCAGCAGCGACGGGTGCCGGTCCTATACCGAAGAGAGACAATGGGGACGGCTGAGCCCCCAGAAGCAGCAGAATGGCAGGCAGCGCCTGAAGCCACGCAACCGCCGCCATCTTCACAGCCATGGCTTGCCTACCGACAGCATTTCACCTTCTTCCGGTTCGTCCCGCCCTCTTCCGGCTCCGCTCTGGGGGCGGGATCATCCGGGTCCTCGAAACCTCGTGGGGCTTGTTAGTTTTGCGACCCAGTGGCTCCTCCCTCTACCAGTCCCGGCTTCGCTTGAGCCTTGGGACGCACTGCGCAGGCGTCGTCCTGTGGCAATTTGGTCACCTTGGAGCTTTAGGATGGTCACCAATAGCCACCTGCGCCTTGGTGGGCTCCTCTCCTCTCTGCTAGCCCTTAAAGGGTTTGGGGGCCAAGCAAGCATTTCTCCTCCTCCCGTTCGCCCCAGCCATCATCCCTTGTAAGTCAAAGTCAGACGCCGGGGCCTGAAGCCTGGGAAAGGCATAAGTCTGGCTGCTTGATTGGCGTTTAGTAGTGAGTTCTCGGTTCCCGGAGGTATTTAAGCAAAGAGTGGAATTTGGCAGTGGTGGAGAAGAAGCGATTCCTAAACTGATTGGTGTAATAGATAACCCCTTAAAAAAGCCCCTCCTAGCGCTGAAGAGTAAGATGCTACAGTAGAGTTTGGCCGCAGAGCATCAGCCTCTGGCAAAGAGCTGGCCGGCACTTTCTACTCAAAACTAAAAACCGGGAGAGAGTGGGTCGGTTTTCAGTATCTGTGGCGGGACCGTCACGGAGATAGGACCGTCTCGGTACTTCCTGGTTCTCACGCTCCGGATTTTTATCCCCGGAGCTCTTTGAGTGCACGCCCCCTCTGCAAAGCCGGTTTCGGTTCCTAATGAAAGCAGGTCCTCATCAGCCACTCATAACCCAAAAAAAGTTGCCAAATAGATCCGTGTAGAAACGCCAGATTGAGCCTGGAAATCCCACGAGCGAGAGTCAATCTGTCACTCCTTAGGGACCTGGAGGGGACTCCATTTCCCAGGAACTGGACGGAGGTGAAGCGCTGGCTCTAATTTAGAAAGACGGCCAATCGGCGTTTTAAAAAGATCGCTCGCAGCCTTGGTCTGAGAACTGGGAGCCAATCGGGTTGACCGGGAGGCCATGGACGCTGCCGGGAGAGAGGAAATCAGGTAAAGGCCCAGTGGTGCTGCAGGGACTGACTCCAGGGCCCGCGGAGGCAGGAGATAGCACCAGGAAGCGCCTGAAAGCAACGCTCTGGCTTTGAACGTTTTGTCGATTGTGTGGTTGACCTTCTTATTTGCATGTTTGATATTTGTGCAGTTCATCTTTGTCATTTTTTCTCAATTCCCCGGGGAATTAGTTGAAATTAATAGCTAGCCCCTCATAAAATACTTTCAGGATGATTAACAAAACAGTGGAAGAGTGGTGGTCAGAACTCTGACACGTGAGTTTCAAGCGTGTTGCTTTCCAAGTTCAGCTATACCCAGCTCTTCCTATATCACTCCAGAGCTCATTCTTCAAAGTGGAAAGAGAAGACTGCAAATTTCTTTTATCTTTGCAAATTTGATTAAAACAAACAGTGATAAAGACTTAGTAAATGAAGGATTTTATTACTTCCACGATTACAATTTTTAACATGGCCAAGTGTGTCTGTCTGGGCTTGTTTTCATAATATTTTGAAATTTGTGTTCAATCATAGCTTCCTATATAATCGTGGACATGCTGACTACAGCTGTATTCAGGACACCTCTGCGTGAAGGCCAGTGTGGTTTTTTCCCCCTTATAGCCTATGGTTGTTTTAATCATATGGAGGCTAATTTAAGTATATATACTCAAGTAGCAATATACATACGTCTTGATCACATTCTAGTCCAAGAACTGCTCTTCTGGAAACTTGGTTTTAAAAAACGCTGGCTCCTAGATCGTCAGCATCATCTTAAGAAGAAGATGGGGGGCCTGCCCAGTGGCATGGTGTTTAAGTTCACACACTCCTCTTAGGCAGCCCGGGGTTCACAGGTTCAGATCCCAGGCGTGGACCTATGCACTGCTCATCAAGCCATGCTGTGGTGGCATCCCACGTACAAAACAGAGGAAGTTTGGTACAGATGTTAGCTCATGGCCAATCTTCCTCACCAAAATAAATAAATAAATAAGCAAAAGATAGGCCAGCCCCATGGTGTAGTGGTTAGGTTCTGCACCCTCTGCTTCGGCCTCCCAGGTTTGCGGGTTCAGATCCCAGGCATGGACCTATGCCACTCGTCAGCCATGCTATAGCAGTGGTCCACGTATAAAGTGGAGGGAGACTAGCACAGATGTTAGCTCAGGGCTGATCTTCCTCAAGCAAAAAAAGGAGGAAGATTGGCAACAGATGTTAGCTCATGGCTAATCTTCTGCAGCACAAAAAAAAAAAAGGAAAAGATTTTCCTTCTACATGTATTTTCTATTCTTATTCCGGTGCCTTGCACGTACCTCTATTAAAGCATTTGTCAGGTTGATTTGTGAGTGTTGGTTAGGCTTTCGCGGAAAGCTCAGACAAAGTCCTTCATATCTTCCTCATAGCCCAGCACATCCAGTAAGAATATTATGAAAATATTTAATAAATAGGTGGGTGAGTTGTTTTTGTTTGTTTGGTTTGGAGTTTTTTGGTGTGTTTTTGCTCCTTCAGATTTTATTGGTGTCCTCCTAGCCTTCAGGCATTGTTTTAAAGGAACCCTTCCTCATAAGTGACAATGCTCTTTTTCCATTGCTTTCAGCATAATCTCAGAACTTGATGTTTTGTTGTTTACCTTGGGTGATTTACAAAAGGATGTTATTCTGCAGCATACACGCTATCGTGTTATGTTAGGGCTGTGACACAATTTTGCATTGCAGAGGTTTATTTTCCATGTTCATACTATAGTTAGAGAAGATGAAAAATTGGACTCACAAACCCTGTGTAAAATAAGTTTCTTAAAATGTCTTTTTATCTAGTGTTGAAGATGAAGCTGTGGATAAAAACATTTTCAAAGACTGCAGCAACATTGCTTTCTACAGGTAAAGAAAGGAAATGTGTTACCTAGATCAAAACATTTCTGACAATATTTCAAAATTGATGTTTATTAAATTTTGAGAACTGATAGGCTTTCTAAAGAAAGGGTCAATTAAGAAATTCAATGATTAAGAAATTCATCAGACAGGACACATTCACCTTTAATTTTATACGCATACTACTGTATTATTTAAATTTGCCAGTGAACTGGTATTTTATTTTAAAAGTGTTTTTAAACTATATTAAACTTGTATGTCTTTGAATGGATACTGCTTTTACATGTTTCAAAAATCAAATAATATGAAAAGATATACATTGAAAAGTGTTACTCCCATTCCTCTCCCCTTCCACCTCATTCCACATCTTGTCCCTGTAAGTAACCAGATTTATTAATTTCTTATTTATCCTTCCAGTATTTCTTTTTGTAAATACATATATTCTTACATCACTGCCTTTCTTACACCAATCTGGAGATTGTCCTCTCTTTTTACGGCTGTATAGTATTCTATTGGGTAGATGTACTGTAATCTATTCAATCTCTCTCTTATTGCTAGACACTGGGTTGTTTTTCATCTTTTACTATAAGATCATTGCCACAATGAAAAGCTATACCTGTGTTATTTCCTACATATGCAAATGTGTTTATAGAATGGTAGATCCAGAAGCAGGATTACTGGGTCAAAGAGTAAATGCATTTGAAATTTTAACTATTACCAGATATTCTTCCATAGGCATTATACCCTTTTGTGCTCCCAGCACTACTGTATAAGATTACCTGTTTCCCCAGAGCCTCAAAATAGATTTCTTTAAAATCTTTTCTTTTGAGTATTTACCTTTATAGAATGCCAGAACTGAAATCACCAAATAATGTATCATGTATCATAACTTTCTAATTTATTCACACTGCTTTAGAGGGAGAAAATCATTTTAATTCTGGACAGGTACCTGAGAGGGAATTCTATAGTGAACTCCTGGTCACCTTGTTAAACCACTAGATGATATTGGATTTCCACTAGAATTTAGTGAGTTTCTATTAAAGTACACATTTCATGGAAAGAGAGAGGGGAATTAGCAAGCTAATTAATGTCATCTGTGTAAACTGCCCCACCTTCTCAATAAAGGGGACAAAATGCCATCCTTGAGCAGTGTTATGTCGAACAGCTAATACTGTCTGTGCCGATTCACTTACTATCATAATGAATTTTAATGACTTCCACCTGGTACTATAGTCTGTTGGATGCCGACAGTGACAATTAATTCTCAGGCACTTGTGTGCTCCATCTCTCTAGGCGTCAGAAACAGCAGCTCTCCAGGAAGTCCATGTATCGGGCATTACTGGACTCGGTCACAGCGGACAGAGACAGCACTAGATTCCAAATCATCAATGAAGCGACGAAGGTGGGACAGAAGTATTTTCTACAGAGAATTGTTTGTTTCTATATTTATTTGGGTTGAATGAAGAAAATTTCCAGAAAGGCTAATTAAAACTATGTATGCTTCAAAAATAGACTCTCTTAGAGAAGTCGTGTTATCTTTTTCCTATCTACACTAATACTACCTACTTCAAAAGTAATATGAACGTCAACTTCTAGATTGCCTGTGTATCAGATGCTTTCCTAGAAGTTTTACGAATGTTATTTCCTTTCAATAAGTCTTCATAATACAACTAAGAGGTATATTGCACTATTTTCGGATAGTACAGATTTTCAGATAAGGAAATTGAAGTCTAGAAAGTCGCTTGCTCAGAGTGACATAGCTAGTAATGAGAATTTTCACCTGCATCTGTTGCCTCTATCAAGCACCCATGCTCTTTCTATCACTATTACACAACGTGCAGTTGAGCATGCAGCCTGAGCAGGGTACGGATTCAGTGGATGTCCAAAGCTCAAAATGTGGGTGGGCCAGGGGAGTGAGGGACTATGCAGTTGAAAACCTACGTCACAAATGTTCCATCTCCCGAGCTGCTTCACCAGCAGGTCACCATAGTTACTACATACTGAAAGGATTAGAGCAGTATATCCTAAGTACTTTTTCTTATCTGTCAAGTCACCACACTGCTTCACATGGGCCACATAGGTGGGCCAGTCATAGAAGAGGTGCTCTATGGGCTGGGCTAGGAAGTGTGGCCATGCACAAGTACCTGATGCTCCCAACCTGACCCTCACTCCCAGATCCTCCCCCCGTCTTCTAAAGACGTCATAGCTTCTGAGGCCTCCCAGACCAATCTGGCTACATTGGTAATTCGTGTAACTAAATGGCACTGTTAAAACCATGCGGTCTAGGTCCCCTAACAGCTTAGCTAGTAACCGCCAACTCACTAACAAATCCCAGTTCTGAGAAGCAGACTGAGAAGAAATCCCCACTTTCACAGCAAAGCTGTGAGCCCTCCCTTTGACTGCCATAGCTCTTGCCCTATAGTGCCGCACTGAGGAATCTCCTCAGAGAAGACAGAACAAAAACTGCCCCACGGCGTCAGGAGGTTCTCTGTAACATTTGT